GTGGAGGCACTCTCCTTTCCCGTCACCAGCAGGAGCGAACGTGTGTGTCCTCTCCCGTCACCAGCAGGAGCGAATGCGCTGCTTGCGACAGCATCTCGGGCAGTTCCGGACCCGAATGCTGATGTGGAGTTTCGTCTTCGTCGACCGGGTGAGACAAAGTTCATCTTACGCTGAAGACGTCTGGAGATGCCGAGAGAAGCATAGCCCTAAACCCAAAACCTATAGTCCCTAACCCTGAACCCTAAACCCTTAACCTTTAACCCTAACCCCTGAGCCCTGCGCTATGTTCTTTGAGGAGCTGATAAGCCATCAAACCAGGCTCACTCCGGTGGCGCAAACCAGCGAGTACTGGAGGTATAGTTCTGAGCTGTGGCAATAAGCGCTTCCAGGATGTTTCCCCGTCTATTCACGCGGCCATGCGAAGATTTTTCAGAAGCAGCACCATAGTCCTTTAACCGAGAGGGCGGACGCACTGGCAAGGTACGGAACGGACACGAACCGCCACATTGCCAAAACATGCCAGGTGAAGTCCAGCATGACATTGCCGGGGTCATCGTAATCGGCCTGTCCAGCATAGAAACGGATGCTGTGATCACCAGGCTGCTTCAGCCACTTGGGAAGTGCACCAGCCCTGTCCAAACTCCTGAGCGCTATGTGGCCAAGACACACCCAGGCCCGCAGAGAAGTCCCCAGTTTATGGACATCCTTCCCCATCAGCAATTGCTGAACCTTTGCCTGCTCTGCCTCAGGCACCCACTCCTGAGCCAGGTCAAAAGCGGCCCACAGGTCAGTCTCGTGATCGCTCGGAGCAGTGGTCAGCCAGTCCGACTGCATCAACAGCTCCATCGCAGCCCCACCCTCTGCCGCACGTTCAAGCGCGGGATAGTCAGCTGGCTTGTCAGCTGGCTTGCCTTGCGGCTCTGCTTCTGCTTGTTCATGCGGCTCAGCTAATTTGGGAGCAGGTGAAGGCGACGAGCGTGCCGGATGCTCTTGCAATAAGTGCTGCAGACGTCGCTCATGCTGCAACACAGCCTCTTCGGACATCTCGACAGGCGCAGTGTTTACGCCGAGGTGTTTCTCCAGCAGTTGCCAGGCACGCTGCCTGAAAGCTTTCTTCTTCATCCAACTTTGCACATGAACCTGCCAGAACTGCTCTACCAGGTCGTTCCACTCCGCCGTCCCGCTCCAGTTCGCAGAACATAGATCGCGCGACCACTTGCTCGAGGCAAATTTAGTGTGCAGAATTTCGTCGAGGACCTCTGCAAAAATCGGTCCCCAATGACCTTCCATGGACTTGTCAACACCTGACGAGTCTTCATCTTTTCGCGGCTGTGGCTGTGTCGAAGAGGACGCGGCTGCCTGCATAGCCTGCCACTGGACTTGCCCGATGAACTGCCTCTCCAACCGCTTAATATCGTCCTTGCTGAGCCGCTCCGTGCGACGGAGAAACAAAGCTCTGGCCGGGGCTGTGCCGTGGCGAAACTTCTCTTGGAAAACTCTCGGCGGCCTCCAAACTGAAAGAAGATTGAACAGAATCTGCAAACAGAAAACCGCAGCCTGCCACTTCTGGACGTGTTTGCCCCCCTCCTCCTTCCTCCCACCCCCCCAAAGGACAGCTGTTTTGCCCTCAAAGACCCTCCTTTGCTTCCTTTCCACCCGCCTCCTCCCTCCTCCCCCCCCCCCCCCCCCCCAAAAAAAAAAACAAAGGACAGCTGTTTTGCCCTCAAAGACCCCCTTTACGACCAAAATTGGCATCCTTTGCTTCCCCCCCTCCTCCTTCCTCCCCCCCCTTTACGACCAAAATTGGCATCCTTTGCTTCCTTTCCACCCCTCCTCCTTCCTCCCCCCCCCTCAAAGACCCCCTTTACGACCAAAATTGGCGTCCTTTGCTTCCTTTCCACCCCCCCCTCCTCCTTCCTCCCCCCCCCGCCCCCAAAGGACAGCTGTTTTGCCCTCAAAGACCCCCTTTAGGACCAAAATTAGCATCCTTTGCTTCCTTTCCACCCCCCTCCCCCTTTACGACCAAAATTGGCGTCCTTTGCCCAAAGGACAGCTGTTTGCCCTCAAAGGCCCTCCTTACGACCATAACTGGCATCCTTTGCTTCCGTCTTCCCTGAACACCCTCCTCACAGGACATTGCTGCCTAGATCTGCCTAGACAAGAAACCAGAAACCCCACCTCAAGAGCGGCTCTCGACTGCTGTCAGCAGCAGGTCGAAAAGCAGCAGGCCAGAGCCGAAATACTGCTGAAATACTGCTGCCAGAAGTTAGTCGGGCATGTGCGTTGTTATGTTGTTGATGGGTCTTCATTTGTTGTTGCATTTCTGTTCTTGTTGTGTCTTGGTCAGACCCTTCACACTGTCACTGCCGATGTAAAGGAGGCAAAAAGCGCCACCAGGTGCCCGGACGAAGCAACTCCCGCAAGCTGTCCAATGATGGCTCTCAAACCCACTGCGTATCTCCCATTCCTTCGCCAGGAAAGACGTGCCTCAAATCTCAACTCGAGCCCATTGCGTATCTCCCAATCCTTAGCCAGGAAAGCCACTACACCCGCGGCCACCCAATCCGGACGAGGCAGGCCCAATCCGTTGCGAGGGCGCACTTCCCCAGCACGGCAGGGGGCCCCCGCTTCCCCTTCTTCTGCCGGTCAGGGCGTCATCGTGCAGGACTTACAAACTGGCACTGCAACAGCAGCTGGACTGTCTGACTCCGGCTGAACGGACCGGCGTGGAGAGATCTCCGGAATTCTCGCCTACATAACCGAACCGGAAACACACGGTGCGAGTTAACCCAAACCGAGTTCGAGCGTTCACTGGCAAGTTGCACATAGCTGCGCATAGTTCCACTATTCACATCTTTTCAATTGCCATGGCTCCGGGTCCCGTGGCCTCACTGCCCGAGCACGGGCCGCCACAGAGATGAAAGCCTCTTGTTGCCAGGACTTTGCCCACTGGTCTTCAAGCTGCTGATACAAAACATGTTTCGAGCGTCCCTGTAAGTTAGGTTGCTGTGACATTCTGCGACTGCGCCTGCGGTGTTTACTGAGAACATCTGAGAACCGTTCCACTTCGAGCAGACCCTTGAGCTTTGCTTGACACAGAGGTCATTCTCGCGCCTCCTCGAACGAGAGTGTGTGGAGAAGCCGCTCCTCTTCCAACATTATTGGCTCGCTCAACGTCTCTCTCTCTCTCTCTCTCTCTCTCTCTCTCTCTCTCTCTCTACATGTGCACGGACAATGTGATGGAAAAGAACTGGAGGAAAGCGCTCGCATTGATATCCGTGAATTCCACCAGGGAGCCATGCCCCCATACCGCCCGCCTTGTCGTGCAAAGCTGCGTCGTTGGCATCTACCCCTGTGGCATCTTCGCCCAGTGCCTCAGCACCAGCTTCATGAAAGCAGGCATACATGCATGGTCTTTCAATTTCAGGCGGGTGTAAGGTGATGCTAAGCACAAGCTCAAAGAGAGGGGCGCAAACAGATGCTTTCGACCAAATTCTTCGGCCGGGCTTCAGCTGCAAGCGTGACCAAGGCCTCGGGCAGGGCGCCACAATGTTTCTCCATATCTCTTGCGCTTCAAGTTAATTTCCAACTCTGAAGATTAGGCACAAGCTTCAGACCTTAGACGATTTCCCACTCGAGAAACTCTGCTAAGGTGCGGGAAGCATCGAAAGCTTCATGGAGATTCCAGCACGGAAGGCCGTCGGTCCCCGTGCTGACCCGCAACCGTACACAAATCTGTCAGAACTACAACTAGCACCACCAACAGCAGATTTTGCTGCAAAACTACAGTGCTTTTCCTGCACCGCTGTGCCTGACATGTTAGATGTTCTGGCCCTTCTTTCTGTGTTCGATTCCAACCTTCTCCTCCATGGACGGAATTCGCAAGCAACTGGTCTGAGCCGGAAAGCGGCAGCTGAACTGATGGACGGGCAAGCTAGAGGACAAAGCAAACAGCATCTGAAAGCTAGTGAGCGCAGCTTCAGCACACCCGCCTTCAGCAACTCTGTGTTGGCTTCGCTGCGGGATCGACGAGCACGGCAGTAGCTAAACTGCGCGGCAGGGAAGCAGTGCTGAGAGTCCCGGAGTGAGATAGCAGAAGGGAGCAGAAGGGCCCTTGCTCTTGTTTGCCTGCCGATACCTGTGCGCCATGCTATCAGTAAACTCCTCAATAACCTGGCACGTTTCGTCCGTGCTTCAGTTCTGTTCAGTTGCAAGCAAGCTGACTGACTTGGGGCCGATTTTGCCATTGCTAGCGTTCGCGGATGTGGGCTCTTGCCTGCCGCCCGTACGGGCTTATCAGGCAGTGTTTCTAGGACTGCATCGGGGCGATTGAGGATTGCAACGATGAACAAGATTGTAAAGCCAACACACAACAACATCGCCCCGATTTCAGGGTGGAGGTGGTCTCTGTGAACACCTCGAGAATGCTGTTCAGACGAAAAATGGTAGAAGGATGTATAGCCGTATAGCCAGGTGCAGCTGTAAAGCAGCTGCAGCTCAAAGGGGGCCAGCCAAAGTGCTGCACGCGGACTGCAACCCGGTGTGCTCATCTATGCTGCGAAGCCTTCATGGCTCCACTTCGGCCAGCGACGGGAGTTCTTCTCATCCAGGTGCCAAGTCGATTCTTGTCGGTAAACCAGGATGTTCTGATCTAGGGGAGTCATTGGGAGTCAAGGCTTGGTAAGGAAAAGGCACACCAGGCACCTAGAAACAATTCAAGACCATTACTCGTCACGGATGGGCTTCCGCCAAAGCTGCCCAGAAAACTTGAAACAATCTTTCTGCCTGTGTCCTCAAAGGAATCTCCAGCCTTAACGGCTCTTAAACTAGATGATCTGGGCTAACAGCTCATACAAGATGTACGACTAGCGTACAGGACAAACGAGTCCTTCCTGGACAGGCAGCTGCTCGACACACAGCAGGTTTGCGGTTTGCAGCTGTGCTGTGCCATGCAATGTAAAATGCTCTTCAGAAGGCAGCCCTTGCACTGCCGTCCGCTTCTACTCGATCTTGGCCTTGGCCGGCTTGCGTAGACAGACTGCTGTCAACGGAAGCATCAAAGCAACCGCCAGAATCTGACAGCCACAAGATGATCCCCGTAATCAGACTTCCAAGTTTCAAGGGAATGCCGCACTCACCCGAAGCATCTTCTCACACGGCTGGAGACAGAAACTCAAACACTGCTCAACCCTTGGCTCTCGCACCCGCTTGCCCATGGGCTCCCGGTAGGCCAGGCGGAAGCCGTGGCGGGAAGCCTGAAAAGCGGTGAGGGTGAGAAGGCTCCAGGCTAGGGCGGAGGATCTGGAAGCATTGGAGCTGAAGGTTTCATCTCTTGGCCCGGTCAAGGGCTTCTTGGAACCGAAGCTCCAAGCGAAAAGGTATGAGCGACGCACGCCAAGGCCTTGTCCCACCATCCTTCGACCTCTTCTACCTCCACCTTCAATGAGCATAGGAGTCAGATTATGTGAGGGAGCACACTATAATACAATTTGGTGTCTTCAGGGTTCAGCTACCCACATCTACTGGATGCAAAAAGGCACAGCAATGGAGCTTCGTGCCTCACCAATTTCATGCCGCTGGGTGTCCTCCCTGGCGTGAATGACTGCTGCCTGGGTGTCGCTGGGTTGTTTCGGGAACGCGGCGAGATGGAGCTGGATGCAACAACTTCCTGGGACTAAAGCCTTGATGCCCTGCGATATGCCAGGCTTTTGACTTTTCGCGCCACCCCACCGCCACCTCCTCGTCCTCCTCCACCACCACCATCATCAGTCATCATCATCATCATCATCATCATCATCATCAGCAGCAGCAGCATCATCAGCATCATGAGCATCCTCCTCCTCATCGCCAATCGTCGCCATCACACCACCACCACTCCCGCGATGACAGATTACAACGATAAAGTCAGAAGACTGCATCTCGCGCGAGGTAGCGGGAAAAAGGCCCGCTGCTGGAGATGACCAGAAACGTGCCAAAGCACGCAAAAGCAGAAAAGCGAGCCAACAATAAGCCACTGCTGGGGGCTTTGCCGCCAGGCAGGCCGGCACCGTGTTCGGCACATCGTGACAGAAGGTCAGATCTGTCTCCTTCATACCTGAAGCGTGGCCAGGTGCACGTGACTTTCTGCATAGGCTCGCATAAGGGAAGCTGCGGGGTGTTCGAGAAGAGGCTTCTGAGCATTCTCCATCAACCAACTGCGAATTTGACGGGGACTTTCCTCGAAGCTGCAGGGTTGCCAGAGTCTAGTCACTTACTGCCTAAGCCCCCAGCCCCCTCTCCTACAGCATACTCCAACCGCAGCGGATCGGCCGGGTCCAGCAACACTCAATGCAAACTTCAGGCGTTTCAGGGGTTGAGGTCAGGGCTGTAGCTCAACGCTGCACCGTTCACGTAGCGGTAATCTCTCGCCACTTCCTCACAGGTGAGGTGGGGGGTTGTCTGCAACAACAAGCAACTTGTCACCATACAGTGAAACTTGTCCCATGCCGTAGGCTCGCAGTCTACAGGCAGGATGGCAGCACAACTCCCAAGAACCCGCTTAGTTTACGCGACCCTCCTCGCTGACGTGCGGAACGGCAAAGTCGATGATGAGCGAGCCAGGCGGAATTAGTGCCTGTTGATTTCGCGACAGATGTGGAATCTGACCCAGTCCCTCATGTGGCTTAAACCAGTAGAACACGCATATGTCTCGACCCCAAAAATTGCCTGTATGCGCTTTGGCTCCATCCACTTGCCCAGGATCCACACGCCGCAGCCCACACCTTCCTCGTATGTCTGCACCTGCACTGTGGACAACGTCTTGCATGAACATTGCGTCATACAACTACCAGCAGACTTGCTTTCATGGCAGGTGAGTGGCACCTTCTAACTTCTAAGGGGGTCGAGCCGCAAAACAGGATGAAGCAGGCACGGGAATCGCAAGAACATGCGCCCCTGTGGCCCTGGCCCTCACCAAGTTCTTCCCGAACTCTCCGGCCTGAGGAAGAAGAGCCATTTAAGAGCGTGCTATTGAGATACTCCGCCCACGTGGCAATGAACCCTAAACCCTTAAACTCTAAGCCCTAAACCCTTAAACCCTAAACCCTTAAACCCTTAAACCCTGAACCCGAAACCCCTAAACCCTATACTCTAAACCTCTACACCCCTAAACCTCTACACCCTAAACCCATCCTAAACCCTAAACCCTAAACCCTAAACCCTAAACCCCTAAACCCTAATCGAGTTTCGCAGACGAAAGTCGGCCTCGCCCTTGATCTTCTGGAACCGCTCCTCACAACCGGTGATCATCCTGACCTGCCAGCTTATGTAGGGTTCAGGGTTCAGGGTTCAGGGTTTAGGGTTTAGGGTTTAGGGGTTTAGGGTTTAGAGGTTTAGAGGTTTAGGGTTTAGGGTTTAGGGTTTAGGGTTTAGGGGTTAGGGGTTAGGGGTTAGGGGTTAGGGGTTAGGGTTTAGGGTTTAGGGTTGAGGGTTAGGGGGTTAGGGGGGGAGGGGTTCGGGGTTTAGGGGTTTGGGGGTTCAGGGTTTAGGGTTTAGGGTTTAGGGTTGAGGGCTTAAGGGTTTAGGGGTTTAGGGTTTAGGGGTTTAGAGTTTAGAGGTTTAGAGGTTTCGGGGTTTAGGGGTTTAGGGGTTTAGGGGTTTAGGGGTTTAGGGTTTAGGGTGACAGACCTTCAGATGCCGAAAGCAGAGCTGTGAAACCAGCAGCCACCATGTCAGTCTGGCTGGGGGGGGGGGTGGCTGGGATAGGGATGTCTTTGGTCGGTCTGGCAAGCCTCGAATCCAAACGGCAACCGAGAACAACAAATCGTCCGGAAACGAATCGCATGGAACCACAGAAACGCCCTGAAACAAGGAATACAGCACAACAGGATACGAACCGCACCTAGAATAAATCTCCGAGGGAGCGGTTTCGAGATGACCACCTAGAGTGCGGACAGTGAGGATCCCAGGTTCTGAACGCCCCGGCTGTTGGAGCCTCCAGAGTGGTGCCTGTCGGCGTGGGCTGGTCCTTCCATAGTTGGGACGCCCTCGGATTCGAGAATCCTTGTCCTTGTTCGCGAAGGCCCTGGGAGTGCTCGTCACGCCAATGTCCAGGAAATTTCAGGCGTGGCTCGGAAGGGCCCTCAAGCCCTGCGAGGTAGTTTTCCCAGGCTGGGCATGACATCTCAGCTCAAGTTGCGCACGCGCACCCGCGCCCGCACCCGCACGCGCACCCGCACGCGCACCCGCACGCGCACCCGCACGCGCACCCGCACGCGCACACACACGCATGCAAACGCATCTGCACGCATGGAGCACGCATTCGCACGCACAGACCGACACACACGGAGAATATTTTATGAACATGGCTTCTGAGGATCATGTTCCTGAAGGAGTCGACGATTGGAACAACAGCGATGATGTCGAATCACCGAAGCAATGCACAGCGAGTATGTTAATTGCAAATCACATCACATCATCTTCAAAGCAGGTACGTAGAAAGAGCATCCTCTTCCTATCTCACACACACACACACTCACACACACACTCACACACACACACAAGCCCAGAGCACCGCTGCTCCAAAGATGCGCTGCTGTCATGTTTAGAGCATGCCACGAGTCAGGTCGCAAAGACAGGTGTGTCCCAGTTGTGAGCTGAGAACAGAATTGAAGGTTGGTGCCCCCGAGGCTCGGGCAGTGTGACCGCGTCGTGCCAAGAGGATGCACAGGGCTCGTCCAATCTTCGATGTGGACCCAGCAAAGACGATCTCGTCCTCTTGGGAGCTTCAGGGCAGCGGATCACCACACAGATGCCACCATGCAATCTCAAGATCAGGATCCTTGGGCTGCGTGTGCTCCTGGAGCGCCTGCGGCAGAGGCGCACTTTGTTTTCGGCGGCCCGGAGGCTTCGAGGTGCGATGCTCTTCACATGTCGTAAACACATCAAACACCTTCGCATTCGTGGGATGGATTCGCTATGACTTTTGGGTTTTTTGAAGTCACAGCTGCCACAGCTCAACCTGTGCAGACACGATAGTGTAGTGCCTGCCAAACGGCGGCAGCTGTGAGCGTGTTGCCGTGCACAATTTTGATCTTGCGGTCGCCCAGCAGTGGCAACAAATCTTTGCCTCAGTCGGCGCACAGAGCAAAAGCGACGAGTGAGAGGGATCAAAAGAGCCATGCTAGCTTCAGGTGATCACCTGGCCATGTTCTCTCGATGAATTGATTAGGAGGCCGTTTTCAAACAGCCTGCCGCTCCCTTTGGGTTACAAGTAGAACGAGATGACCCTAAAACAACTTGAACTCGCCGAGCACGGTGGAAACTGCAAAGCAGCGCATCAAAATTTATGATCTAGACACCCTTCAGCTTGTGTTGCTCCCATGAGGCCGGCACCTCCCTGATTGAGGAACTCCGCCTGAAGAGGGGCCACCCGCGGGGCTTCGTGAAGAGGACTCGGTGAAAGACCAAAGCAAGGCGCGCCTTGTTCAGGTGGGCCAGCCCCAGGTACTTCACACCGGCATCATCTGCGTCTTTGACTGCCTGCGCGGCAAGGCAATTTGATGCCCCGCAAGATGACATTCAGGTCTGGCGCAGCACATCCACAGAGCACAACAAGCAGGTCGAGTGGCCTGCACCTGCATGTCGAATATTGACTGCCTGACTTTGAGCTCATGTGGGACTGCTGGAGAACGGCAAGCGTTCGACATTCCTAGACATCCCAAGTGAGTGTACTGAAAGGTTGCCTGTGTGACTTCATGAAGTAGAAGTGGCCAGTCACCGGCAAGCACCTCTCTTCAAGGCTGCAGCAAAGAAAACTAATTTATTGTAAAACAAAGTTGCCAGTGTCTATGGTGCAGCGCGGGCGCCAGGTAGCACACTGGGTGCTGCGGTAGTGAAAGCCTTGCCAAGAATTGTGAGATTGCAAGCATGACATAGTCACCAGTGAGAGTTATGCAGGGGGAGAAAGGCTGTGTTACGATGCGACTAGGCAAGGAGGGAGCACGAGAATACAGAGATAGAGGGGAGAGGGAGAGGGCACGACAAAGCACGCATCAACGCAGGGGCGCACTCTGACACATGCACGGGCAGTGCAGGCACAGAGCTCGCGAGAGCGGAAGTACAACTGTATGAAGCAAGCGATGAAAGCTCCGGTCCAAAGGAAAGGCAGGCATCACTTCTTGTGGAATGTCTGGGGGCCGGCGTCAGTCTCGCGTCTTGTTGAGCCACTAAGTCACTCAGCCCAGCACGTTGAACGCAAGCAGTCGACAGGCAGTGGCGGCAAAAGAGCACCTCGGTGCATTCAGAGTGCTGCGCAAGTCTGGCAAGGGTATACGAGTATTCAAAGCATCATCAGACGAAACCGAAAGTGAGCAAACTCAGCTATGAACACTGTAATATTTGTCGCAGCGCAAACACCAAATGCATCTAAAAAAGATCCCAAGGCTTCTGCCCACAGGAATGTCAAGGGCTGCAGTGGAAGCATCCACCATCGCTGCTCATGCTGATGCGAAGCAAGGAAGGGCGACAGCCTGAGCCCGGGTTCACGGCACAAGAGAAAGGCATCCTGCCTGCCGTGTGTGGAATATCCGGGGACCGTGCCATGGAAGGTGTAACCTTGGAACCAAGCTGAGATTGCGATGGTGGACGGCGAGTTGGAGCTTTGGCCGACAAGAGGTGTTATCCGCTTCAGGGAACAAACTCTTGGAATTCCTGTCTCGCCCCCTGGCCATGACCGGGATTGCTCTCTCACCCCAGCCATGACCCCAGGCTCTGGGAACCCGACATGGAGTAGAGGGCATGGCCATGTGCCAAGAACACAACCTCAAGCTGCCTGCTCTTCTGACTGAGCACCTCCGCAGTGGGAGGTTCTCCATTCGCAACACGCTTGCGAGCAACGCAAAGAATTTGATATTTCAAGATTAAGGCCCGCAGATCCATGCAAGATCCCGCTACAGTGTTTGGCCTCCTGGTGCAGGGAATCTGTGGTCGAATGAACCGTGCCTCAGCAGTCTGCAGCATACTAAAGCCTAATGGGGCGTCGGCATTGTGATGATGGCCAGGGCTGCAGCGAAGCACTGTACAAACAAGAGGAGCAATCACCACACAGGCGTGACCAGAAGCTGAGATTCAGGCCACCGAGGTAGTCCCAAATCGGACAGAAGAGACAGTAGTTGTACTTGTACTTGCCTCAGTACGGAACTGGTGCTTCGTCTACAGCACGGAACTCCAAAAAGCCAAAAGATGCCCTGCTCCCTCCTCGCTCCAAAGCAGGATTCACTGCAAGGGGAGATCATCTGCACTGCACGGAGCCACACGGAGCCTCCCTGAGCTCCCGGCTGTGATGCAGGGAGTGGTACGAGGAGGTGTAGATAAAATACTTGAGTGGCCCGGCCTGCGCTCAAAAAGGCAGCTTCTCAGCTTTCTGATGCTCAGCATGGGAGGTCTGCGCCTGTGCCCAAGTTGGCATGCACTCGAAGTTGCAGTGGCCGATGCAGTTCATGATGTCAAAGAACACGAAGTAGATAGGGATCTTGGGGCGGTCACCGGCTTCAACACGCAGGAGACTCAGGGGACCCTCCAAGCCTCTTGAATGCGGAGCAGTCTTATCGGGCCTAGAACTCTTAGAACTGCAAGAGATGGCAGAGACAAGGGCGCATGAATCCATGAATCCGTCAAAGTCCCATGTCTTCCGAGGGACAAGGGCTGTCGAGAAGCAGCCAAACCAAGCGGGCACCAGAAACCTCGGCATGGTCTCCTATCACCAGAATCCTCAGAGAATCATCACAACGTGGGCCTCATGCGGTGTGCTTGGAGTAGGGGGGGGGGGGGCCAACGGCTTGCAGAGTTTTCAAGCCACACCGAGCAACGGGTAGCAACAGTCTGCGTCAGTGCGTTGCTGACGCTCCTTGCCCATTCGGGAAAGGCTCTTTCCACCGTTTAAAACGAGAGTGCTGCTCAGAGTGCGCTGCTACGGCAGGGAAAAGCACAACAGCGCCAAAAAGCGCCAATGTGCAAGAAAGTGCAAGGCTACACCTCCGCGGTTCGCGCAGTGGCTGAGGCTCTGATCAACCGACACAGGTATTCCATGTCAGACTTCTGCTCATGCTGCATCTCCTGGGATGTCTGTTGATTCGAGTTTGGGGGTCTAGGTCCGGGGTTGCAGGACTTAGGGGATTTAGGGCGTTGGTTCGGACCAGTTGCAAAGGGTTTGCCACAACATGGCACAAGGCGCCTGCACCATCTCCTGTACAGCCTTGGTTGCTAGCAGCGCAGCCACGGTGTCACTCTTCCTTGGAGAAACAAGCTGGTTCCAAATCGGTGTTTCACTTGATCGCCATGCATTGACTTGTTCCCATTGCTGGTAGGCGTCTTCACCTCGCCGCGAACTTTCAAAAGGCCATGCACCAGCTCTGCTATGTGTAAAGCACCAGAGCCTGATGGTGATGATGATGATGATGATGATGATGACAGCATTCCAATGACAATTGTGCGGCTGCGGGCAAGACATGCGCTGGGCGATCGGCCATCAGCATCAATTATCTCGAACCTGGATGTGAAACAGTCTCACAGCAGTGCTTCCGCTCCCAAAGCAAAGTTACCCTATGGCGAGCAACAGATTCGCCCGATCAGGTGGAAGGTCTAACTGGTTCATCAAGTGCTGCACCTTGGAGCACATTGCAGGCCAATCCAAAATCGCAAACATGTCAATTCTCGATATGACTGCCCCTCCCTGCCACTGCAACAACTCCGTAATTCAAAACTAGGAACTTCCCGGTCTTGGATGGCCATAAGGAAGCACTCCTTGTTAATGGCCAAGTTTTCGTGCACGTCCTCGTCGGTGAAGATGGGTGTCTGCACCGTGGTGTCCATCGGGGGACTGTGTGACCCGCTATCCAACTCGTCCTCCTTGTGCATTTCTAGCCAGCGATGCGCTGCGGCGAACCGCTTCAGCAGTTCCCGTGTCGTGCGCGCGATCCGGATCGACTCACGGAAATGTTGTTCGGCAGTCAGTGCTTCAGTCTCCTTAGCAGCCTTCATCGTGATGTCAACATACACCGCCAGGATGACCTGAGAACTGAGGTGTAAAAGGTAGATGTCGGATGCCGCTAGAGTTACTACGGACTGCTTTCCAGGTGCCCCTTTCGGCACTGACAGATGGGTCCATGATTTAGAGAACTCACCAGAATCGGTGTCGTAGTGATGCATCCCACCTTCAAGCTCCACCATTAACTAAACAAGTATGCTTCTCCAACTCCCAAGAGACGTTGAAGATGCCCAGGGCAACCAGCAAGTAGCTGGCGACAAACCCGAGAATGAAAGGAACGCCATACTGCGCAGCCAAAAGCGATGAGATTGGCTCCCCGGAGTCGGAGTTGCAGTCGCCTGTGAAGCACCGAAACGCCGTAAACATCGAGTCGGGAACGGTTCGGAACTGAAGCTCCAGACCCAGCTCCACGAGTCTGGGATCATCTCCGATGAAGATGGTCGCGAAGCCAGCGACAATGTACAAAATGAGAAAGAGCAGTATGAAGGACAGGGCTAGCGTCCATACTCCCCCGAGCAAGCCCTTCACCATCAGCCGCAGATCCTGCTGGACAGGCTCATGTCAGTAGTCCAGGACATACAGCTGTTACTAGCTGCTAGCAGGTTCTTAAACATTATTCAACATCCAGCAGCTGACAAAGGATGCATGCGGAACAAGGTCCTGCATCAGCCGCAAGCGGAAGACCCGCATCACCTGTGCAACTGAACTCTTGACTCAAAGATGCAGATGTGAACTGGAGAAGTCGGACTATTTGGAGGCATTTCAAAGAGCGTCTCGTTCGTCCGCCCATTACAGTGCACCTACAGTCAATGCTTGAAAGTGGTTCTTGACATGTTCAACCTGCGGCTTCGTCTTCCACCAGGGGCTGCTTACACCGTCGTTTACTACTACAGTCCATCAGTCCCTCAGTCCATGTTAGATCCTCATGGCAAGTCGCCCGAACCAATCGTATCAGGCGGAAGATGCGAAGGAGCCAGGTGCCATACAAACCCGTGGCTTCCTGAATGCCCGGGAAAGCTCTGTTGGAAAAAAACTACTACTAGTAGCAGCGACATGAAAGGGGGCAATAAGGGAAAGCGTGGGAAACCACATCTGATTGCCGAGCGCCCTTGTTGCCAAGGCTCGTCCAGACCCATTCGGAAAACAGCCACATCCACGATAGCAATCAGGGCGACACATATATCAAAAAAATTCCACATGCGCTCCTTCTCCGGCGCAGCGACAAAAGAGTTTACAACAAGTGTAAAGGCTCTATGGGCTGACAGGACATAGCACTGCATGTCCCGACCTCACCATACAGGTACGCTGTCCATCCCATCACCCACGTTCGCAGAACGATCTCAGTGATCAGCCAGCAGGCGAATGCCGCTTCCACCGCTGTCCACCCATACCAGTCTTTGTGGTTGGGATCCTCAGATTCTACCCCTAAGGTCCTGACCCAAAACCCTGACCACCAAGTAAAAGGGTGACCGAAGAGCTTCTGTCCGAGGCTCAGATTGAATACCAATAATCACCTGAGCCACTTCGTCACGATGGGCCCAGCAGAATTTTTCGGGCTTATGGGAGGGTTCAAAGTCCAGTTCCAACAAGTAGCCGCATTGGTTATGATCATGATGACCACCAAGGGCTCCAAATACGTTCGAGGCTGAGATGCCTGCACAAATCAAATCGGACTCTAAACAACAAGACAGGCTTTTGATCTGCGCATCTAGGCTCCACGGAAGCTGCACGCAGCCGCGCGGGCTGAGTGGGCACATTCGCCCACTTGATGCTTCACCCACCTCACCTGGACCCATCGACCCGATCTCCCCTTTCGGACGTCTTATCATTCCATGAAACTAAACAAGAACCCAGCGAAGGACTCAGTGGCTGCAACCACTCAACCTCTGCATCAGGGGAAGGTGCAGGCTTTACCAGAAAATGTGCTTCGCAGGGGGGGGGGGGGGGCGTGTGCATCTTTCGCGCCGGCCACAGCAAGCATTGCATGCTCGCTTAATTCTTAAGCACGTCCTTCTTAAGCAAGTCCTTGTACAGGCCAGGTACCCCGAACGTTTGCCGTCACACACATGAGGAAGTGCTTGCAAGCATGATGTCGGGTCACGCTTTGAAAACAATGGATTTTTACGATGTCTTTGTGCAGTCGACGCAAGGTAGCCTTGGAAAGTACAAAATCCCTCGCCTTGCAGTCCGGGAAAAAAGTTGAAAACTTCAAGGCGAGGATGAGCTTCGGGGTATCTTTCATCTCAGTGCGCGGCCACTTGCACTTCGCAACATCTTCAGCGTCGCGAGGAGACACCCCCACAGACCCGCAGAGCACCCAAACAAAAAGCTGACGGCAAGCCACAGCTACCCCCCCAACCTCCACCCCCGGGTGCCCGACGACAGACCCGGCGGCCTGCGGGTAATAATAGTAACAATGGCAATAACGGTGAAAAAAACAGGTAGTAGTACTGACTCTGCCCACATGCTCCGTTCCTTGAGTTCCACACTCCTTTCGAGGTGGATGTCTAAAGCAGTCCACGCATTGTTTGGTTTAGACCTTCTGAGTGCCCCAGGGGTTCAAGATCTACAAGTCGGGCGTTTCTGTTCAAGTCCAAGCCAGCCGTTCCTGAGCTGTTGACCAATTGCTCTGCTGTTGGCGTTCGAAAGGTCCGCTCCTCTTCGCTTGTGGATTCCGCACAGATCGGCAGAAAGGCGGCTTTCTTTAGGGATCCTGCTTCGTAGAACGAGTTGCTCTGGAGGACGGAGAGGATGACGGTTAGTCAGGAACGTGTGTCGGGAGCATGACGGGCGAGTGCGCGTGCAGGCCGAGTCAGTCACTGGCCTCCCCCTAAAACCTCATACCCAAGGAAGGCTTTCAAAAAGTCCAAACTGTGTGTGCAATGCTGGCTTGCCTGCCAGAAGCGGAAGTAGGGTTTCTATGACTAGTACCCCCAAAAGGACACAAATTCGCTCGCCAATCTTCAACAACATGAACATTAACCCTGTTTCCCTAAACTAAACCCTTTTAGGGGTCACTGGGAAGAAAAAGCACGAACCCAGAGCAAGAGCGCTCCCGGCCTCCTCTGGTGGGGCCTTGGATCGAAATGGGATGAGATTCAATGAAGGTGACGCAATGCTAAGGGCTTAGGGTTTGGGGTCTGGGTTTGGGGTTTAAGGCAGACTATGAGTGCGAGGCACGGCTAAGTCGTTGATACGCACAAAGGTGAGCTCGGCAACCAAGCGATTTGTGTCACTGGCCAACAAAATCCTGAGATGCCACGGACGCAACTGCAATTGACTGCATGGGTCAGAGTCAGTGCACTAACTAAGGGAACAGGAAGGTCGAAGTTATGACAAACGGTTGGAGCATGCGCTGTAGCCCGCACAACTTTTCGTGCCGGGCGTCTCTTTCATCGCTTTGTACTGTTTCAAACATCGCGAGTCGAAGATCTTGCGCCGAACGATATCCTTGGACTTCAGGACACAAGTTGGAAACACCTCTGCCTCCCCGTACCTTCCGCGAATCCTGCTCGAAGTGCTGTAGCTCTAGTCATGGGCTAGCTACGGCGATTGCAGGACAATACGTCGCTGGCTGCCGCTCTCAAACCACCATATGGCAATCTCCCAAAGTTGCCCGCCCCTACGGTTGACGGCAGTTGGCAGGGAATCTTGCCAGACGAGCTGCTTTGTCTTCAGCCAAGAACACGCGCATCAACGCCTCGACGGGGGCCATGCCGCAGCCAGTCAGCGTGTCAGCATTAGCAGCGGCACTGAGCCGACGAGAACCTTCCGCTGGACCATTGGCTAGCAACGGCTAGCAACTGGAAACTGGATGTCTGCTTGTGGCAACACTTGCTGCCTTTCTGCGAGCTCTTGATTGACAGTGTCATCGTCATGGCCATTTCCGAAGACAGCGGAGCCTTGTGTGTCAGTTGCAGTGGCATGGGGCCAGGTGGATAAGCTAAGTAAGATAGGTAGAGCTTCTTGAACTTTCGTTCGATGCTGTCATTGCGTACAACATGTCCACTTGCAAGATTACGATGTGGGACAGACTCTGCCCATTGTCAGCTGCAACTGTTGTCAACTGCTTTTTGCTGTAAGCCTTCCTGAAATGCTGAATCACTTGAATCACTTGAAGAACCTCATGATGTTAATGCCAAACCCTTTAGCCTTAGCCCCGGATCCTGCGTGTCCTGCGAAGGCCATCGCCAGCTCGCTTCACGATCGGAGTCTCCTCGTGGGTGCAATGGAAGACGTCTCCATGTGGGAAAATCTACCCAGACTCAAAATCGAGTTGGGTTCAGAGCAGCCTAGAGGAATCGGCAATCAGCGCAGCGCAGCTTGCAAAATCCCGCAAGCCAAGCCAAAGACAAAAGCCGAAGCCATCTAATTAACGTCCAAGTGGCGTCTTAGGCTCCTGTTAGACAGATTCCGAGGAATGGCATCATCGTCATATTGCAAGGCAATATACTCCGACAATTGGTTCCTGATTCAGAGCAGAGCAAAATAAAGCAATCATGGTGTCAACAATTTGACAACTTGAGGGCTCTGGTGAATGTCGGGTTTAGGAGCCGTCTATGGTGTTGCAAAAGAAACTCACGGATGCGACATGGCAGGATGCTCGGAGGGGGGAAGACCTTCACCCACGACCACATTCGCTGCTTGACACATTAGGGTACGACAACCTGCAAGCAACAACTACCGCAACCTCCAAAAGGGCTACAAGTAGCTTTCGTGATTAAGGGCAAAGCTGCATGGCATTTGACATTTGATCGATGTAAATACAACCAGTGACACCATGGGCGGAACCACCATCAAATCCTTCTCCCTAAGAACGCTGAAACAAGGGATTTGCGCCAAGAGGCAAAAAAGTGGTTGCATCCTGCAAGGGCAGAACGAGTCTTTCTTACTGTCCTTACTACAGGAGTCGGGGCAGGTGATCCAGACGCAAGAAGCCGGCGTACATGTGGATGGCTCTAGGCTTCTCCTCCTCTGTGTAGCGAGTGAGCCCGAGCGCCACCACAGCATGGTGTAGCTCGACTCCAGACATCATGGTCTGCCCAGCACAGGCTCCTGCACAATCGACACAAGCTGATCCACCGAACTCAGCCAATGTGAAGCACATCCTTGTCGATGTTTGACCCCGCCCTACGCCCTCCAGAAACACACCCGTACTCACGAAAATATGCGGAAAACTGTTTGTGTCCGTGCAATCCGTCGTTGCGAGCTTTGGCCTGGTTTTTGACGCCCCGCCCTACTCCGGCCACCCGGCCCATCACTCTTGGCCCCACCAAAGCCCCCAGGCTCGTGCCCCTGTACCGACAGCCCCTACCCGGGCGTTCATGATGAGGAGGCCCAGCTTTCAGGCACGTGCGTGCATGCGCTTGGGACACCTGCCCACGTCTGGGCCGCGGTGCTGAATGACAAAAAATGACAAATACAACAAACGAATCGAGGGCTCCCAATCGAAGCTGGAGGCGCTGCCGCACCGCACGCTGTTCCTTGAGATGTCACACGCTTAAGAGAAACACAACGCAGCGCCCGGCCATCAAAAGGCACCCTCAACAGCAACATCGAGGTGCAGGTTTTTTTCGGGGGCGAAGGGGTATTGGAGGTTGCGCGGTTCTAGGACCCTCGGAGTTGGGGGAGGTAGGGAAGGGAGTTGGAAGGGCATGGAAAAGATCCTGAATTATTGTACTAAAGTGGCAACGCATGGAAAGATGCCAACTGCTGCAAGGCTGCGATGCCAGAGGGCAAGGCTGCTTGAAGGCTCTCCTTTCTGGCCAGGCGCCCCTCAAGTAGAATGCCATGCCAGTTTGTGTCAAGATATGCAGGCGGGTGTCAAACGCCTACTGTCTACAGGCCGTCGCAAGTAAATCAGCTTGGTAAGCCGTGCGCCGAGCTTTGCATGGAGAGCTGACGATCCGGAGGTTGTGCGACGATTTTCGCTGGTGGGCTCGCGTGCCACCTGCTAGGGGGCACGGGTTTTGATTCACACCAAACATTCTACCAGAATCGCGAATAGACGACACAGAATTGCATGCAACAGGGCCAGAAAGCTGCCGCGGCCTCTTCTCGAAGACAGTGCCCTCACTGCCAAATGGCAGTAGAGATGAGTACCTGACGCCAGAGCACACGATCAACGGTCATGTCAGAATATGTCAGCCTTTACGACGACTTGTCAGGCATAGGGCTAGGCCAATGCAGCGTCGAGTTTGAGTCAGCACTTCAGCTTTCCGGGCCTCTCATCGTTGAGAACGGATGCCTGGAGATCCTCAGGACGCCTTGGCTGCAAGACTTGGAGATGCGGCAGCAGTGCAACATCAGTAATGACCCGTACTGACAAGCAGCCACCAAAAGCGTTCAAAAGCATTTCAAAGACGGGTCAACTCCCACGAGCTGAAAACAATTCGGGTAACCAACTTTGGGGGCCTTTGTAAGATTCAGGGTTGAGGGTTTTATAAGGCTTAGGGTGTGTTTTTTGGACCAGCAGCCCTGGGACCAGCACCAAACGCACTCCAACTCTCCCTGCTCGGATTGAAGTGCAGGATTTTTGTCCCGGTCAAGCGGCAAAGCTGAGTCTGGATAATCTGGATAGACATCCAGCAGCTGCCGCCTGAAGTCTTCCAATGATCTGTCCAGGAAGCGGGCGAAACCAGGCTTGTCCATGGCTCGTAAAAAATTATACCAAAGGCTGTAAAGACAGCGTTGCTCATGCAAGTAAGTGCACGCATTTGCGTCCGTTGGTCTGTCATGTCGCGGTGTGTGTTTGCTCAGGATACCATGCACCGACATCAAAGAGAGGCTTTGAGCGTGTAAACTTTACGAATGCCGGCAAACTGCTGAAAAAATCAGAAGTTCAGGAACATCTCTTTCCAGTTTTCCCGTACACCTGGCATGGCTCTGGGCAGAACTGCACGTGGCTTACGGTGGCCGCATCCTAAAGTAGAGCTTAGAAGTTCAAGTTGGCACTCTCAGTAGAACGAAGAACCCCCACAGTAAACCATTGGGATCGTATTGCCATGCATCCGCGATCCTTCGGCATGCTGAGTTGTGCGAGCTCTTCCCCAAACCATGGTCGTGGCACTAAAATGTTCCGCTTTCCTGTGTCATACTCGGGATGAAAAGCGGACACGGAAGACTAGGTCGCGACTAAGAGGCTTCCGTGAGGATTTTATGAATCCCCCCCAGCTTGAAGATGTTCTGCTTTCGTCCGGAGCAAAGCATCGAAGACAACATCCACTGCGAGACGAGATTTTGTCAATGGAGAGATCCTTGAGTCCTCTGGAGGTGTATCTTATCTTAAACCCTTGCTCTTTGCAGCGCAGGGCCCGTGCGAGAAGGAAAAATTGGCGAGGTAGCCTCCAGCACAAGTTGAGCTAGACATGCGAGATCATAGGAGATCGTACCAGCGCGAGAATCCACAGCCGGGTCTTGCAGGGCTTGGGACAAAGGACTTAGTGGACTGATGTGGACTGCAAACAGCTTCCAGATGTGCCTAGGGTCTCCAGCATGGGATGCGAGGTGCCCGAGATTGCCTCATGAGAGCGCAGGGTTTTGTAAGACTGGTTGGAGCAGATGAGATGGCTTCAATTGGCTGCACAACTGATTTACGGCTTTTGGCTTCTCCGTCTCGAACCTCAGTGACCACTGAGCTGTGGTGGTGCACATGGGAGGCCTGAGTCACTCAGAGAAGAGTCCGTCTTTGTTGCGTGCACCCTGTGCGGCTTCTGCTGTGCCCTTTCTGAGTGCCTTGTAGACAGACGGGGTGTGGAGCCATCGGTGAAAGAGGTAGTAGATTGGCTCCTCAGGGGAACTCAGGGAAGTCAGGGAGCTTCTGATCCATCCTCTTTTGCGTAGAACCTCATAGAACTGCCTCTACCTCCAGACAACCGCACGAAGAGCTTGGCTCTGGGTTTGGCGCACGACTGCTCTCCGAATCCGAGGTTTCGGCTACCACGAGATAGTGCCCGAGGAAACAGACCTGTGGTCCAGCGAAGAGCTGCAAATTTATGAATGAAGCTCGTCAAAGAAGGGAGGAGCAAGAACCACAGACGGAAAAGCCGGGAGGTAAGAGGGAAGAGAGACCAACACAGATGAAGACGTGACAGGCTCGATTCAGTTGAGGCTAAATGCTCTGTATTGCTCTGCGACATGCAACGTCTCTGCGCGGCTGCCAAGAGGCCGCAATGCTTGACCAGCTCAGCGGCACGGTCTTGGCAGCACAAAAGGCAGAGGATGCCCGAAACATCTGGCTTAGAAGGCTTAGCCTCACAGTGCTTCAAGGATCAACCCATTGTGCCATGTGCATGGTCGTGATTGCGGGCATGCCTAGCCTTGCGGGTCTAGTCTAAGGTCCCGGCTGTCCTCAGCCATGGCGTCACAGCATCCACCTGACATCAATACGTTCCCGTGCTACGGCTTGGAAGTTGCAAGATATTGTGGGCCTTAAGATATCAAGGGCCAGACACCCCGGTTCAGTGCGCACACCGTTCTATATACACAAATCAACGGCATGTTGGGATGCGGGTCGGGGCAGCGGAGCCAGGCTGCCCGGCCAGCACGAAGGCAGTTGGCGAAAGGATGACCGGACCGTCCCAGTCCTGGCATAAGCAAACAATGCAAGCACTACCTGTGTCCAGCATCAGCATGTGAGCGGTTGTGAGTGCACAGCAAAGCACAGCACGTAGACCGTCTAGGAGCCCGGAGTCCAGCTCGCGCTCATGCTGCTCCGCAGGAGGATTCGTCCTATGGATGCGCACCTGGGCTGCCAACACTACTTGCACTTACCATACTGAGTCTTTGGCTTGAAGCATGCTGCAGCACGGGGCCCTTAGATGCCTTAGATCCTGACCAAACTCAAAGTATTGTGCCCGGCTGAGGCTGCAACCGGCTCAGCGAAGGTGTCCAACTTTGAGAGGGCGGTGAAGAGCAGATTCACCTGATCCCATGGGTTGATCATTACAGGTTCAGGAGCCCCAGGAGCCTGCTGCCCCAGACGCTTCATGCACAGAATCAGAGAGCTTGCGTTGTACTTTGTGTCTGTTGCAGGCTTGGGTCGGGCCTACGCGGCGCGTCCGTCTTGCTTACACGCTTGCACGCCGCATGGTTCGGGGCCAGTCGGTCCAAGTTGACACGTGACACGCATAGCTTCCGCGGAGAGCATAAGCGGATTTCCAGTCGTGAGATCGCATACGCCTTCTTGCACGCAACGTGGCGAAACCTGTTGAATGCGCAGATGAATGCGCGGCCCCTTATGCACGCAGAGTTTTTGCTTACGCAGGCCTGGGCTCCGGAAGCCTGGGTTCCTCTTTGAGGCCGTGCAAACCAGAAACATCCAGAAACCAGCAACGAGTACCTTTGCTGAGGCTTCGCGCCGCATAGCGCAGCAGGGTGCCGACGATCAGCATCGGCCTGGGCATGGTTGAGGCTACCAAGAGGGCAAGGGGCAATGGCGCCTGCCTAAGGCACCTTCCGCCTATGTTTCCATGGTCATGGTCGTGACTTCTGTGTCCCGCGCAGCATGTGAGTAGCACCAACCTGGACTGCCAGCACCTCGGACAGTTTGGGTCTAGGAAGTGAGGATCTCACAGAACAAAAGCCAAGGCGGGCACGTAGGTTGCTGGATAGACCAGGTATCCTTAGATGCTTTGGGGCTTGGGCGAGGGGCTAAGCCAGCAAAGTCCTCGGAACATCTCAGAATGAACTTTTGTCTCTCTTGCTGCCCCTCTTCTTTAAGCGCATCAAAGGAACGGCCCCACCAAGTAGGGGATTGGGATCCTCTCGGATTTCAGATGCTCCGGGATGCTCTGAGCTCGGGACCCCAACATTTTTGCAGAGTCTGCTCTCTCTCTTCCTTCCTTCCTTCGCACATAGTCCCCCCGCGAGGGGACCGCCCTAATGGGCGTGCTCTCGCGGTCTGTCTGTGTGTGAGACATGTCGTGGTTATTATGATGTGGTTCCCCGCTAACTAACATAATCTGCAAGATAGCCTCCTCTCTCCCCATCATCCAACGGTGTGTGACCGTGTGTTCTTGCCGGCTCCCGAAACAACAACGAAGGAAAAACAAAAGTGAATGTACCCTCTCTCTCTGTCGCTCATGTTCGTTCGCGGATCTCCTCTGAACATGTTGAAGGTGAGTGCAGTAAGCACGATCACCGTAATGGAAACCTGCAAAGCTCGATGCGTGCAAAAAATGCGTGTGCAGTGAAGCTCGTATGCTTAAAGCAGGCTCAAACAGCCAGGTGCCGCATTGCCTGCAGCACCGCGAAAGCCATGCTGAAAACTTGGTCACGCGACCAAAGGCTTGCACAAGTGGAGTCTTCTATGGGCCGGGGAATTGGGGAATGCTGACCTTCTGTGTGATGGCTGTCACACTGCGGACTCTGGGCGCTTCGTCGATCTCTCGTCTTGCAAAGTCGGTACGCGCTCTCTCTTTGAAGCTGGACTAACAGGGGGCTCGATGCGTCAGACATGTTCGGGGAAGCCCACATGAATGTTTCTCACGCACCCTCACCTGCGAAGCCTGAAGCAGCGACGTCACGGGCTTGGCAAGACATTTCAGATCTTTACCTGCAAAACCTACTCCATCCTGCACTTAAGGAGTCAACGAGCGCTGAGGCGCTGCAGAAGCGATGCACCTCGTCTTTCGGCATGGGCCCAATTTCCACGAAGGTGTTCTTCACCCTGCACGTGTTGCGCACAGTCAGGTACAGAAAGAGGCAACAGATGTCCGGCTTGCTAGCAGGAATCTTGGAAAGGCAAAAGGCGTTGCATGGACGTCCCCCTCATGGACTCTCGGAGTCTTGTTTCTCCAGGCCGCAGAGCTCTCGCAGCCAGCCCGCCCGCAGCTTGCTTGCTGCACAGCAAGCGGCGTCATGCAACACATGTCCTAAGCATGGAGGTATTTGGTATTTGGAAACTACATATGGAAGGCTCGCGCACTCCTGAGGCTTGGTGCGTCTACGTGCTGAATTGTCTGCAGCTGTCCTTCCGCGCGCATCCTCCGTGACATCTACGTCGAAAATCACACAGCACTAGCATCTTAGACCAGCTGGCTGTTGGTTTCAGTCCGTGCCAGTGACTCCGGGTAGCCACACAGTGAGCAATCAATGCGCAAGGATTTGTATGCATTTGTCAAGTCTTGGTCCTTGGTGCACACTCTCGACCCATGCGTGACAACCCATGAAAAACAGGTGTTGCAGTTGCAGTCGGAGGCCAAAGGCGGCCAACCCATGCCCGCCCCTAGACGCCTGCCAAATCAGATGTCTGGCGCCTGCATAGCCGCATGCCAAGGTTCAAATAAAGCGTGCACCTAATTCGGGTACACCCCTGCCGAGGATGCCAAGAGACCACAGGTCCTCCACAACAAAAATCCTGCTTATCCATCGCATGTTGAATTGAAATCTTGGCTCCTCAAAGGTGTGTGTAGCCTAATGCTTTCGATTACATAAATTTACAATGCCGCCTTTGGCAGGCAGCAAAAGATTGGAAGCGCAGACTGAAACTTTGTCTCGTGCATTTGTAGCATTGAGAGTCAGATAGCCATGGAAAGAATCCGTAAATCTTTTTCGGTATCCGCAGCCAGCCGGCTGCCACTGTGCTCTGCACATACCCGCAATCCCAGGGCAAGGATAAGCCTGTGCAGGACTTCGACCTGTGGTCAGAATCTGCTGAGAGAAAGCGCCCAAAGCTTTTGGTAAACGATCCGGTCATCCACACCTTGGCAAAGCAATGGTAGGGCGGAGTCGACACGCACCGGGAACGTCAAGAGTGTCTACCGTAAGCTGTACCAAACTGCCGAGGCCCGCAAACCTAAGGCTTTTGGGGGGAAAGGCTTCCTCTTCGCAGTCCGGTCCCGAAATCCGCCCATACCCCCCCCCCACCCCTTTCCCCCCCCCACCCTTTCCCCCCCCCCACCCCCCCCCCCCCCAAGTTGGTTCCCAACCTTCCCAACGTGAACCCTGCACTAGCCTCGGTCCTCTTGTCGAGGCGGCGTGAGCGGTTAAATTGTAAGCTGCGGTACTTGCTTGTACCGGGTTCTGGGAGCCAGGCTGGCAATAGTAAGGCGCTGTTGTTTTACTTGTTGGAACCAGGGCGTGGGGCCCAGCAAAGGCATAGGGCACAGTTGCACACCCACCGACGGCTAGAAGTCCAGCTCACGTGCAGGCTGTGCCGAGGCGGGTCGCGTTGGCGCAATGAAGTAAGCATTTTCTCTCTTTAACCGTACCGTAGCCGGCCGCTTAGCCAAGCCGCATCTCGCAAAGAGCGCAAGCAGCACCTGCATTCGCTCAGCGACTGGCACAGGGTCAGCCCCTCTGAAGTTCTGCAAAGACCTGCGCTTCCGGAAAGCCGGAACTTAGCCTAAGGCTCCAGGAGTTTCCTGCATTATCCAAAAAGCAAGCAGTTCATCGGCTTCCCGGCACCTGGCGGATGCACTGCTCCTGAAAGATCTGCATGCGTTGCAATGCTTTCAACTGATTGCACTTTCTTGCACCCTCCTTGCAGTCCCTCTCCCAGAGGAGCTCCTCCCACGCAGCCCAAAGCCCGCGATTTTCGGTGAGCATCTCCTCGACATCTTGCGGAATCCCGGCCTGGTGTCAGAACCCTTTGCTCCCTCTTTAAGGATGCAAGTGTATCAGGTGTCGGCGCCATTCAGTCGCAAACTGTCGCTCTCACCTGGTCAGAGGAGGGCGAGGACCAGGAGCACTCCAGGCCAGAGCTCGCTTTGATGCAGGAGTTCCTTCAGAGAGAAAAAAACTCTTGGAGCGGGTGAGAGAATGCATGCACATGCATGCAAATGCAAGATTACACAGAGCATCAAGCTATCTTGGCCGTTCCGCCCCCTGGCTGAGGCTCTGGCGTGCCGATAAGGACCCAAACATCCAGCTGCCTGACCGTCACTTGTGAGCTTGTCGAACAATCGGGAGGAATTGAGCTGGGGCCCTGGGGAATGCCATTGGGGCATGGGTTTTCTGGTGTGGTGAGCAGCCCATGTGATCCACGTAAACGCACCAGATCTGCAGAAGCATGACCCATTTCTCTTTCAGGCTTCTGAGAAATGGTGAGAACACGTCGTGCTTGCGAATGCTGGTCTAACCTCGAAATCTCGACTGGCCAGAATCCGCCTGCCATTCAGAATCAGCCCCAGGAAAGCAAGCGCAAATGCACGCCAGTCACCTCGGACAAGGGCTCAGCCCAGCACTTAGGTGCTTCGAGTCAGAAGCCAAGACGGGGCAAGGCGGCGAGCAGCACCAGAGGCTTCAACTCACGTCGCATGCTGCCTATTACACCTTGTCTTTCTCATACGGTAGATCATCTTGCAATACCCGGTACGCAAAAGGATCTGTAAGTTTTCTGCTTTGATGCAGGCGAGGAGCGATTGCGACTCCATCGACTGTCGTACAGTTTTCCAAGTTCGTTCTGCCAGTGATCAGCTCCTGCGGGACGGCACCATTGCTAAGAGCCCACCTCGACCTTGCATATCTAGAGAAGCCTGATGCTCTGAGGCAGTGCGGGTAACGCTGCCAAGATCGATCAGCTTGTAGCTGTCCTGCAATACGGTAAAGACAATGCAGGACTGCTGCTCGTGGGGTTTCAAAACCGTTTCACCATATGATCCCGCGTGTGACCGTTGCAACGTCTTCGCCCAGGACGACAGAGTCTGCAGGCCGTTATACATCCAAGCATCAATATATTCTTCTGCCGAAGAATGTTGCCATCGTGCATGTCATTGTTAGACCTGCATTGAGCGGGGCAGCTCGATTGGCAGCGCCAGCACGATGCGGTACAGCGTTGTGACGGAGGTCACCCGATCAATCAAAAAAGCCTGCGGCAATGCCTGAAACCTCAAGAAGCAGATTCGATGTGTGCAGCACAGGGGCAAATCCATCGCTGTGAATTCGCCGAAGGACGTGAGCAACCTCACGAATGCAGCGTGTCCGGACAAGCAGGTCACGGAATCTGTTGCCACCCCCATTCCCCGTGGTGCTGAATGCGCTGAGCAACTGGGAGCAAGCTCTTTGCAGCCCTTTGCGGGGTGTAACGGACCTCAGGCATGCCCATCAAAGCAATGATCACGAACTTACGGCGACGATTTTTGAACATGTGGATGTTTTTATACATACAGGGATTTTTTATACTAGGTTGACAGGGTCCCGCCTGGCGCCAAGGCTATTTTTAACGAGCTAGGGGTGGGGGTGTCTAGGGGGTGGGGGCGTCACGTGCGAGTTGCAAGTCTCCGCAACAGGCACAGTTTGGACGCCCTGCACTTTCGCTGCACGTGGACAGATGTAGACAGCAAAAGGAGCCGAAGGTTCCCTGTTTGGTTTAGGATGCCGCCTTCAACCCTAACAACGCCAAGCCCCAAGTACTGAGTTCCGGCACACCGGCCGCTCTCGAAACCCTCCAACCTCCACCCGAAAAGGGCAAAGTCGTGCTGACGAATGGCGAGACCACGCCGAATGTCTTGCAGAATACAAGCCTCGCGCAGCAAGCATATGTAATCACGGACTGTGTTACGACGTAAGGTGTTCCAACAAACGGAGAGAGAGCGAGAGAGCGGGAGACTTTCCGGCCAACGACTGACCAGCTGGCCTTATCCGCGTCTCCTGTGCCTCTTCCCAGCTGCTTGCCCAGGCGCTCTTCGATAATCGCCTCCAAAACACGCACAGATTCGTATAGATATTCGAATTTATTGTTCAAGCTTCTGCGTGTACCTAGAACAGCAACTTGTCACGAAGAGCCACCCATGAATATTAAACTCCCAACCTGCGGCACGCCATTGTTCCATACCACTTTCCTCAGCACGGGGCTGTATCTCAGACTGGGTGTCTGAAGCAGGTGCACTGAAGTCCCCATCGCAAGCGTTCTGCCATGCAAGTCAGGACACTGCAGCTGCACCAATCCTGCTTCCCCGGACCAGCGTGCCAAATATCCGATCTCCAAGACCATGTCCTTGCGCAGCTTGCCCAACTGACCAGACTCTGACAGCTTGCTATCCATTGATGCGCATGTCCATCGCGACGGGCATGCTAGTTCCCCTCACAGACACGCTCTTGCCAAGCATCTTTCCGCATTTGGTCTCCCTTCCTGGGCCCAAGACTTGCACATGAGAACTGCTACACACTTGCAAAAACATCAGCCACCGGTTGCCCCAAGTTCTTGTTGCTCTGTGCACAGATTTTGGCATCTGAGAGGCTCCACGGTGAGCAGCCGCCTGCCTTCCTTTCAAGACATGCATTTGGCAGAACGCCCAGGATCGCAATCCTGCAGGTGAGTAGCCTACTTAGTACTACTTCAGCCAAGGTGCCATGTGGGACACAATGCGAACCAAGCGCGCGCTGCCAGCCTGCAGAACTCATACCATGTCATACGAGACATCGCAAAGTTTCAACATTTGCTCAGCAACATGAAGGTACAAGAAACGACTTAAAAAGCCGAGCCTGACCCACAACTTCCAGCTCCCATTGCTGGTTACGACCACCGTTCGCGGCGTAGGCACATACAGCTGCACCTCAGCAACAGTCCATAGCGTGCAGGTTGACCATGGTTGCTCCATGTCACCAGCGACTGTGAAAATCAGAGTTTGGGCCAGCGACTATTTGCATCCTGCGCCCCCACCACGTCAATGCAGAACTTCAGCGGAGCGGCTTGATTGTCCCTGACATGGCGCAACCATGTAAGGTTTCGCAATTGCGGGTCCCATATTGGGGTCCTTATTACAAGGGAATTCTACGTTTTGGGATCAATATTAGAGTCCTTCATTTTCGTAAACCCCGTATCGCGAGTGGCGCTGTAGCAGATCGCCTTGGGCTATTGGAAGTGAAGCGATTCATATTAATACAACTTATAATTGTAACTATAACCTCACTTCTTTACATTTCTGATTTTTTTACGCAGTTGTGTGTCTGTGCGTGCTTTTTGCAGTTCGTTTTTTGTGTTTCTTGTTTTGATTGCACTAATTTGTGCTGTTATGCATGTATTTATTGTTGTTATTGTTTTTTTCATGTTTCTTGCCTCTCTAAATCCTTTCTGTGCTTGTCACAAGCATAGAAGAGCACAAGCCAAAAACCAAAGCATCAAAAGTCCAACCACAAATCCAAAGCTCCAAAATCCAACAATCTTCTCGCCGGAAAAGTTTGGATTCATGGGCTTTTGGATTCTTGGATTTGAGTGTGGGTGGCTGGCTCGCATTTACCTGAGTGCATAGTTCTTCGGCACAGAGGGCAACCAGTGAGTTGTGTGTCCGAAGTTGCTTGTTTCAGTGTAATCGGGCAAGCCAAAAGCAACCAGCCCCAGGATCTCCCAAAAAAAAGTTTGGGTGTTGAATTTTATACAATTGATCTTTGGATTCTTGGGTTTTTGAGTATTTGGGTTTTGGGGTCTTTTGATTGACGAAGAGGTATGGCTTTCCTTCCCCCATCACAGCAATCCAAAGGTCCAAATCTTTTTGGAGTTTTGTCCGAAAAGTTTGGATTCTGGACTTGCTTTGGAAATTTGAATTGGGGACGTCTGGAACGTAGGGTCAATAATGTTTACTATAGCTTTTTCTTATAGAAGTCGTATGTCTAATTCATATGGTCTTTTGCTTGTTGTCTTAAATTTCTTTGCAACAATTATTAGTAAAAAGACCATTTATAATTCAACTACCAATCTCATGGTGTTGTAACCTTAAGATAGTGCGAAAACAACAAAAAAGCACAAATAAATGTAGACAGGCAAAAGCAGCACAACCAAGTGCAAAACAAGGCAATAAATGCAAAAATAAATGCAAAAACGAAAGCAAGAAAAGCACAGATCTAGATGTCACTTTGTGGCTGGTCTGTTTGGGGGGGGGGGGGGCGTAAGCATATATATATATATATGTGTCTCTGGAGAATATGTATTATCTATTGCATCTTCTTTGTCATACTTATATGTATGTATAACTATGTGTGCATATAACAATATGCTAATTACTTCACGATAGATCCGAAAGTTTGGTGCCAAAGCGCGGCTTGCAGTCCAGCTTGCTGGTGATACGACCACTGTCAACCTGAATGGTGAAGATGCGGGGGCCTTTTCGGGGGGTTTCTTCTGATGATGATGCTCATTGAGGGTCATGTTTAGAGGTACTCCGATTTTGGATTTACCCATATGAGAGTATGGGGACGTTGACGTGCAGAACAGGCCTTGGATTACTGCACGGCTTAGCAGAAGCCATGTCTCGAAAGTCTCTCGCACCGCAATCATACTCACAGTTCTACCAGGACATAGGAACCAGGTCTAGTTTTCAGCTGTAGGTTTGTGCCACGACACTTCGTTTCACAAACCCTGCTTCTTTCTGGCAGCTTGCCTTCCACTTCTGCCGGTCACCGCCAGAATACTCGGACAGCCTGCCGCGGCAGATGGCCAGGTGACACTCCCACCCGCCTACTGCAACGTGCAACGCACTGCAACCGACTGAAGACAGAGCCTAAGGCGCTGAATCCCTGAGTCTCTGCCTCAGCGATGCAGCGCTGTGCCCAGGGCCGCCACCACGAATCTCTAGGACCTGAAGCGGGGGAAGCTTTCGAATGCTTAAAAGTAGGGTTAGGGAATCGGAACTTAAGACTTAAAGAGCTTAGAGTTCAGAGTCTGGGGGTGCTGTGGTTGTGGATGGTTAAGGTATACACTGCAACATGCTGCCTGACCCTTCTAAGCCAGCAAACGAGCCCTTGAGAACGTCTCGAGTTTTGTAAGGGCTCTTACACAGGCGTCAACAACTTGCACATCTTAGTCAGCGCACGAATCGCCTGCATGCCCGAAGATCGATTGCAGAGGTGGAAGTAAGAACTGTCATCTTTGCAGGGTACGCAAAGCCACAGCCTTAGATCAGCTTTGCTTTTAGTCATGAACTCAAAGGCTTTCTGCACTAATCCTTGCATGAACTGAGCGGGTAGGGTCGCAGGGTCTCTCCATGCAGGCATGATGCTTCTGCGAGCAACAGCCATGTGCTAATTCACCCAAGGCTCTGATCACGCTCTGCGGTGCTCGGCATCTTGGGTGGACTCTCCGGCTGAACGAAATCCTGCATTTGCTTCTGCTTTCAAGACTTCTGCTTGCAGGTGCGCCATGTTTTTTTTAACAACAGACGACGCGATCACTTTGTTCACTGGGCCATTCTCGGCACTGAACTTTGCGCAAGCAAACTCTTCGTGGCTCCTTCAGGCAAGGTTTGCTGAAGGGCGGCCTTAGAGATTGGCATGTAAGTCGCAGATGCTACTCTCCATTTGACCCTATGCCCGATGTGCAAACCAGGAACAGCTTCATCACAGAAGGATACCACCTGACACCGGCCAGTGTTTTGCACTGCTGCAATTTAGATGCCCTTTTGTCGAAAGGGGATCAGCAACAGAATGTCCGATAAGACTGACGTCACTAGTCACAGTGTTTAGTCAACCCGAACCTGTGGCACTAATTCGTGGCACTTAGACACCTTCTGAGGGACTCCATAGCATCGGGTCAATTGAGTCTCTGCCTTCCGTCCGCACCTTGAAGTTCCACCTCATAGACCTTGGCCGTCCACAGGTGCAAGCCATTTTCCAGCTGCTAGATACACGTGGCTCTGCAAACACCCCCAGCCTCAATCCTTCGATTCTTCCCGAGCTGGGGGACATGCATATTTCAGGGGGGGAAAGCCGGTTTGTCGCGTCCACTGCAAACCGTACCAAGTCCTACGCCTATATCCGCCGAGGCACTCCTTTCAAGGCTGACCCCTTTTTCCCGAATGCGTAGCGATGCGTTCCCATTGTAAGAGGTGGGGTTTCAGGGGTTGAGGAGTTTCCCGTCATCGCGCGTGTTGGGTTCGCAAAGCGTTCGAAAGCGTCCGAAAGCGTGCGAAAGCTCGTGATTGTCGTCACTTTTTGACTATGCTTGCCTACAAAGGATGAGGCACGTGGTTGGCGCCATCATCGTGACTGTCTTTTTCAATTGTGCAGACAGTCACGCGGATGAGGAAGCGGGTGGCACCATCCTTGTAAGCTCGTTTCGTTGATCGCGGCTGGAAAGCGCAGACAATCACGAGGATAAGGCACCTCGGTTGCGCCATCCTCGTGGCTGTCGTTACTTTTTAAACGTGTTTCGATGTTCCCGGTTCAAAACGTGCGGACAGTCAAGACGATGAGGCACCTGGGTTGCGCCATGCTCGTGACTGTCGGCATGTCTAGAGCTTCCTTTCCAAAAAATGCAGACAGTCACGAGGATGAAGCGTGGCGCCATCCTTGTGGCTGTCGTTACGTTTTAAGCTTGCTTTGTTGTTCACGGCTCAAAAGTGCAGACAGTCACGAGGATGAGGCACGTGGGCGGCGCCATGCTCGTGACTGTCGTCACGTTTTCAGCTCGGTTTGTTGTGCACGGCTCCTGTTTCCAGGTTTTGCTTATCGGGGGTGAATGGTGAACACCTACAAAGTGTTCCTGCTTCCCGGTTTTGCAATTGGCGGGCGAGCGGTGAATACCTACAAAGCGTTCTTGATTCCAGGTTTTGCTTGTTGGGGGGGTGAGGGCGAATACCTACAGAGCGTTCCTGATTCCACCAGGTTTTTCTTATAGGGGGGTGAATGGTGAACACCTGCAAAGTGCTCCTGATTCCACGTGGTGAGTAGCTACAGGCTGTTCACGATGCCGGTTGTGCTTGTGCTTTCTGGGACGTGCCTTGTAAGTACCTACAAAGTTCCTGATTCCCGGTTTTTCTTGATTTCGGGGGGGTGAGTGTGAATAGCTACAAAGGGTCCCTGACCCTCATCTATAGCATCTAACCATGCCTTTCCCTCGACTCGAACAAGCGGCACTTCCCTGGTAGCCGTTGAAGAGACAGCGATGATCAAGGTCCTCATCCTGCACCCAAACTGCCAGGCTCAATCTTACAGCGATGCAGCTGACACCCCTCGAAGTCCCTTGAAGTTCCTCACCTGAGTGGGCCACACGCGAGCATCTCGCAGAGTTGGCACCACCAGCGAGGCCAGCCACCGCTCCTGCAGCTTGGGGGGGGGGGGGAGGGGTGCCACCAGGCTTGATAAGTGTCTTCTAGGGTGAGGGTTCAGGAGCTGCGGGCAGGTTCCAAAAACGGTGGGGTTTGGGCTTTACGGCTATACGGCTCTGGGCTGGAGCAAACTCTTGGAGTGTCTGGGCCACGGCAGAGAGGGTACACACAATCGACTTTAGCCATGGATCCCGCGAACATCCACCCGGTCGGCACCACTGAGTTACTGGGCACAACTAAATAAATCCCGATATGTAGAAGATCTAGGCACAAAGACACAACAGAAATCGAGCCATGCTCAGCCAAGATGCCCTCTCCGCTGCTGATACATCCTTCGATAGCCGCTGGTCCCTGGACCGAGGAGTGTCAACAGCTGCTCAAGCAGTGAAAAACTGAACCCTTTGGAGGCAACTTTTCGGACTTCGAAAGCCATTCCCTAAGCCCTAGACCCTAGACCCTAGACCCTAGACCCTAAACCCTAAACCCTAAACCCTACACCCTAAACCCTAAACCCTAAACCCTTGCATGCCGTGGCCTGGCTTGCTCCGCAGGCTTCGCAGGCCAGTCGGCATCCTCGGAGTTGTTCCTGCAGGGCGATGCTGAGATGCCTCATCTCTATTGCTTCTCCACAAGGCTGCTGCGGGGCCAGAAGATGAGGAATAGCAACTCAAACTACTACAAAACGCCAAGTCATTCCCGATGTGATCTCACGAGACAGCGAAAACGCCACAAACGTGTGCCTCAAAACTTAAATTACACACTTTGGCGGAGGTTGGCCTCTTCGTTCGGTACGCCTCTGCCCTTTTCACCGAGACTAAGTGCTGAGAGCAACAACCAAACTATGTGAGTTGTCTGGTAGTTACATGCAATCAGAGAACATACCGCTTGAAGAACAAACCAAAGCGTCCTGGCAACGCGGCGCCGCGCTGCTTCCTTCCACGAGGGCGTGGTTGGCTCCAGGGTTTTGGAGTGCGGCCTGGGGCTGACGCACTCAGGGCTAAACGGCTATCATTCTCGGGTAGTTGGTACACGTGCTTCAATCCGCCGAGGCCTCGGGGGTAGCACAAAACAGCCCCACCTCACCTTTATTTGGCACTTCTTTGCCTGGGCACCCCCCCCCCTAGGTGACAGGTATGCCAGAACGGGGTTTGACCCCCCCCCCCCCACCACCCGCCCAACGTCCATCCCGTGCGTGCCCGCTGTGTCCCCGGATTGTTCCCGAAAACCTTTCCGGGGTTGGGTTCTCATTTAGCGCTTCAACGCAGAAGGCGCGCTATCGGATCGCGTTCTGATGAAAGGGAGGGTCGGACAGAATGAATCTTGACGGGAGGCCACGGAGACGACGCAGTCAAGGGAGGGGGGTCGGAACATTTTGCTGGGAGAGGGGCGTGCGGAGGCGTGGACCATGCATTGGAGAAGCACGATGTACGGACTGGTTCGGGGGGGCGAGAACCAGGAGGGGGGAGCGCAGACGGGGAGCGTGACATTCGGTTGACGGGCAGAGGAGTGGGGTACACGTGGACAGGACAAGGGGTTCAGAGCGCGATGTATCCGGTTGAATGGAAGGGTGTAAGGGCGGGAGCGTGATAGCCGGTTGGTGGCTCTGAACGCCTTGCGTGGATTCTGCGGGCGCGTTGCATGGTTCCTTTGTAAAAATATGTTTACAAGACACGCAAGTGCAGCATAGCCTCTAAAGCGTCCACCTTACCCCCGACCCGCCGCAACCCTCCGCTCCGATGGACCGGCCTCCACCTTCCCACCCTCCTCCTCCTCCTCCTCCTCCTCCTCCTCCTCCTCCTCCTCCTCCTCCTCCTCCTCCTCCTCCTCCTCCTCCTCCTCCTCCTCCTCCTTATTTCGCTCCAAGCGAGCGAACAAGCACCTCTGCGCAGGTCCCGGCCGAGGCGGATCGCGTGGCTTTAAAATCCGCCCAGGCCTCGGGCCGAAGTGTCTAGGTTGTGAGAACAGATCACGCTGTAGGGTCTGACGCCACCCCCCCACGTCCCTCCTCTCCGGGAGCTGCATTGGGCCAGGCCGAGGCGGGTCGCGTAGCGTTAAAATTAGATAGCGACATCTGTCCCTGTCTCCCAACGGTCCATCCCCTTTACAGGACCCCTTAGGAACAGTCCCCAATAGGTGGGCCGTCCTACTGTGTCCCTTAACTATGTGCAAGCATGCAAAATACCCGGGGTGGTGGCTGACTCCTTATGACGTTAGGGTTTAGACTCAATGTACCCAAACAGTCGAGCAGCACAACAGTTCGAGGGCTGGTGTCTAGGCTCTGGTATTTGGCTCTGGATCTGGACCGTAGGCCTTGGCCGGGTCTATCGCTGAGGCGTAATGGAGACACGAACAGCAAAGACACTCAGCTCTGAATGAAAGCCTGCTGTTGGTGACATCATGCAACGACTTACAAGCAACTTCTCAGTTTGTGCCAAAGGACGAGGGGTGCACGAACGCCGCTCCTCGGCTGACACGGCATGCTCATCACTGACCTTTCTCCTAGACTGCATGATCGGAAGTCCGGTAACAACAGCTTGCGACCCAGGCACTTTCACACACCTTGCACAGCGCAGGTCCACACTGAGAAGCTGCAAGCATGACATACTTACAAAGGTCCTTGCTACGAAGCATTGTCTGAAGACAACTGGCTCTGTAGGAACGGTACCCCAAGCCACCCAAGTCGGTGCCAGGGTACACGTCATCCTGCCTACCATAGCCCGGCCATCTTGGCGCTGGCGCGATCCAGGAGGAAAGGAATCCTGCAGACCCAGTCCAGCAATAACTGTGACAAGCATCGATTGTGTTGCTGGCTACGTCATTCACCACAATCACCACAATCCGTCAGCAGGGACATGTGCGTTCCGACATGTCCGGTCCTGTCACTGGCGAGCCGCCATGTAAGCTGCACATCAAACTGACTGCCCTCTCTCCACACTCGACCTATCACGCTACAACCTTGAGCTGAACCATGGCGGATTCGCAACAGGCTTGGCAGCCAAAGAATTCTCACATCACACCGTCAACACCAATTGCCTCAACCTCCGTACACGACCCAGTACCCACCAGAACCACCCATCGTAGCATGCTCCGTCTTCACAACATACCTGTTGACAGACATGCCTGAGCTTCAGGATACCAACGTCGAGCCGTAGAACCCTCTTCACGATGTTTGTACTATCCGTGGCGATTCGCGACACGCTAACCAGCGTCAAGAAGGCCCCACAACCAAGCTCATGAAACCTCACAGAGGCAGAAGCTCCCGATGCGCAAAGATCCGGCCATTGCCTGTAGGCGACATCCTCCTTCACACCTCTTGGGCTAAGTGCCTGGAGACCACACAAGGGGTCGAGAAATGTCGCTTCTCAAGATGATACTCATCCAAAATATGTCACGGAATGCGTGGTTAGGCGGCCACCTCATGTCCGAAATAAAATAAAGCCTCCCATACAGCAGACGAGCAAGTTGTATTTTGGCGCCGAAAGCCCACTTTTTCGGTCAAAACGTTTGGGCCACCAAACCAGACCAAGATCTCCGCCAAACACTCCCGCAAGCCTCACCACGAGGACTGGGATTGCAACCAAAAACTCTTCCAGAACCACCAAAAGCAAAACCACAATCACCAAAACAACTGGCTTGCCCAACTAAGGCACGTGGGTTGGGGAACCTAAACCAGGACACTCAGGTCAGTCGCCAAACGTGCTTGCACGTTGTTCTTCAGGTTCGCTTAAGGTTACCCTGGTCGTGCCAGTCACTTCGCTGCAGGATGTGCATGCTAATATTAGGCTGGGTTCCTTTACAAGTACACCCCCAGACCCGGGGGGGGTGGTGGGGCAACCTGGCGAGATGAGGTCAGGCCATTGAGTTTAGGCCAGGCTAGGTTAGGTTGAGTTGAATGTAGCTGAGATTATACTAGGCGATGCTTCTGCAATAAACGAGGCTAAGTTGGATTGGGTGAGGTTAGGTTAGGTTTTGGTTTGGCTAATTTTAGGTCAGGCTAGGCTGAGTGACGATGTGAGGTTAAGTTCGGTAAGCTTGCTTTTGATTTAAGTTAGGTCCAACTTAGGCCACACGCGAAGCTTCTGTAAGTAACAACGACAGTAGAGTTGCAGGATATTTGTAGACTTAGCCCCGGGACCAGGTTGAGGGCCAGGATGCTTGAGAGCCAAATGAGCTGGTTAAGCAAGACGTGGCTGGTGGGTCAATCGGTTATTGATCCACCTTTTCCTGGCAAACACGCTAGCAGGCCTCTACTAAACAGTATAGGGCGGAGGTATTGTATGAAAGACGTATAGGGATTGACGTTGAGTTCAACAGTCACGCGTGTATGAAATCCTTCCGGGGCCAACATGTTGTAATTTTGGAGGAGGAGACTTGGGTTGAGATTGGAGGGTTGCGGGTTGGAAAGGCTTGGGACTTGGCTACAAACCTTCGGCCTGCGTCTGGTGACCGACTGGAAACCCAGGTTCGTGCAGCGTCGTGCTAGCGCCAGCAACTCCCTGATTTCTCAGCCCCAAAACACGACAAAACCATGTTTGTTGGCATGGTGTTTTCAGCGCCTACGCATGTCAAAAGCTCAAAACCATGATTCCCAACCCTTTCGGCTCGACAAGGGACGGTTGGGAACAATGGTTGCCGGTGAGCCCACACCGCGCTTCGCTGCCGCGGTACTTTCCAGCCCCAGAGCATCCACAAGGCTCGAAAAGGGGAGGTTGGGAGCAATGCTTTCCAGCCCCAAGCCCGGCCAACACCCAGTTCCCAACCCCTCCTTCTCGGCTGGAAAGCAAGTGGTTGGGAACAATGCTTTAGGCCTGCATGCGTACCTTTCTTTCTGTTCAAGCATTTGTCTAATGAACAGGACTTGGGTGGCCGCCCCAGAACGATGACATAAAGTTGATGTTAGTCTGATGGTTCGTGTGCCTTTCTATGTAAGCAATAGCGAGGCTTTTTGAGAACTCGTCAATGTAAAGCACCTACTGTAAGCATCTGCAGGCTCTGTAGGCGCTGCAACTGCAAACCTCTGGCAGATTTGTGAACTTCCCGATGCCCCAAAATTTTCCCGTGCGCCCCGCCCCAAACCCTAGTCCCAAGTCTACCGACATCTACGTATGAGCACCAAAAGGCAATGCAAGCAAGCAGGGCAAACACAATGTAACGAGTCCCTCAGTTCGGCAAACTCTGAGCAGAGACGAAATGAGCCTCCACCGCTGGGGCTCGAGCAGTTGAGTCCGCACAGACAGGACCCATGTCAGCAAATGCTCCTGGCGGACACCACAAGTTGTGCTCTGCAGGGAACATTCCAGTAACGAGGCAAGCCTTTCTCCAGCGAGGATGGGAATCGAGGCACTAGAGAGTCTCCTATTCTCTGCACAGTCTGCACAACTTGGGCTTAACGCGGCTGCGACACGTCAAGCGTTAACGCCCAGAAACACCACATCTTGCCGGCTTTGCTGAGGGACATCTTCACTTTCAAAGACCCAGACTTGGGCATGCTGTGCGAAATAGCCACGTAGTGCGTTCACGGCAGTGTGTTTCAAGTATGCTGCTGCGAACCTACATTGACCTGTGATTTCCATGTACTTCCATCGCTCTTTTTCTCTGACGGTCGCCCTTGCGTTTGGCCACGCAACTTTGGTGCGGCAGCTGGGCCTAACTAGAAACCGACGAAGTCGGCGTCACTCAGCGTCGATATCGGCTGGCATGGCGGCTGAGGATTTTAGTCGTGGCGTGCGTGGGGCCATGGCTCTTCAGACTAAACCTCAGGTGCAGGAATGCGACATTGCTCTGAGCTACGAGACAAGCATGGCAAGCTCATGAAGAAAGGCTTTGCACGAAACGTGATGCCAGGCCTTTGAGCAAAGCTTTGGAACGAAACATCACCAATACCGAATGAAAACTAGCAGTAAATGGCACTGCGCTCTGAAGGATAACTTCTCAACTACTCTCCCGATTTGCCAGAAAAGTGGGACCAACACAATTCGCATCGCTAAGGCTGCCAAAGCCTGCCAAAGCTGATCTCACTGCCGAGTCACTCGTAGGCTCGCTGAGCCCATTGACCAGCTTCCTCCATGCGCTCCAAAGAGAGGCACAGCGTGTAAGCCTGGAGCGTGCCAAGAGGCTGTGTGTTGTTCTGTCTGTTGTTCCCGCTTCATGGTGGAACCAGCAAGCGCAGGGCAATGGCTGAGGGCTGTCATGAGCTGTGCATGCTTTGCATGATGCCCTTTTTCTGACCTTAGGAGTCCAAGGACAAGTGCAGAGCCTGGTAGGCGGCCACCTTCCTGAAGCTGGCCACGTTCAGCCCCTGGGCCACCAGTAAGAAACGAAGGCCAAAGGGGGGGTTAAAGGGGGGGTTAAACAGTTCACCCTACCCTTCACTCCGAACTCTCAAGACCTGAAAATCCCCTATAGGCCCGAATTCCATTGCCTAACATGCACGCCCCTTTGCCCCTTTGGCCCCGACCCAACCCTTCCGGCTCTCTGGCTGAATTTCAGTCGGGCCTTGGTGGCTAAACACTTTGCACCATGTCGTTACAGGCTGAAGCTTGTTTACTGTCTGACAGCACTGCAATCTCTAACACCGAAAGAGCATGGCGCCTTTTTGCTCTAAAGAAAGTCTTGGCTCTCGGCCGCTCGAGAGGTAACAGTTCGGAGAAGCTCGTTCACTGAAAGCGCTCAAGTCCAATGGCGCTAAGCACGATCTTTCACACTGGTCTTACTTTCTTTTTGGACTTGATCAGTGAGTTGAAGCTTCGGGTCCCTAAGGAACTTGTTCAAAATCTCAGTCAGCTTCCAATCTAGCTTCGTGAGACCATCGGCTGCCATAAGGCTTGTTGGCACCCACCGAAAGTCTTCAGGCTTCACACACTGCTGTATGCTCCTGATATTTATCAGAGAGCGTTTGTCGCTGACTCCAGGATTTTCAGCTATCACAGTATCATACAAACTCTTGGCATCTGTTACTTGAACATTCGGGAAAACAGGTGGTGCCTTGAGTGCTTGATGTCCTGTGAAAAGCTCACTCAAGCAGAGGTTCGCGAAGCCTGCTCTGTCAGAGCCCTCGTCTGCAGCACTTGCCTCGGCTGCCAGCGTTGACCTACAAACTCTTGCCGACCTTGCAGACTTCCAGTCCACTAGCGTCCCTTTCGTGATCACGGCGGTCACGCGGACCTGGCTCAGGAAGACAAGGACGCCGTACTGCGATTTGAGCTCGGCGTTAGCAAAGCTGGAGTCGGTGTAGGTCACGAAGCAGCTGTCCTTATTCAGGGCGATGTCCTGGTAAACTAAACCATCTCGAGGAGTGGCTTTTAAGAACTCCACCGCTTCGTAGAGTCGCTGGAGGTCCTTGTAGTCGGTAGCCTTTCCCCGGTTACTCAACGAAACCAAGGGTCCGATTTCTGGCCTTGTCTGGCCGGCAATCCACTGCAGGCTGCCGCTGACGCTGCGAAAGTCTGCCCATTCACTGGGCGTCAAGTTTGCAGCTTGCTGGCCTCGCCCTCGAGCGATCTTGCCTCCTTCCATGCCCTCGATGAACTCGGACTGAGTCACCAAGTACTTGAAGCGGCTGCCTTCTTGGTGAAGCCGTATCTCCTTTCCACGGTACACGGCGTGCTCCTCGGTCGTCACCTTGGTGATGCTGCCCCAAACGAACATGTTCTCCAACAGGTGCAGTGGGAAGCTCTCGCTGTACGTCGCGAGGAAGTCGTCGACGTGGATGATCACCACTGCTTGGAGCTTGTTGCCGTCGCCGACGTAGTAGTACAAGCATCTGTCGAACGAATGCCGCTTGAAGCCGCGCTCGAGCATGGTCTTGTGCACTCGCAGGTACCAAACTCTTGGCGCGTTGGGCAATCCATAGCAGTTGCCTGTCACAAGGTAGAGCTCGGCTGGGAAGCTGCCGGTGGCCTCGATCAAAGGGTCCCTTGGGGGCCGCATGTACAATGGGCCGTTGCGCTCTGAAGCATCTTGATCTCCTTGAAGAAATGCCGATTTGGCATCTGACGCCCACAAGTGCCAGCGTTCGCCAGTGTAGTTGTACTCCTTGTTGATGCCGGCCGCGGCTATTGTCATAAGCAGCGATTCCGAGAGCCTTGTCGGAGTCGGTGAATCCCGGGTTATCTGGAACAAATCCGGGTCAGCACAGCCTATGATGACCACACGGCACTTGGGTCTCAAGGGACCTATGCCTTTCGACTTGTCCCGGTAGGCTGCCCGCGACTTGAGTATGCGGCGGGACAGCTTCGCGTCGCCCAGGATGCGCTTGGCCTCCCGGTGGGATATTGGTTGAATCCCGCCCCACGACATCCAGTTGTCGTTCTCGACACGAGTGGCCTCGAGGTAGGCGTCCAGCTGAGGCTTCGGGAGAATTGTCAGCTGTCTCCAGGGAATTTCTCGGTCAAGTTGTTTAAGCTCTTTTCGGCTGTGGGTCCTGGAGTTTGATGTGCTCATCGAGTTGTCGTCCGAGGACTCGTCGCTCCTTTCGGGCTCCTCGGTCACGCCGGCCTCGTTCATCTCCTTCTTGCGGACGCCGCTGTTCAGGTAGCACTTGTAAAAGTAGTTCCGCTTGAGGGGAATGTTGTTGTAGCCGCCGTCGTCTTGGTAGTCCCGGAGCGTCACCTCGCCGTTGTCGTGGTAGTTGAAGTTCAGCGGCCTGCTCGTCACAAGAACTGCCGCCGGCCGCTTCTGAGGTAGAGTGGGTAGCTCTTCCTCGGGCGTTTCCATGGCCTGCGCTTGAGCTGGCCGAGTGGAAGCTGACGCTTGCTCAGCAAGGTTTGGCTGAGTCTCCTGTGCATCTGTGTCGTTAGCATCGTGGTGCTCGTTGTGCGTGACGTGTCCACCTGGTTCAAGTGGAGGTTGTCGCAGCGGAAGCGACGTGTAGTCTGGAGTCCCAGGCGCTGCGTTCAAAGCTGGAGAGGCGTACTGGGCGCTGTCGTACTGTGCACTGTCGTACTGCAGCGCCTCTTGACGACGGTCACTGGTGACCCTTCTCGTCAGCGGTGTCCTGGAACGCCCCCTCCTGGTACTCCTCGGTGTAGGCGGCACAGGCGAAGCTGGGACACTGAACTGGATAGACCTGTTGTCTTGCGCCACAATTTGCTGAAAGACGGGCCCCACGTGAGTCTGCTGTTGCTGCTGGATGTGAGTCCGCGGTCGCTGCCGACGACTGCTATCATCGTCCTTGCTGCGAGTCTGCTGCTGCTGTCGAGCGTCGTCGGGTTGTGGTAGTGGAACGACTTCAACTGGAGCTGGGGGAAGCGGTCGTGGTAGTTCACGTGTCCTTTGAGGTTGGTCTCCAGGAGCAAGCTTCCAAAAGAAGGTAGTAGAACCGGTCCACGGCTCCTCGAAGGTGTGATGGCTCGAAGGGTCGCGCCACTGGTCTTCAGGAAGTTGTTCGTCTCCTTCGTTGCGGTGTGTCCTGCGTGCTTCTGCCAGGTCCTCGAGGTTGAAGTCACACTCGTGAGGTTGCGGTACGTAAAGTTCACGCCGTGGCGCAACGTGCACTCGACTCACACCCTCTTGTGTGTACCTCCAGTAGTCCTGTAGTTGTTGCAGCTCGGGCGGTAGTCCTGGAGGCGGTAGCAGGTTGTCGCCCGGGTCGCCAGTTGGTTCTTGAAGTTCACCTGGAGGTTCTTCGGTGTGGTCTTCCCACATGGCATCTTTGAGGTTGTTCTCAGCATCGCGGAGAATCTTCACATCCTCGGTGCTCGGTGTCCATTCTTCCCATCCGCAAGCTCGACGTACTTGGTTGGCCGCGACCTTGACAGTAGTGCTTCCGACCTGTAACCACAAAGATTTCCTGTCCGGATCTAGTGAAAGGAAGCGGCCCAAACACCAAGCACCTTTTTTATGCTGACGGGAACGCCCTGACCATCGCCAATAAGCAATGGGTTGTCCAGCCTGGAAGTCATTGGCATCTTGATGTCGCGTCTTTCTCAGCAAAGCGCGCCGAATGGCGCTGGAAGAGTTGAACTCTGCCAGGGCCTTGAGGGCGTCAGCACGCAGAAGTTCTGGCGCCAACCGTTTTTCTCCAGCTTCTGGTGAAAGCACGAGGGACCTTGGATCGGAACAGATATCTCCCAATGGCCTCGGCACTCTGCCGAAAACTGCCTGGAAGGGAGATCTTCCGTACGAATAGGTGCTGCTGTTCATGCTGAAGGTGACGGCGGGCAGGACCTTGTTCAGCTCCTCGATGGTGTGGATGCCCCGCTCGTCGATGATGCGCTCGGCAAGGGTCCTCATGAGGCTGTTTCGGCGCTCGATTTTGCCAAGGCGATGGTGAGCTTCTGCAGGTATTACCTCATGTAGCACACCACTTCGTCCATGCCAGGCGGCTACATCGGCCGCAAACTCTCCCCCAGCGTCACACTTGAAGTGCAAAGGGAGCCCAAGAGGACGGTACCAGATGTCCAAAAGGCATTGGAGTACTTCCGAAGGGTTCCTGGAGGTGAGGGCTTTGCTGGCGTGGTAGTTCGTCGCCTCGCAGGTGACGCCGATCACGGGGATGGCGGTGCCGGTGATGATCCTGATGTAGACCAAATCTGCCTGCAGCACCTCGCCGAAGTAGCCGGTGAAGACGGGTGCCACCGAAGACACCGGCGGAGGCCTTGGCTTCTGCATTCTCAGGCAGCTGCCGCACCTCAAGCAGTCAAGTCCCTGCAGCACTTTTCGAGAAAGGTTGCCGCTGGCCGCCAACATGCGTATCAACTCGGCCCGTGCGGGGTGACCCATATTTACGTGCAAACGGGCCAAACTGTACTGCAGCTTCTTGTCCACCTCCCGCGGCGGGTCCTCGAACCACAGCTCGGTGTCGAAACCATGCAGAGGTCGCGTGCTTGACTGTCCTGGTGGCTCATCGGGACTCGTCTCCTGAGCTTCAGGTGGTTTGTTTGGCACACCGTAGAAGAACACAGCCACACGGATCGGCTTGGCAAAGCGCTGTTTGGGATAGGTCACCTGGGAAAGGTCCTCGGATTCTATCGCAACTTCCCCAGTGGTGAGCATCAGCGCTGCGCCTCGATGCGTGAAGGGTATATCCTGTGGCCATCGCCGGGACTGTGGTGTCCAGGCAGCTTGCACGCGTTCCAGTTGCCACGGCACGAGTTGACTAAGAACTTCTCGAAGAGGGTCGCCGGGATTGAGGTTGAAGGGCTTCTTATGGGTGTTGGAGAAGCGCTGCTCAATCTCGTTCAGTACTTGCTTCCAGGTCTCCGGGTCGTTCAGAGGCCGCGCGTACATCACATCGAAGGTCTTATGCTGAAACCGAGAAGGGAAACGTCGCCTAGCCTCTTCCTGGACACCTTTAAGCACCGAAGATATCAAACCAAAGCACGGGTAACCCTTCTTGTGCACGGACTTCGTAGGCTGGTCCTGGCAGTACATCAGCTGTTCCTCGGTGAGCTTGTTCCCCAACCGGTCCAGCACCGCCCGGCTGTTTGAGATCCATTGGTGCTGCTGGGTCGTAGGATATCCTTGCTCGTCCTCCTCTCCATAAGCACCTGCGTGGCACACGGTTTTATGCACATCCTTGATTTCCAAGAGGGAGGCTGCACACTCACGTTGCCAGAATCGGCCGCGTGGGTCGTGCTCTCCAAGGAATAGCCGACCATGGTGACATTGTTCACGGCAAGCCCAGGCTCCGAGGTTGTACAGGTCATCGAGGTTGCCAAGTTGTGCGTCGCCGGCATTCTTGTGGGGCCACCGACACACAAGGAAAAGTGGTCTCAGCTGCCGCACCGCGTTTTTTAACGTATTGGTCTGCTCCTTGTCATTGAGATCCTGGCCGTAGACAAAGTCGAGGGGCTGGAGCGCCGTGAGGCCGTAGTGCCGCGCCGTCATGGTGATGCCGGCCGTGCCCGCGAAGATTTCAAGCACGTCAATCTTTGGCAGGCTGTAGACGCTCTTGTAAAAGGGCATCTCCTGGTGCTGCTCAACCTCGAAGCTGTAGTTCTCGCGCGCCTTGCGCACCTCGCTCACGAGCCATGTTTGATGCCCCCGCCTCAATCCTGAGGTGGCACCAGGCTCCAGTCGTAGGTGCTCAGGTCGTCGTCGATCTGCTCGTTCTCCTGCTCCTCTTCGGCCGGGGCCTGCTGAAGAGCATCGCTGCCCACCGCCTGCATGCGCTGGGCTGCTCGGGCCCTCGTCTGCTGCAACACTGCTTGCCCTTGTTGGTGACTGCCCTCCATCCGCATGGAACGAACCTCGGCCTCCGTGACGTCCAGTTCGCTCCGACAGGGCGGCGAAGGTTTGGCCTTTGCCGTCAGTCCAGTCACCGACCGGCTCCCCGAAGAAGAAGCCGTTGAGCATTGCACGTCCATCCCCGGCAACAACCGGATCGCCCATTCCCGTTTCGCTCCATATGTGCGAGAGGGAGGCAACGGCCGCTGCGATGGTGTAGAGGGCAGCTCTTCCCACGCTCCGTGCACCCATTTCCACACCTTGTTCCGCACTGGCAACACTTTTGGAACTGGCCGTGGCGATTGCCGCTTCGAGCCAGCATCGCCGCGGGATGTTCGCAGGGCATCTGGAGGTAGTTGATCAAGTTGTCGGTCCACCGCTGGTGCATCGGGTCCTGGTGCACCAGCCAAGAGCGTGGTCGAAGTCGAAGGCGAACCGTCTGCGCCATGAAGCGCAGGAGCTGCATCTCGGCGCCGAGGAACATCAGCACCATTTTGCGCCACTTCTGAAGCCATTGAGGTGGCGGCAGCGATGTGAACATGTGTTGGCGAGGTCTCTGAGGCAGGGGCTGTCACAAACTCCACGTCTGGGTCACCTTGATCCAGAACGCTGCTCAGTGACTTCCATTGCGCAAAATGCTTCTTGGGGAACTTGTTCAGGGCCAAACAGACGTGCCCACTGATCTTGACGATGGGGACCTCTACGCCGAACACCCCGAGGTAGGCAACACCTTTGGGGAAATCCAGAACGGCTTTGAGTTTCTTCGAAATCATTCCCAAGCTCAACAACAGCGGTATCTCACTGCCACCATCCATCACTGAAGCCCCAAACAGCGAACATGTTTGCAAGGTGCCATCTAGACATGTTGGGAAGTACGCATGCTCACTGCTGATTTGGATGGGCCCGGTGCCGAACTGAAAGCCTTCGTTCTCGGGTCTCAGCTTCGCATCCAGCTTGAAACTCCTAAGTTGCTCACGGTGGCTGTTCAACCATGTCTTGCTACACAAACTTCTCTGACAGGCGGTGTCAAGAACAGCGAATCCAGCATAATCCCCAGGACGACTAAGGAAAACTTCTTGAGGAGGCCCAACAAACGCAGTCATGAAGGTTGTGAAGTATGACCCGTACTCTTGTGTCTGCTCGTGCTCTTGTTCGGCCTCGGGGTCTTGGACGGGGCTGCTGCTCTCGAAGGAAACCGACTTGTCTAGGCCCGCTGGGTGGAACACCGTGAGGACTTTCTTTGGCGCTGCTCCCTTCTTGTCGTGCCTGTCGCCCTTCGGAAGCAGAGGAAGAGGCTGAGGAGCCGCGACCGCCTTTGGCGCTCACGGGGCAGGACTCATCCCCTTGCCAGTGGCCTTTCTGGCCGCAAGCCATGCAATGGCTATTCTTTTTACGCTGCTCCAAACCTTTGCCTCTGCCACCTCCAGAGAATTTCCTTCCCAGGGTGACTCCTTGGAGTCTTCTCGCAGTCACGGTCAAGCAATCTGCCACTTCGCGCATGACGTCCTCGATGTTCTCGGGGTCGTCCTGGGGCACAAGCTCCTCGTCGTCATCGTCGCCCTGTGCGTCGTCATCGTCTTCTTCCGGGATTCCCGGCATGTCGTCTTCGCCTTGGTCTTCGTCATCTGGCGCCTCTTCAGCAACATAAGCACGATGAACTTTTCCATGCTTGCCGTGGCCCTTCGGTCCTCGGCCTCCTTTTCCTTGGTCCTTGCCGCCCTTTGGTGCTCCTCGCTGACTGCCATCTGGATATCCAGACGTCCGATGCTGCACGTTCTCGAACTCCCGGTGGTAGGCCACAGGTGGCGTCGCCCTATGCTCAGGAAACTGCAGCTGGGCCGACTCGCGTATGCTGTCAAAGTGCAAGCTCTGGCCCGTCGCCACAAGGATGAGGCGCTGCTGTTCCGAAGTAAGGCGCATCCTGTCCAGCAACCGGCTGCCACGGGACTCGGCATCATACATCGCATTCACGTCGATCCTTGCAGCCAGCAAAGATTTCTCGGTCCGGTGATATCTGTTGCAAAAGGACCTGATCGATTCGTTGTTGTTTCGACCAAGGTATTCATAGTCGTGCAGGAACTTTCGCTTGAGGTAGATTGCACGTGTTTGGAGAGGCCGCCTCAAAGACTGCAAGATATTCTCTATCCCGCTCGGCGAGTCTATCTCGCCCATGTCCATGAACTCTAGCTCCTCTTCCGCCTCGCCTCTCAGAGACACGTAGAGCATCATCGCGGCCTCGTTCTTCGGCATGAAGGAGGAAACTTGCCTTTCCCACACTCGCACTTTTCTCTCATACCTGTCATACGCACGCACATCTTCCCGCGCATAGTTCCAGGTCGGTGGCTGAGGGGGCGCCCCGCCACGGTACTTGACTCCGGGCTTGGGTCCTTTGGAGAAAGACCACTCACCATCATTGCCGCGGTCCTTCTTTGAGAAGATCTCCCCCATGTCCTTTAGGAGCTTTCCCCTCCAGGTGCCACGGCCGTCAACATCTCGATCTTGTTCAGGGTCGTGACCTCCAGGCTGTCCTCGGGGCTGTACTTCCGGAGGGCGCCGATCTTGTCCTGAAGGTTCAGCTCGAGGTCGTTGGCCGCCGCTCTTCGCCGCAGCCGCTGCCGCCGCGCGTCGTTGTCGTCGAGAAAGTCGTCGTAGTGGCTCCAAAGTGTCTGGGTCCACGGTCGGGTCCGTCGTCGCCCGCTCCGACTCTGCTGTCTCACGGTGGTGTCCCTCGGCCCACTCTTGCCAAGGGAAGCTTCCAGCGGGACGCCGGGCTTCACGAGCCGACGGCGAAGTCGAAGACAGGCCATCCAAGGTCGAAGGTCGCCAAGGTGTCCCGGGCGAAGCGTCGAAACCATTGGGCTCAGGGTCTGCACGCGGAACATACACCCACGTTCCTGCTGGCGCCAGCCGTCGGCCGGGTGCGCTGCTGTTGTAGAAGTCTCTGCTGGAGCACACCGAGCAAAACCATCCATCTTGGTCCCGGCTGAACTGCTCGCTCTCACATCTACAGCAAACCCAGCGTGGCGCAGGTGTTTCCAGGCGTGGTGGTTCCAAAGGTACCTCCTCAGATCGAAGCCTGTTCCCGCCGGATGTCGTGGCAGGAGGTTCGAGACCTGGTGGCATCCTCGGTGCAGCTGGAATCTCGGGCTGCTGTATTTCCTGGCGATCTTCATCGTCCAGCCAGTCGTCCAGCTCCTCCAAGCCAACATCAGCTGCCATCTCGCGGGAGCAGGGAGGCTCCGGTGCCAACTGACAGCACTGCAATCTCTAACACCGAAAGAGCATGGCGCCTTTTTGCTCTAAAGAAAGTCTTGGCTCTCGGCCGCTCGAGAGGTAACAGTTCGGAGAAGCTCGTTCACTGAAAGCGCTCAAGTCCAATGGCGCTAAGCACGATCTTTCACATACTGAAGAACAGTGTTTGCTGATTCGGGACTTCATCCAAAATGCGGAGGCGGGGTCGGGCTCAAGGACACAGAACAACGCGGGCACTTCGGGTTAAGAGTCAATGCCCACGTGACCGACGGAACCATCACTTTGTTCTTGCCGTGTTTGTCAGATAGAGACGTTGGATGGGCCGGCGTGGGCTTGCGCCTTAGACGTCGATTTTATTGAGTAGCAGTAGGTGTCAGGCGCCTCCATGTCAGAGAGCTCGAAGGTCTCCCGGATCAGATCTAGCGCCTCTCAACGGAATGGAGTCAGAACAGGGCCTTAACCTCACTTGAAAACCCATGCATCACTTTGCAAAACCGGAGCTTGGGTGGGTGTGAGGCTCCCCCACCTCGGCCCCTCAATCCTGTTCTTTTCACAGGTTAAGCATAGTGAGCATCTGGGCACTGCATGGGTGTTGGGATATCTGGAGCTCTGCGGGATTCTCTGCGAGGAAACGCTGTAGGTTTCTTTGTGGATTCTCTACGGGATTTGCACGCAATCCCACAGCGTGTCCCCGGAGTGCACAGTCCAGCTCATTCAGCTAATGTTCTGTGGACCTAGGGTTCTCCGGTTTCAAGACCGGGCGGGAAGTACAGGATGCCCGCAATTAGGAGCATACTTGAGTCTAGCAACCCACGCCGAGGGGTGGGGAGCAGAAAAGGTCATGCCTACAACGAGCACAGAAAGCTCCCCACCCAGAGTCTCCATCCTACGTTATAATTTGCAGGGCCTTGTAGGGAGTTGATGCAGGAACCCTGATGTCAGATGGGCTCGGTTCGGGAGGTCGAGAACTACCTACAAGATGAGCCCTCCATACACGTGGATCGTTTCTGCCTGCTCGGGATCCTCGCAGCTGGGAATCTCCTCTGTCAAGCGCCATAAGCGCTCACGGCGCTCATCGCTGGTGGGATCTGGCAAACGGAGCTGTTGCACCAACTGACCCAGTAAGAAAAAAAGCGCCCCGCCTGCGGCACTGCAGACCGGACAGGCACAGGTGAAGCCCAACGATTGGAGCTTCTCCTGCAGAGGTGGGCAAATACTGCAGAGCCTCAGGGCTTATGCCTGGCCGATCGTCTCTCAAAGGATCCTGCCGCAATCGTAGGGGCTTGCGAACGTCAGTGTAGTACAAACAGAGCTCATCCCCAGGATGAATATCCTTGGCTGGTTCGGTTGAGACCAGGCCGCGGTAGCATGAAAAACCCAGCAAACCAGCATGGGAAAAAACTGCCCACGCAAAAAACGATGTAGAAGCGAAGTCGCCTCGCAGGCATAGATTTGCAGCAGGCCTCCCAAAGACATGAGCAGTGTACTGCTAACAGCCACTACCCCAAGTGTCTGCCTGCTGTCGGTTGCCACATTAGAAGCTACAAGCTTGGCCGAAGAAATGTCGACGTACACTCTGATTCCCGTGCTGACAACATGTCGAGAGAAAGATAACGAGAGAGAAAGATAACGAGAGAGGGAGAGAGGGAGAGAGGGAGAGAGGGAGAGAGGGAGAGAGAGGGAGAGAGAGGGAGAGAGAGGGAGAGAGAGGGAGAGAGAGGGAGAGAGAGAGAGGGAGAGAGAGGGAGAGAGAGGGAGAGAGAGGGAGAGAGAGCAAGAGAGAGCAAGAGAGAGCAAGAGAGAGCAAGAGAGAGCAAGAGAGAGCAAGAGAGAGCAAGAGAGAGAGAGATGGAAAGAAAAAACAGTGCTCGGAATCTGAGAAGGACAGGTTTGGTTCAAGGGCCAGCCTAGCCGGTCGTCCCAGCTTCCTTCGCAGTTTGGGCAGCAGGAGTGGTTGAAGCGGCTGAGTTCCAAGTACCTCACACCCACAGCGGCATCAGGTCAGCACGCGGAGCTGTGACCATTCCATTCTTCTAAGTATTGCCGAACGCTGCAGAAAGAAGTTTGTGGCAAAGGGAAAGACTGAATGTCAGAGCCTGCTTTCAGGAAACTGATTTTCTGAAGGAGATGTCCTCAATACAACGTGCCGGATGTCCTGTGTTCATGCTCTCATCAATGGCAAAACTCGCTGGCGCTTGCATTCCGCCACAAAGTGCTGAAAGCGGTCTCGCTCTCTTGCAGCAAGTTGCAAACTCTATTTCTGATCGTGTAGATCGTCCCTCCAGGACTCCATGGAGTTGCTTCAAGCATGGAAGCATGGCTGGCAGCCCACACCACAAGACTTTCTATGATTTTGTATAACTTTGTATGCGTTTTCATGATTTTGTCCATCTTCGTCCAGTAGCAGGACTCGCTCCTCCGTCTCATCCCAGGTGTCGTCCAAGCGCTGGCCGCTCTGGAAGGCGTTGGTGCAGGCCACGCCCAGAAGCCTCAATCGAAGCGTGGGTATTGTTACCAAAGCCAAATCCAGCAAAGCCTACAAGTGATGCCGACGCAGCTCCAAAACAATGTGAATTGCGAAAGGATGTGCAGCTGAAGCGCGTCTTCTCGGAGTCGCGATCGGCAAAGCTATCCTGTGAGGATGCGCAGCCGTGGAGCAAAGAGGGTTTCCTGCTTTTTGCTCCCGACAAGCTGCCTGCAAGTCCATCAGCGCACACTGCTTGCTCGCTGGCAGCGCATCGAAAAGCCTCTGCAATTCCTCCTCGCCAGGCATCATCAGGCATCCAGCACAGGCTGACACCGTACAGTGCATCAACATACCCTGGTGGTGTCCTCGTCCTCACCGGACCATTGTAGGAGAGGCGCCTAGCTGAAGAATTTCAAACTTTCTTGGCTTCAGCAGAGGGGCGGTCGCTGGCCGGACCGTGCAGTTCTCATTTACGGGATGCATGCACGATGCTCTGATTTTCTTTCTCAAATCACAATCGCTCAATGTAGGCTTGCCAGTTCCTTCATGCCTCCTCTGATGGGTCGGGTGTCTTGATGGCGTGTTCTGCATTGCGCTCTGGCAGCATCCGTCATAACTTAGAATTCCCAACCCAGCTGCAGTCCATCAATCCGCCGAGGCCTCGGGCCGAAGGTGTATAGGTTGTGAGAACAGGCAACCCCCCTCCAAATCTTCCCACCCCAAAACCACACGTCGGCCCACTTTTTTTGCCTGGAAAGGGTACCCCCCCGGGCGACCACAATCTGAACCAGGCGCAGTTGAAGCCCAGCCATCAGCCCCCCCACCCTTCCTGCCCTGCCCACCCCGCCCCCCCGCCCCCTGCCCCCGCCCCCCTTCCCTCAACATTGAACCCTAAACCCAAAAACCCTAAACCCCAAACCGTGAACCTTGAGCCCTAAGCCGATCCTAAGCCGTCAACCCTAAACTAACCCTCAACCCTAAACCCCAAACCATAAACCATAAACCCGGAACCCTAAACCCTAAACCCAACCCTGATTGCTTGGCGTCCAGCATGCTTACGCGGATGCGCTGGGCCGGGCCGAGGCGGGTCGCACAGCGTTAAAATTATTGCGGAGTTCACACCTTCATTGCTCTTACTACTTAGCTGACTGACGCGACTGTTTCAGAAAGGTTGTGCACTGTCCCCATTCATCGCGACCAGACTGATAGGCAAATCAAGCGGTCGTCCCTGTGCAGGTTCTGCATTATCACTCGGCTTGCGGCGCAAAATACACCGACGGCGGGAGGAAAAGTTCTCTTCTGTGCTGCGGAGACGCGGAGACGCGGGACGGCGGAGACACGGACGGGGATGCATGACAAGAAGGTCGCGGCATGGCGGTCGGCGACGTGGAGTCCTTGAAAGCTCAAAACGCCGAACATCTTACTATGAGCCCCTAAACCCTACCTGGGCCTTCCAGGGCACCAAGATTCTAGTCGTTGTATGGAAAGTATGAATTTCAGTCGCTGCTCGGGAAAAATCGTTTTTGAGCAATGCTCTCGCCATGTTTGGGCAAAGCAGCGGTTCCATGTCTCAGTCTGCAGTAAACTCCGCAGAACATAACTTTCAGTTCTCGGACACGAGAACAGTCTCTTCAAAAAACTGAAATTGTGACCTCCTCGGAAGGTCCAGGTAAACCTAAACCCTCAAGTTCAAAACCTTGTCAAAACCCTAACAGCCTAAACCCCAATAGTCCCCAATAACTTAAACAAGACCTACGCCTAAGCCCTTAAGCCATACACAATAAATCCTGCGAAACCCCAAAGTCCTAAACCCGAAAACCCCAAAAACAGTACTGCTAATCCTCCTCCTCCTCCTCCTCCTCCCCCTCCCCCTCCTCCCCCTCCTCCCCCTCCTCCCCCTCCCCCCCTCCCCCTCCCCCTCCTCCTCCCCCTCCTGCTCCTCCTGCTCCTCCTGCTCCTCCTGCTCCTCCTGCTCCTCCTGCTCCTCCGACTGCGACTGCGACTGCGACTGCGACTGCGACCGGCTTGGACTACTTGCTATACTATTATCACTACACAACATAGTCGGAGTGGGACCCCCTATATTCTCCGGCGCGCCCCCCTACCCCTTCTCTTTGCATGACAATGCACCGTAAAACGCGCCCCTCACCTTTTGTCAGGTTACAGGCCACAGGAACACCTTCGCCAGGACCCCACCCGTTCCCTTGCCCTCCACCGAGTCCGCCCCGGCACCCTTGCTGAGGCGGCCTCGCGCTAGCGATTAAATTACCGAGTTTGGAAGGCGCAGGCCTAGACGCCCAACAGGGCTGACGATGCAATGCTTGTGGTAGCATGTGAACCAAAGCCATGCGCAGGGCATCGAAAACGTCAGGATCGAGCTGAGCTTGATGAGGCAGATGTGAAGTGATTAACAGTTTGACATCAACTCCCATCTGTTGCTGGTCGGTTGGAGGAATTCGTTGGCTTTGTGAAGACCAATTATAGGGTTCTCCAAGGACTCTGGCGGAGTGAGCGGCGACTTTACTTCGCATTCGGCCCTTTAGCATCTCATAGCACATGGGCATTCCCTGCCTCCTCGGCCACAAGCTCGCCTGCCGCCAGCGGCCTTGCCGCAACTGCGCCAGCTCCTGCAACTGAGGAGAACCGGCTCACACACTAAAGGGCAACTGCCAGTCCGTACATGAGAAGAAAAAAACGGACACACGCAGCGAAGCCTTTGCCCGGCATGGACTGCACCACGTAGCAGCGACTGCAGAACAAAACTCAAAATCTGGTTGCAGGCTTTTGCATGTCAGACGTGACATGTCCTGTGACAGCCCGGCTCTCGGATCGCCCAAATTGCCCTAAGTACAGCATACAGCATACGAAAGTATATCGCAGTATCGTGAAGAATGAGAAAGTATAAGGAAGTTTTCGGAAGTACGCAAGAGTGCCCCGTGCCTGCCCGGGCTCGCGGCTCGCAGACGCAGGCGACCACAGCCACGGTGCCAGAGCAAAGCGCTCGCAGCCAACCGCAGCAGCTGCCACAGCTTTTGCAGAAGACATGTTTCTAAAATGTCACCACCAGTAGGTTGTCTACTGCGCTGGTCTTTGGAGGTCTGGTCTGTGATCCCGATGGTCCGTCATGATCCCTGCGACTGTTGGCCAACATCCCAGAATATCCCAGAACCCGAGCGCAGCCTTCGCAGGTTCTCGGGTCCCTGTGCAGTGTGCCGGAGCGGCCTCGCCCGCAGTACCCAAAACCTGCACACAGGATTGAACTTGGAATCTTCGGATTTGAAGATGTTTTGAAGATGCTTTGAAGCAGGCACGCCGGAAAGGCGACATCAAGGCGACCGTCATTTCGCACAAGAAGCAACATCAGAATGACTGTCAGAATGGACTTTGAGTATCAGAATATTACAAGGTCATGGACCTTTGCGGATGTAGCGGTAAACTGTCGAGCATCGCTTCAACTCTCACCTCATCGACGAGCCACTCTGCAGCCCGACGCTTCGAGTGGCTCAGAGTCTGCGAGTGTCTGCAAGCGCTCGAGACATTGAACGCTTTCTTGAAATCTGTGGAAGCCCACCCTGAAACATGCTGAAACCTAATTCTAGAATATTCATGGCTCTCATGAATCCCCTGTCGTTGGAAATAGCAGACGGCCAGCCAAATACGCAGCGGGAACGCATGCAGAAGAGCAAAGATGTGCAAACCTGCCAGGTCTGGGCCTTGGCCAGCCTTGAGAGGCTCCCTTCAGGAGCCGGCGACAAGTCTACAGACCGGAGCATTTAGCTCCTGTGCACCTTCCATGCGCTACACCTTTTCGGCGTGCTACGTGCTCACCGTCTGCTCAAAAGATGACCGAAGTCTTCGCATCACGTAAATTCAACACATCTCTACAGAGGTCCTCAGGCTCAACCAGGCCTGCTACAGCCAGACGGAGGAAGCCGTGAAGTCGGGCGTGGTTCTTTGGTTACCCTGCAGCTGCTCCTTCAACTGCTGCATAAGGCGAGTGTCCAAGTTCGTGCTCTTCTCCACGAAGCAGACCATCTGCTGGCAGCTCATCCGCGACATCGCCTTCTGCAAGTTGCGCTGCAAGGCACTGGACATGCTCGACTCTGGTGACCCCGGTGAAGACTCTGCCAGACGGCGGTGGATCTTCTGCAGGAAAGGGAAAAGGGCATCGAAACATTTGCCAGAAAGTGCACGCTTCGAAAGTTGGGCCAAAAGCAGTTCGAGGATCTCTTTCTCACCTCAGTGGAACAGAGCGGAATCACCTTGCAGGAGCTTCGTGGCCAACAAGGCAGGGAACAACAAGGCAGGTTCTGCTCGCACCATTTCGGGTGCCCAGGCGCTTAGTGACTTCATGGCGGCGCGCTGCTTCTTGTCGGGTTTCACACGGCCCGTGTGTTGGCCTCGCCGCATTCTCAGCACTGAACACTAGCGCCGGTAAGTTTGTGTGCAAAGTCTTCAACTGCGACGAATGCTACGATGAGCCCTCCTGTGCCAGCAGCTGTGCCCTCCCAGGCCCTCGCTCGAGAATTACACGTGATTTTGAGACGAGGAGCAGCGACAGAAGTGGCACTCGAATACCTCGTCGCTTGTGCTTTCTGGCTCTGTGTCGAAACCTCAAGTGAGGGCAATGGGATGGAAAGACTGCATCAAACAGGTGTAGGCTCACAAGTGTTACAGAAGAAAAAGTCGACGTGAAGGCTGACACTTGCATGTTACCCCTAGGACACCTCTGACATCACACTTCTCAGCAGCGAACATGACAAATAGGTACAACGGTACAACACATATTGAATCAAGCACGTGCTCCACACAAAGGCGCAAAAACACTCCTCCCATCACCACTGGCCATTTCGCATTTGGGTAGTCAATACAACATGCATCCGCAGCTCACCTCTAGCGACTCTAGCACAAGACCTTCAGTGCAGCAACTGAAGCATACTAAAGCGCTTGCCCGGGCACCGTTCGGCGACAGACCTGGAGGAGGCAGGATGCCTGAGACTCTGAGACGAATGAGGACACACGAGCACACACGCCATGTTGGCATGGCTCACAGCCTCCAGGCCAGTGCGCGGCATTGACTTCCACCGAGAGCCCTTCACCTGAACCGCATTTCAAGAGCGCAGTACGGAGACACGAACAGCGCGCGACGACACGGGACACTTACTGGTCTGCCTGGACAGTTCCTGGCAGCAGGTGGCAGCTGTTCCGCTGCTCTTGCCTGCGGCCACGACCTCAGCAGAACCACATGCCCAGCACATGCCTGTGCAATCCGTAAAGCTGTTTTGAGCCCATACTGTACAGACCGCATACAAACGCACCAAAAAGGATCGGAGCAAATCGGATCAGGCGGCGTCGCGGCTGCTCTCGAATCTGCTACCATGAACATGCGGCAGTGCAGGACCGGAACTGCACGATAAATACCGGCGGGCTCACGGCTACGATAAATACGGCGGGCCCACGGCTGCGCAAGTATCGAGCGATGCCACTCAAACTTCACAACATTTCACAACTGTCACCCAGAGGCGTGGGCTAAACCAGGGAATGCACGGGGACGGCCTCTTTGGTGGCCGGCGCAAGCCTGCCATGACCCGGGCATGCCTGCATTAGGACAAGGAGCTTCCATGGTACACTGGTACACCCATGATACCATGTGCACCATTGTGCACGGCAATCGCATTCCTTGTGAACGCTCCTGAAACCGGCATCCCCGAAGGCATCCGCCTGCCAGCTACGAAGGCCGAGGCGAGCATGAGCCGCATCAGCCGCATGAGCTATGGATGGGCAAAGCATTTCACTGCTCCAAGTCCTTCCAAAGCAGTGCAACTTCCTGACCTACAGAATGATCAACCTCGTACGGCGTTAGTGGCGGGCTTGTTTGGTACTGTCTGGTAAGGAATCATGAAGGAGATCAGCTTTCTGCGTGTCGGGAGCCGGGTTCCAAGCCATCGAAGCCAAGGCTCAAGTGGATGCAAGATGCAAGCTCGTGCAACCGATTGCTTCTACAGCACGTCGCATGACAATGCTTGGAACTTGCTTGGCCGCCACGCGCGCTGCAGCACCCACTTTTGCTTAGCACTACGTTCAAGAAACGTCAGAATGGCTAATCTTAGTAGCAAATTTCGACGGCATGCAGCCTGCAGTTCTGCGTTTCGTATGCAGTCCATGCGATCTAGCCGATCTAGCCTCTCGCTGTCAGTGTGTACCTCTACCTGGTTGCAAAGAACTGCTTCACCACTCACACTTCTTGGTGCAGTGGCGTGATCTAGTCACCGCAGCTTCATCCGGGCTTGTCCAGTCGTCTTTGGACTAGACACCGGCGAGAGCCCCAAGCCCAGGTCGAACGCAATGCAAAAGCACTGCCAGGCAATGACGTCTCTATATGTGTAAGATGAAACTCTAGAACAGCACCAGACTCCTGCACATCACCTGGCTACAACATTGTCAGATATCAGATATCTTCTGGCAAACCCTCAATCACATGATCTTTGCCTTCTAAAATAAGGTACTGAAAGTCCACCCCTTGTGTCATTGGGTTACGCTGCGTGCATGCTACCGCAACTTGGTAAGTGGCGGAAGGCTCTTTTTTACAGCTGTGGCTCGCCCTTTTCGTTCTAGAAGGTCTTGGAGGAGCTGAGTTTTTGAAAGGTGTGACTGAGGTCCCGGGTCCTTTTGCCAAGTACTAGGGAAGCAGCCACTATCACGCCCCCCGCCCCCCCCCCATTCTTTTGGTAACACCCCTTTTGTAAGGGTGTGGCTCAGGTCGCCTGGTCCCGTGGTCCTCTGGCACTGTCGTTCCTCGATGCACATCACACTCTCGCTTGACGATACTAAAGCCAGTCCTAGTACAATTCTGCTGATGCAGTATGAAGCAGTAGCATTAGCAGTAGTAAAAGTAGTAGTAAAAGTAGTAGTAGTAGTAGTAATGGTATAGCAACAGTAGTAGCAAAAGTAGTAGTAAAGGTAATAGTAAAAGTAGCAATAAAAGTAGTAATAGTAGTAGTAGTCGTCGTCGTCGCCGCCGTCGTCGTCGTCGCCGCAAGAGTTGTAACAGTAGTAGTCGTAGTAAGAGTAGTAGTAGTAGTAGTAGTAGTAGTAGTAGTAGTTAGTAGTAGTAGTAGTAGTAGTAAGTAGTAGTAGTCCTAGAAGTCGTAGTCGTAGTCGTAGTCGCAATCGTAGTAGTCGTCGTAGTAGTAGTAGTCGTCGTCGTCGTCGCCGCCACCGCCGTCGTCGTCGTCGTCGTGTCGTCGTCCTCGTGTCGTCGTCTCGTCCTCCTCCTCCTCCTCCTCCTCCTCCTCCTCCTCCTCCTCCTCCTCCTCCTCCTCCTCCTCCTCCTCCTCCTCCTCCTCCTCGTCGTCCTCGTCCTCGTCCTCGTCCTCGTCCTCGTCCTCGTCCTCGTCATTCGTACTCGTATTCGTATTCGTATTCGTAATATTATTCGTCGTCGTAGTCGTAGTAGTCGTCGTCGTCGTCGTCGTAGTCGTAGTCGTAGTCGTAGTCGTAGTCGTAGTCGTAGTCGTAGTCGTAGTAGTAGTAGTAGTAGTAGTAGTAGTAGTAGTAGTAGTAGTAGTAGTAGTAGTAGTAGTAGTAGTAGTAGTAGTAGTAGTAGTAGTAGTAGCGGTCGTGGTCGTGGTAGTGGTAGCAAGTCACACGCGCATGCACGCATTTTCTCTCTGTCTGTCTTCTACAGCTTGTCTCTCCCACGCTCGGGCCACCAATGGTCACCATCATGTCGACAGCTGCAGCATTCTTCACCTTGTTGTTCGGAGCTGCTAGGCTCCTCGCTTCAGGCATGGTCCCCAGATGGGAGAACTGCCTCAACCAGCTGCCTGACAAAGCTGCCGCATACCACAATTGTCCACGCGCTGCTTCTCCACAGCACACTGCATCCGTGCCAAAGCAGAATGCGTGATTCAGAACTGCACGCGCCGAGCATCTCGATTCGAAAGAGTTTATCTGCCGTACATGGTCGAAGCTCTGTGCTCGCGCCTGCGGCTGTGGAGGGCTGCCTGGGCAGCGGGCCGCATGCCAGGCCTCCAGCAGGTGTTGCAGCCCGAAAGCCTTGGGAATACTGAGCCCTGAACCCAGCCACCCCCCACCCGATCCCACCCCACCGGCACGAGGCGCTCGTGCAGGCTGGCAGAACAGCTCCGGAGCTCCCGCTGGGTCAGGTTGAAGAGGTCCTGGGCGCTTGTAAGCTCTCCAGATGTGGTTTTGGTATCTCCTGCGCCGCCTGAGGCCGATTGCGCATTGGTCGCGTATGGTTCGTGAGGTCTTGAAGTTGAGACTGTTCAGAGTCCATCCAGTTTGCATTCTGCTGGATGCCGCTGAATGCCACCGGAGGGGCCGGAGGCAACGGCTGGCCGTCTGGACATCGCGCCTGCTCTTCGCGGAGGCTGTCGAAGCAGCCATGCGCACAGGCCTGCCATCTTGATGTGCATTGCTTCAGCAAGTCCATGCAAGTCCTGCGTGAGTTTTCTCATTAGTCGCGGAACGCTGCGCTCGGAAAGTGGCGCAACATCACAAAAAAGAATCTTGATGGTGTCGAGAGCAACCACCGCGGCCTCAAGGGGCTTGATGCGCGCCTCGGGGTCGTACCTGTAGGGGACATGACAAGAGCAGCGGCACAGAATTTCGGATGATTCTACGCAGACCCGAGTCGCCTCAGGAGTTCTTAAGCGGCGGCAGCTCAGACCGCAACAGAGGTTAAAGAGGTGCCATGCTCGACTTCCAGAGCGGGGCTCGAGTTGCCGCTTTCATGAGATCTGTTCAGCGACATTTCTGTAGCTCTGTAGAGGGGCAACATCTAGCCTACCACAAATCAAAAAAAGCGCGATTTCCCTAATTTGCACCAATTTGCACTATACCCGGGCCACATCAGACGTCCCGAGCGTGCGCACTGGAGAAATTCCGACAACAGAGTGATGAACCTCAGTGCATCATAAATCCCTCAGGCCGCGTCATGACTTCTGCAAAACGCTAAGCTGCCAGCTCCGGCATCACGGTTTTCCGAAAAATGGTGCCTGGGGAAGGGCACCGCAACTCCCCCCCCCCCCCGACATGCATGTCGGCTTTGCGAGGCAGCGGCTCCAGCTGCATGCAGCAACGGTCGGAAAAGCGAAGCTGAAGTACCTGCACAGTGACAAATCACACGGTAATACGACTGCCATAACGGCATACGAAAAGAATGCGACACTGCGGGGACAAGGCTAGAAGACCAATCTGGTTGGCGAAAATGATGTATGTGAGTCTGCGCTGACTCGATACGTGTACACTGTAAGAGGGTCACTGCGGATTCATCGCTAGGACCTGTCTGCGAGACGGCGAGCCCAGGACCTCCAAACAGAGTACTCGCTTTGACATGCTGGTTTTGTCTTGCGCTTCTAGCAGATCATGATGCCAACATGTGAGCCTTGCGCGCGGAGTTGCGATGTTCTTGTTCCCAATTTGACAAGGAGCCAGGTTTTTTTGGGTTTTTTTTTGGGTTTTCTTTGGGTATGTTCTTGGGTTTAGGGTATGTTTTTGGGTTTAGGGTATGTTTTTGGGTTTAGGGTTTAGGATTGAGGGGTTAGGGGTTAGGGTGTAGGGTTTAGGGTTTAGGGTTTTAGGGTTTTAGGGTTTTAGGGTTTTCGGGTTTTAGGGTTTTGGGGTTTTAGGGTTCTAGGGTTTTAGGGTTTTAGGGTTTTAGGGTTTTAGGGTTTTAGGGTTTTAGGGTTTTAAGGTTTTAGGGTTTTAGGGTTTAGGGTTTTAGGGGTTTAGGGTTTAGGGCTTAGGGTTTAGGGTTTAGGGTTTAGGAGAAAACCAAAAAAAACACCCAACAAAAACCAAAAAATATAACCAAAAAGAACCCCCACCCATTTGACAAGTGACGCGATGTGCTCAGCACAGCAGGCAGTATAGCTTTCAGGCAATATTGGGGCTGGCTATCTTCCCCTTCCTTCCTTGGGTTCCTTCCTTCATCTATTGCACGGAACATGCGGCAAGCCCTATGAAACCAAGAGAACTAAAACAATCAAGCATCTGTGAGAAATAGCGACTAAACCTGGCCATCAAATCCTCATCCCACCCTCCACTCTCTTCTTCGACCTTCTGTTTCCGCCTCTGTCGTTATCATTCTACTTCGATTCCTTGGAGATGCAGAAGCTGCACTATCCTCGCAGCATATGAAAAAGATCGGCCTTGACGATCTCTACCAGCTGGTCCACGCCGTTTTCGCCAGGGAAGAGTGGCCGCCCTGAAAACTGATCGGGGGAGGCGACGAGTTTTCAACGTTTTACGGCGCAGGACTCGGAGGTCCCAAAAAAGACTGGGTTCAGAGGGCTGCGACATGACGAGACGACGCGTGTTAATCACAGTTCTGCTCACCCTGTGTCGTTCTGTGTCACTGCTCAACACTGCCTCGAAGCATCTCGGCCAGCACACAGCCGATCGACCAAAGATCCACGGCGGTCGTACTGCGTATCAGGGCACCAGTCGTCGAGTTGGGGGGGAGGGCTCTGAAGTGCTGATTGCAGTAAGCCCATGATAGGGCTCAAGCTTCATGCAGGGGGCTCAATCTTCATGCGCAGGTCAACAGACGGCCGGGCACAATGGCATGTGCACCTGTGGCCGAAGCCTGAGTCTCTGGCTAGTTCGTGGCACCGAAGATTAGCTCTGGCGCCCGGTAGTAGCGGGAGCAGATGTAAGCAACCTGCACCGCGGCTTGAGGCTGCATGAACCCTGGACGGACGCCTACAAGCCGCAGTTTCTGACTCCGGCGGCTACGAAAGGCAACAACAGGTTGCTTGGCGCCAGCTCTTAGCCCGCCACTAGTGCGGGCCGTCCCTGGCTCAGCCGCGCTGCTGAACCGAAGTCGCCTGGGTGCTCTCAACTTGTACGGAGCTTTCTTCCGCTGCCGTTTCTGTAGTCGACTTGAAGGAACTGGGGCTCGCTGATGTTCACTGGTTCACTAGTGGCACCTGCGACCACTCGAAGAGTGCTCTCCATGCCTTTCCACGAAGATAGGTGCCCAGCAAAGCTTCAGCAAGTGCCCGCGCGAGGCATCCACGAGCAAGTTCTGCGGCCTGAAGCACAGGCTTGAAGTGTTTAAGAGACTTTAGAGACCTTCGAGAAAGGAAAACCCGATGAAAATGAACATGACAATGAAGCGACATGGAATGAAAGAAAACTAGCCAGAGAAGATTGTGGAAGGGTCTGAAGCGTACAGTAGGTAGGAAGCCTAGAAAAGTGGAAAGGGCGAGGGCGAGGTCTTTCCATGCTCTCTCCGTTCTTTTTTTATTTGTTTCTTTCTTTCTTGCTTTTATTTATCTTTCTTTTTCTTTCTTTCTTTATCTATTTTTCTTTCTCTTTCTTTATTTCTATTTATTTCTTTATCGTTCTTTCTTTATCTTTATTTTTCTTTGTTTTTTTTTTTCATTTCTTTCATTTTTCTTTCTTTATTGTTTTATGTATTTCTTTATTTCTTTCGTTCTTGTTTTCTTGCTTTCTTGCTTTCTTGCTTTGTTGTTTTTTGCCTTCTTGCTTGCTTGCTTTCTTGCCTTCTTGCTTTCTTGCTTTGCTGCTTTCTTGCTTTCTTGGTTTCTTGCTTGCTTGCTGTCTTGCTTGCTTGCCGTCTTGCTTACTTGCTTTCTTGCTTTCTTGCTTTCTGGCTTTCTTGCTTTGTTGCTTTCTTGCTTTCTTGCTTTCTTGCTTGCTTGCTTGCTTGCTCGCTTGCTTGCTCGCTTGCTTGCTTTGTTGCTGTCTTGCTATGCTGCTTTCTTGATTTCATGCTTTCTTGCGTGGCGGGTTGTCCCAGCCCTCCTTCTTCACCCGTTGGCCCCAAAGCTCGCTCCACGCGCTAGGCTCGTCTCGACTTTCCCCTTCCGCCTGCGTGAGACTGCCGTTGTGGTCACGTACTCTCAGCTAAACACCCCCAAGCGGTCCCTGAACTGCCCCCCTTGCTTTGGGGTTTTGGGGCTTCGGGTTTTTTGGTCCCTGAACTACCACCCCCCATTATCTAACCTTCTTTCTTTCTTCATGGGGGAGACGCCCGCGAGGAGGCACGCCCCGGTGCTTGTGGTCGGTTCTACCACTCGCATCACGGCACTTTCGCCGTCACGTCACAAGCCCGCGCCATGAGGTGGGCCCGGTATCGGCCCCTCATCGACCCTTTATCGCTTCACTTTGCCACACCCTCCTCTTTGAGTCAACTACCTCCTAAAGCTGGCCCCCACGTCTCAACCATCTGCGGTGACCCACCCAAACTCAGCCTCCCATCCCGCCAACCTCTGCCCGTTTACTTACTCGGCCCTTCCCCTCCCCCGCGGACAACCATCAAGCCCCTCGCGCAGCCTTCGAGGTCAACCTCCCTCTCCCCCACATCACTCAAGCTCCCCTCCCCCGGAGCAACTCCACACCTCCTCACCCAAAGTCAACCTCCCTCTTCCCCCACTTATTTCCCTTAACCTTCTACTTGTTGTGGCTTGGGTCTCTCGGGCTTGTGCCTCGCCGCCCCCTCTCACTTTCCCCCAACCCCCTACACTACTTAGTTGCTACTCCGCCTAGTTTTGGGGTGGCGCGCGAGTGTTTGGGCCCCCCTTTGTAAGGTCTTCGGGGTTGGCCCTGGTGAACCCACCGCTCTCTCGGCCCCTTGGTCGTACCCCACACTCAACACTAACAGTCACTAACACCTTCGCTTTCCAACCTTCTCTCTCTCCCTCTCGCTCTCTCGCTCTCTCGCTCTCTCGCACTCTCTGAGACGGCTGGCTTGATGTCCCGGTGGACCACGCCGCTGGCATGCAGGTGGCCCAGGGCACGGCAGGCCTCTTCAATGGTTGGGGCTCACTGTGAGCTCTCTTTTTTGGCAAAACTGGGAAACCAGGAAATGTTTTTTGACTACAAGTTCAAGTCCGAGTTGCACGGTGCGACCTTCTCTGCTCTCCCGGCCTGGTATGTGTAGAGCTGAACGACAATGCGGGGCATTGGCTGCTTCTGCTTGCCTGGCATGGGGTATGATTGGCATGTGCTCTGGTTCTGCTCTTGCTGTGCTCTTGATGCCCTCTCTAGACCCCCCTGCACAACGGACTTTGGGGCTGGTGTGACGTTTGCCACAGTGTAAGACCTTAGGCGGGCAATCTCTGTTGAGTAGAGCCCAAACACATTAACGGAGCCAAGCTTCTCAAACAGCAGTTCTGCTTGGCAGAAGCTGCTTAGGGTTGCTCTCAACACGTTGACACAGAAATCGTGTAGTGTGTAGACAAACTAGTAGCCATCACGCCCACACGTTTTCAGAGCGACCCGGGACGCTGGCACTAATGTTCCCGGCTTGAATTCGGGGCGTGCTTAGTGTCGGGCGCCTTGAAAAATTTCTGCAACTGCGCAACAACAGCTGATTCGTTGTGCTGCTTGGAGATTCATCTGCGACATGAGACAGACAGGAGCCCATCTTCTTCAGTTCCTAAGCTAGCTACTGCAAGTTAGACTACTTTCCCCCCCTCTCAGATTGTTGTCATCCCCCTTGGAGAATCCTCAGCCGCACAATGCCTACACTCACGTAGGGTAGGCATGTGCAGGCCCCGCACTTCTGGTAGATGGCTTCGCGCCGCCCCCAGACGATCTTAACCTCAGCTCTCAACTGAGCTTGAAAAAGCTGAAAGGAGCTGAAAGCATTTCTAAAAGAAATCTTCTCTGGTCAGGATTACCGGATTCGCATGTCCAGGTCCAAGGTTGACCCCCACTAGGCGCTTCACCTCGTCCCAGCGCTGCCGCGACAGGGTCAGCAGCTGCCCTGTGGAGGCATCTGCACACCTTTCAGGACAAGGAGGCAGTTCAAGTTACTCAAGCCAGAACGCAAGTTGATTGATTGCTGGGGAAACGGGCAGGTACTTGTAGATCACGTCGCTCGGGCCATGGTAGCCCATGGACTTGAGGGCCTGAGGGCAGCAGGCTTATTAGATGAGTGCTTCAAGACAGGCGTCAAGCCGCGCAAGTATAATGCTCACCATCTAGGCCCCGCAATGCTATAGAGGCCTATGTTGATGTGTGACAATCAAGCCATCTGACGTGTCTGCACTGGCCTGGCACCACTCGTCAAAGTCTACGGTGTCGCTACCGTCCTGTGTCGCTTGCACACCGAAGAAACAAAGTGCCACACGGCACGCACTCTTGCATGAAACTATAGCGCGGCAACCTGGACCCGCACACCTGTCCTTGTCCAAGAAATCATACGCAACCTGCCATGCTGGATTCACAGATGATTGCCCCAGTGCTCTGCAGAAGGATTTTCATGAATGAGCAAACTGGAGAATGATGCTGCGCCCGGTCCACAATACACCAAACTTCTACTGTCGGGCCTCAACACTGCCAAAGGTTCGATCAACGTACCTGAATCCAGTGGGTAAGCACCAAGAGAGAATTGCGCCAGATGAAACCATGCAATGACATGCCGTACACCCCACTCAAAGCTGCGATGCTTGTTGACGTAAGTCGCAAACTGAAGTAATTCCAAGATGGCCAGCTGCAGTTCCTTTTGCGTGTGATTATAATGAGTACAACCAAGATGATCATGTTCAAACGGGTGTATCCATCAGCTGGCAATGCGTTTGACACAAACAAAACAGCACACATGACCTGCTACAGCATTTGCTGAAGCAATGCTTATCAAGCAAGCTTTCTCAACGCAAACACCGGCTCCTCTGTCAAATGCACATGCTCTCTTGCACATGGGCGTTTAGTTCCTCCAGCACTGCATCTGGAGCTGTTTGTGGCGACAATCTTTGCTTTGACGTGGAGGCTGTTCTCTTTCGTCCGTGTTCATCAGGCCTTTCGGTGCTGCCCCGACGCCGGGCTGTAAACAATTCGTAAAAACTAGTGCAAAGTATTTCGCAAGCATGTTGTGTGGCCCAACTCCAATGCGTTCATTTGCCAGCTTGCATCAGCCGGCAGTGCTAGGGGGCCGTCCTGAGTCGTAATGACAATCAATACTACAATACTACAAAACATCGATATGCTGAAGGCGACTCGAGGATTTCTGGAACTCGGAAGTGTTACATCGAGCTGTCGAACATCGAACCCTTGCCCAGGATTGTTGTGTCCGCAGCTTGGGACGATTTGAGCGCCGTTGGCGCTAGGTCGACGACTCCATGCTACATGCGAAAGTGCAACTGGCACGATTCCTTCGGGCTCACAACTGTCAGGAAAATTGGTGATGTCTACAATACTGCACGTACTGAAAAGCACCCCCTGCTGAACTGATTTCGGCATGCAATGCAAACTCCGTACTCGCTTCCACTCTGAACTGCACCCCTCCTTGAGGAGGTACTCCATGACCTGCCACTCTTCCCAGGAGATGGAACCTGCAGGGCGTCCCCTGTGAAGGGACCCCACGCAAGTCATGCAAGTTCCCCCAAATGTCTTATGCCATGGCGCGTTGCGACATGAATCAAAAGCTCACGAATCACCCCGGACCTCCTCGATCTGGGTCCAGGTATCGGAAGAGCTCCACAGCCTTCTCCGAGTCTTTGAACCTCAGGCAACACACGCAATCTTACGCATTTCCCAAAACGGATTAGAGCTCAATATGCGAACTTGGGATCTGTGCTCGCGCCAGCCGAGTCTGTCGAAGGCAGCCTTGAACTCTTTCCTGGCAGGCACACGGCAATCCAGCGAGTGAATAGAGGAAGGAAACGGCTACCAAACTCCCCCAAGACAGGCCAACTCTTCAACGAAAGCTTGCCGTTGCCATCTGGCCTCACGACTGAACCAAGAAAGTAACAGCCGTTCATGCCTTGTTCACTCCAACTCAAACAATAAGCACCGCACCCGTCAATCATCTGGAAAGCAGCACGCAGGTTGTGCTTAAAGTGGCGCATCACCTCAGAAGCTGAAGAGCTGAAACAAGCGAACACTCTCTAAACGATGTCGCCACGATGTACCCCCGATGAGGCCGACACGTGTACCAGGAAAGTACTCACAGCCTCTGGCACGGCCTTTCACCAAGGCAACTCGAAGCTGGTCGCATCTCGTTTGTGCTAAGCCGCTATGAATTCGCAACTGATGTCGGCCCCCCCTGCCCCCCCGAAGTATGACTACAAGTCTGGGTGGATGAAGCACTCGCTTATCGACATTTCAGGCCTTCTTTGGGGCCTCAGGGGCCCCTTTACTGCGCGTCTGAGCTCTCCCAACCGCACTTCCAGATGCAGATAACTGCAAGACTTGCCTGAACATCTGCCCACCAGATGACTTTGGAATTGTTGATCTCAACATTCCAGCCCCTGCAGCGGGTTCGGCGCTCGGCTGGACTTTGCTGCAGCTCACAAGACGCAGGCCCGTATTTGAGCATGTTCTCCACCCTCATGTCGAGGCTTCGATCCTGAACTTCCAGAGGGTACAGAGGGGCACCACAGCGAGAGGGAGAGAGAGAGAGAGGGAAAGAGAGAGAGAGAGATGAGAGAGGCACCGCAGAGGCAATTTCAGGTCCTCCGGAGCTGCCATGTACTGCCAGCTCAGCAAGCCGCTCGGAATCGTCCTCAGCCCGGTCAATCCAGTCACTTGAAGCTCCCAGTTAATGACTGCCAGGGACCCTGCGGCAGGTCTTTCCATGTTGCCGGGACCTTGAACCCAAACCAGGTCTGGGACATACTGGGAATGCCCACATTTCCGACTAACTCTTCGAGGCATTCTGCTATGAGGAGATGGCTGAGCCTCCGACACCTCGATCGAACGCAAACTCGGTCTTGTCCGCCAAAACAAGCCTCAATCACAGTGTCAGAGTGTCTGTGCCTTCCGTCTCCAAGTCATACGACGAAGATCCACAAATTCTACAAGTCCATCTCCTGCCTGGGCTGCCGCAGGTTTCCCAGGCGGCCCGGTGACTCTTTCATGTTCATCCGCACCTAGCAATGGGTGCTCTGCAGTCGTGTACCTCTGTAGAAGTGCAGAAAGGTGCAAGACAGGTCGGGCGTGCGGTCAGGCAGGCAGCCACCCGATCTTCGGGAATGTTGGTGTCGAAGGCCTAGATCCCAGAGCCCGAGGCAGGCATGCCTGTCAAGCCACAGAGAAGGCATGTACGACTCGCAATTGCTAGGGTCCCCTGCAAATCGATGCTGTTCGGGCTGGATGAAGGGGAAGAGAGTCAGGGTCTCAGAAGAATGGAGGATGTGCCGATGACGACTGCTTACTGCACACACAAGCCACCCAGGCTACCAAGTAAATTCACACTGGCGAGTGCTCAATCCTTGCATAATCACCCCTTTCATGGACTGGGACGAACGCTAGTGCAGGGCTCAAGGGTGCATCGACAAGTAGCATCTAGTTGCACGTAAGGAGTTTTCCCAAAAGTTGCCAGTTCCAGTCGCGACTTCAAAAACTTTGCAGAAATAGGACCCCGGCCCTAAACCCTACTCCGTAATCCCTCCCACTCGTTTATGACTTGGCTTTAAAGTCCAGAACTACATGATTTTCGTTTCGCACGTAGCCCAAAAGTTCTTTTCGTAAACCATCATAATCCTAAACCCTAAACTAAGCAATTCTTTCAGTCGTGGTTAGGCGTTCTTGGGCAGTAAAACGGCAACTCCCTTGCGCAACGGAGCAGTTCAAGTGTCAAAATGAGGCAGTTCCATCTGCAAAGAATAGCAGCCCATTTCCAGAAAAGAGTAGTTCATTCGCACAGGAAAAACGGCTACTTTGCACACAAGAGAGGCTGCCTACAACAACCCCAAGACAAGCAACTTCGCCCACAAGAGAGGCTGCCCACAACAACCCCAAGAAAAGCACCCAGTCTGCCTCTCATGGACGGATGACTCGATGCCACACACCCCTAGATGGAAGCTCAACGCTTTGGGGGACGTAACTCCGCTTTGAGCCCTCGAGCTTTCGTGATCGCACAGAAAGGTGGGGCAGCACCATGCTGCACTCCGAGGAGAGCACGCCAAGGCGCAGCCTCAGCTCGTCCCACTCCTCTGGGGCCTCGATGTCTCCCGCATCACGCAAGTTCCACAGAGGCTTCAGGAAGCTGAGACGTGAACGACGCGAGAGGCAACCATCTTCCTAAGCAAGTCTTGCGGAGGGTCTTTCATGGTCTTTCGAGTCTTTCTGCAACACGCGATCACACGGAAAGCGTTCACGAACAGCTCAAGGGCCTGGCACGAATCCTGCCTACACAATGCATTAGAATGCAACCTGGTTGCATGTTTTGCGGATCCGACAAACGCAGAATGAGGAACGTCAGCACCTCGCGTAGGCATGCGCAAGACGCTTGCTCGAAGCCCGCGCGTTGTGGAATGACGTAGACATGCTTCATCTCTGGCTTTTGCCTTGCACCGCCCACTGCAGAGCCTCGAGGCGGAAGGCCCGGTCCCCGAAGACTGCTACAAGCTGCCGGCACTGGGCAGCGGAGAGGAAAACGCGGTCCTCATGTCACCACGCGTGGAACCGTGAACATCACGAAATGCTGAAACCATGCAATGGCAAAGATGCGGAGATGCTCTGGAAGGTATATCGCATAGAAAAAACCGCGAAAGCTGGGCTCCCTAGCGGCAATGCCCCGCAGGACATGGACTTTGGCCTCCTGCTGCAGAGGCGCCTGGCAAGCCAGTGTACTCAGTAAACTCAGTCTACGCTTCCGTTGCGATTCAAGCCGTTGCGGCAAGCCGTTGCGTGCTTCTCGCAGAATCACCCGCCTGCGAGAGCTGCACCATCATCTCGTCCCATCTGACAAAATGGCTATTCAACGCTCCACTGAAGGGCTGCAGGCTGCAGGTTACAACACAGAGAGCCGTCTGCACAAGTTCTGCAGTTTCGAACCTGTCCGCCGGAAAAGCTATGGTGTCCTCTGGTGCATGGCTTCTGAACCGACCTCTGCCCTGACCGATTCTACCTTCAATGATGCCGAAGTCTTGTTGCAATGCATTGCCTATGGCCTGTTTATTGGGCCGTCAACATGAGTAATCAGAGTAGGTCTTCGCCAGCCCCAGTGAGGTATGGGAAGCTACCTTGGCGGGAGCATTCTGGGATCTGCCGTCGTCCTTGGCAGGCCGACGCCACGTGACGAAGTCCAGGGACAAGAGCTCCGTGCAGGGCAGAATCCTTATGAAGGCCATGCCAACTCTGACAAAAATCGACATCTCAGAACCGCTGCGTGCGAAATGCTCTTGAATCAGCGAGCACTTTGAATCATACTACACATCACCCTACACATTGCTCATGTCAGTTCAATTAGAGCCAGACCATTCAGACAACGACCGGATGACCGCGCTCTGGTGCATGCAGTTGCGGACCTGTTTTGAGGCATGTTCCATGTTTGGCCCTGAAGACGGTGACAGGGCGCTCGCAGCGTTCGCATAATGATCTTGGAGCCCAACGCTCGACCAATTGCTGTACCTCATTCGAGCAGATAAAGCACTTGCAGCTCACAGTCACACAATAAACGCCGCACTCTCCAAACTCACAACCCATGGGTAGGCAACAGCTTTAACCGCAACAAGGACAGAACAGCAACAAAACCATAGAAACGCAACCGCAACTGCAACATCAGCAATAGCAGCTGCAAGCAACAGCAGCAAGATGAAGATGAAGATGAAGATGATGATGACGATGACGATGACGATGATGACGATGACGATGATGAACAAGATCTCGATCACACAACAGATCGTGGTTTTTCGTAGTTCCGACGCCTTGACAGCATCGGCAAGCGCAGTTTTCCCTTTTTGTGAAGGGGTACTGATTAGACCCTTCATTCAATCGATTTCTGTATGTTCTGGGATTGTACTGTAAAAAGATGATTTCAAAATTAATTTTTTTTCCCAAGCAGTGTGTCAACATTAACATTGAGTAGTTCAAAAGTTTTGGTAAGGCAGGGTTAGATCGGTTTACTGTCATTGCTCGCAGGACCGCACTAGTCCGTTATAGTAGATGCACAGCCAAAATGGATTCGCAGCAAAGAGTGCAAACACACACCAGTGGCAGACCACAGACTGAATCAGCTAGACCAATGAAAAGTTAATGGGCCTGGAACCTGTTAGATGCACTTTTGAGCCTGTGGTGTCTCACCGACACCACCAACACAACAACACCACCAACACCACCAGTACCACCAACAAACACCACCAACACCATTAACACCACCCAACACCAACACGAACCCTCCAATCATGTCACACTCTGCTCCAGCGCACTTCGAGCGGTCTTCCAGACCTTTGGCCCTCGCCACTGCTGACTCCCATGCATCAAGCCTGGAGGTGCCGCGCCCATCGGAGAAAGGTCATGTCACCAGCAGTCGCAAAAGCTCTGCAAAGAAAACGCAGCTAGCAGAGCTAGGAAGGGTCCGATGTCAGGTAAGCACGAGGGAATGCACTTAGAAGAATTTTCTGAGGGAATGCAACGCTACAGCTGCAGCTTGGCGGGCAGTATGCTGTTCCTTAAAGATACCCAGCCACTCATTTTAGAATTCGAGATGATCTTCACCTTCTTACAAGTCTTAGCCCAACACATCTTCAGCATCTCGGCAACAGCGAAGTCGCTTGGCTGGGTCAAGTTGAGTGCATAGCGCCTGGCTCGCCACCGCTAAACAACAGGCTTCGTTCTGTTACAACTAAAGTGAACGGCTCGACTCGGCTACACTAGACTTTTGCTAGAATGGGCAGTGGGCAGACGTCCCTCTCACACGGCGGGTCTGCCCAGTGGGACAGTCGGCGTTGAAGACCAAAAGCCTGTGGCACCGCGCACTTCCTCTGAAATGCTCAGTTGTGAATGGCAGATGGGTCAAGGGGCCCGATTGCAGACTCTATGGCAAAGAGTGCGAGTGAGGCCTTTCACAGCGCTTGTAGACCTGCAGGGTATTCATATTTGTTTGGATCCCATGTTGTCATAATGAACCTCTGCTGAAACAGCCTTGATGTACTCGCGGAGCCGTGGCAAGTGAGTGAGCGCCTTGGCTTTTACAAAGCTTTGGGGAACAGATTGGGACTCGGGAGTGTTTCACTTTAGTGGTCCTGAACTATGCCCAGGCACCAAGAACAGACGTAGCTGCGACCTGGCACATGAAAATATGCCGACCTTCAGCGTTTACGAAGTTTAAAGTAGCTTCAACTGCTTCGTGCATGAACTCCAGACATCGAGACATTCGTTCCGTGGCCTGTGCACCCCGGGCAGTAGACTGACCATCGCGTCAATGCCATTGAACGAATCCTCTGAGATCAGCCCGTCATCTACGGAAACCGACATCTCATTCTTTGTTCTGCAGCACGTGGGACAAGTTGGACCCGAATGGAGAGAAACCGTTCCGAAAACGTTTTACAAGAAAAATTTCCGACAACAAACCTGAAAGGGGCCACGAACCGGAGTGCAGACATGTGTCACGTGCACAGCGAACAAAGGAGATGCGGTGCACGACACGAGATCCGAAGTGAAGCGCTTATCAGTGTTCTTCTTCTCATTATCCTTCTTCTTTTCCTGCTTCTTCTTCTTCTTCGTCTCCTTCTTCTTCTTCTTCTGCGCAGCGTGAATCGCACAAGCGCCCCCACTACTTTTGAGGCATGAACACCGAAAGGTTCAACAGCGATGACATTTACCAGGACGTGAACAAAACAGCGACGACATTTACGAGGTGGCGCACCAGACATGCTTCATCCTCGCAAGTGTCACAACAAACGAGGCTTCAAAAGTGAGTGACGACATTTACACACCCCACTTGCCACATCCTCGCAACTGTCTGCAGTTTGGAAGTGTGAGAAACGAACGAAGCTTGAAAAGTGACGACATTTAAGAGCATGGGCGCCCGCCCCACCTTCCTTATCCTCGTAACTGCCAGCCTTTCTGAGACGAGAACAACAAATGAGGCTTCCAATGTGACGAAATTTACGAGGATGGCCCCCGCACCTGCCTCATCCTCGTGAATGTCTGCACTTTTCAGATGTGAACAACGAACGAAGCTCAAACAGCGACGACATTTGCGAGGATGGTGCAAGCCGTGCCTTATCCTGCACAAGTAACTTTCAGGACTTTTTTCAGACGCGAACAACAAACCAGGTTTCAAAAGTGACGACGGTTGTGAGGATGACAGGATGGCGCAACCCACGTTTCTCATTCTCGCAACTGTCAGCACTTTCGAGACGCGAGCAACAAACGAAGCTTCAAAAGTGTGAGGACGGCGCACGCCACGTGCCTCATCCTCGTGGCTGTCTGCACTATTGAGGCAACCATAGCCTAAAAGTGAGAACAGCTACGAGAATCGCGCACCTGAGGGGCCAGAACCTCGTGACTGTCAGAACTGCTACGACAGACAAAGCACCAAACGATGCCAAGGCTTCCGCAACTACGCGAATGCCTTCGGACGCTTTCGAAAGCTCTGAAATCTTTCGAACGCTTTCGAGGATGCTTTCGACCGCCTTCTGGCACTTTCGAACACAAAACGCAATAAAACTGCTTCCTTCCATCCCGACGACTTTCTTTCCTTTGCATAACAACTACGATGAAGTTTGTGTTGATTGTAAAAAAATGTCTGTTGTTGATTGGCCCTGCACGTCTCACACTTTGCGTTGCAGCACGTGGGACAAGTTGGACACGACCCTCCTCGCCGATCTGTGCCACAAACTCATACTCGAGCGTGAAATCAGTCGACAGCGCATCCTGCAGCTTCGACACAAACTCACAACACCTCAACGCCTATCCCAGCTCTGCCACAGCACCAATGCCATAGCTGCTAAGACTGCTAAGAGCCACGCGAGCACCAGCTGCTGTTCATCTGAACGGCTCTTGAGGCCTCATAAGCCCGAGCCGGAAGACTTGAGATTCTGAGATCCCGATATGCGAACGCTTGACAGTCGTGGCCACACAAAGCACACAGACCAACAGAGCAACAGTACATATGCTATGCCACATGCTGTGATACTGTACATGCGGAGGATAAGCCGGGGAACTTCTGAAGTGGGCGAGCAGTGGCACGACCTGCATTCATTGCACTCGCAGCCGGAAGCAAACCCCAGAATTGACTCAAATCACGAAAGGCACGGCGCCTTGCGAATGGAGAGTTTTCGCCGAAGCCTTGCCTTTGGCTCCGCTGAATTCCACTCGCTGATCAGGGAATGTCGTGCCAGAATTGAAGGCGCTTCTTTTCCGATCTGCAGAAACTAACCTTGGTTTGAGTCTACTTCCGATCGGGGGGAAAGCGGCCCTTGCACGCCCTCCTTTATCAGGAGGATCCAGGGTATACTCGGCAGAAAAGAAGGCTCATGTTCTCAGCATAAGCATAATACGGGGCCCATGCAAAGCTGGGTGATACCCTGACGATGCTGGGAGACGGTCGTGAGAGACAAGCCTTGTAGCTCGCGTCCACGTTGGTCTCCGGCAGCGGCAAAACGTATAAAATAAAGCTACATCTCACCTGGAAGGCGTCCGAATCATGGTCTGCAAAGCACCAAAGTCGAAGCTAGTTCGTTGCTTTGGCCTGAGGCCACAGGCCCCAGGCCGAGGACATCAGAAACTCAAAGCAAGGCAGAGCTCCAAAGACCACATTGAGAGACCCACTGAGGGACTCACTGAGTGTCTTGTGTGGGGAACTGTCAAGAGACGCAAGATGAAACAAGCCACCTTCGACCTCCATCTTCCGGATGAGTGAGACATCTGCCTCCAGGACTTGGGGATCCGAATGGATCAGTACCGCCATCCCGGTGACAGTGAAAAGATCTATCGTTTTCTGTACATGGTCTCCTACATGGACGTTCTCCTCCAGAGAAACGTAGGACTTCAGTCTCCTGACTGTATCAAAACCTGGCGTGCCGTCAACAACCTCAGGAGCGGAGAGACTTGGAGGGACTTGGAGAGACACAACCCACCCCACCAGCCGCAACGACATTTGTTGGGGTGCGTGGTTCGTGTTGACTCTTCTTTGCTAGTCCTCTTCCCCTTGGCGAACATGGAACTCCAACCCCCACATCTCCATCCGATGCTACCACTTATGTCCCTAACACAGGCAAACTCAAGCGCAAAGGTACAGGCGTCTTGGCATGTCTTCATCCTTCAGCAAAGCAACACCCTCGTGATAGGAGATCAGGCTCACCATCTCTCCTGCCTCCCAGGGCTACAGGCTTACAACAACGCCATGTGGCATTGAAACACCCCCATAAACGCTTTCAAGTTCTCCCGGGCACGGGCCCCTACGAGCACAAGCACTGCATGAGAAAAGAAACCATGACCCCCGTGCCTTCAGGAATGGAGAAGGAGGCACCTCGGGCAAACGGTCAAAGGCCTCGGGGTTTAAGAAAGCGTCTACGCAAACGCCCACTTGCGTGTAGCCAGTGAGGGCTTCTGCGAGGGGCATCCAAGCGCCAGCAGCACCATGGCACCTGCTATTCACCTCGACAAGGCATGGTCCCTCCGCCGTCATCATGACCTCAGTGTGCGTGGCGCCGTTCGTTACCTTCAGCGCGTCCAAGCAGCCCTTGCTGTAGGCGATTAGCGATTTCGCCATCGGCTCATCTGCGAGGACACACTTTTGCCCGAAGTTGACGAAGTCACCGCCATTGGCAGCCCTGCGATCGTACACCCAAACCATGGTCGTCTTGTGGACCCCATTCCTCGACACGATGTCGACGATGTACTCTGTGCCCTTGAGGAATTCTTGTAGCAACACCGCAGCGCCCTGAGCACCGCACTTGCGCTGTGAGTTCATGAGCAACTCGAAATGCGCCTGTGCCTCCTCGACGGTGCAACACTTCTTCACTCCGTCTGAGCCGGCTGACTCGACAGGCTTGACTATGATAGGGAATTCCTCTTGCGAGGCAAAGGCAGCAACCTCGCTCCACTTGGTACCACATGCCGAGCGAACAGATCGAAGCCCAGCCGCTTTGACAGCTTCTTGCTGGACTCGCTTGTCCCTTCGATTCTCCATGCCATGGGCAGTACTGTTGCCACGAAGGCCCATGGACTCTGCAAGGGCATCTGCGACTTTGACCCCCGTCTCGCCACCGCACATGACAGCCACCAGCTCCTTGCCGACCGTGGCCTCCACCAAAGCTGCCGAAAGTCAGAAACAAACTTGCAGGGAACCCGCCTTTGAACTTTGGGCGGCGGGGGAAAAGAACTATCCGGGAATCCTAGTCCCAAAGCCCAAAGCCCCTACAATCACGAACCACAAGCCTTGCGGATGGCTTCGCTGGTCGCCTTAAGCGTGGGCTGCTCGTCCAATTCACAGAGGAACTTCTCCGGTACACCTCTGGCTGCCGTGGGATAGTGCCCACGATTCCTGGGGCACAAGGTCCCAAAAAGAACAGGGGGTTTCGGGTTTGAGTTCGGTTGAATGTCTCAGGCTTAGTTCAAGCTTAAGGCACTGAGATGCACTAAGCAGACAGCTTCGGGGATTGCTCCAAGACGAGTGCAGACACCACTCTTGACTGGATCTGCTAAGGGTCTCTTGTACCTCTGCCGTCCACAAGGCCACGACAACAAAGTTTCGGTTCAGCAATTCTGCTGCCAGCATCCCACCAGTCGAATAGGGATCTACCACAACCACACACTTCTCCAAGTTCTGCACCATCTGTGGAGATACACCCATGGCGCAATGTGGATTGACTCAGGCTACCTACATTCCATTCAGCAAAGAAGGCTATGAATGTCATGCCGGCACCTGCAAGTTCAGCAACACGCCCGCATTTCCACATCCCCGGTGCTTCCATCAGGGAGCCGCACGAAGTGACGGTCGATGTACATGGACGCCAGCTGCCGGGGACCCCGAAACCTAGCAATCGGCGAACTTGCTCTGAGATCAATTCAGCAAACCAAAAAGGCACCGGTACCAAATCCAGCTCGCGGAACCATTTGGAAGGGGAGGGGGGTGGCGGGGAAAGAGCGGAAAAGCAAAAGCGACGCGAAGGCCCACCGACTCTCCGGGCTGCCCGCTTGCCATCCAAGCCTTCTGCTTCAGGAACCATGCGCGAACGCGCCTCCACAAAGCCCACACAAGGTGAGAACCAGGGTGAGAACCACGTGAGCCAGCGCCTCGTTCAAGCAGAAGAAGAAGGACAGGATGCCATCCGTCGGCACTGGATAAACCTTACTCTGCGAAGTCACACACACACACACAGGGAGACTTTTGCGGAGCTTCAGCTCAGCATCAACCATTCACTAACATGAACGAACACCTGCAAACCTGTAGCATTGAGGCTCCCACACCTCCTGCGTCTTTACCCGTCGGATGCTGGAACCTGGTGCAGCATATTCATGCTGAGACAATGCTTGCCTGGGGGTCTGGTACTAAGTACTTCCTGATTCAATCCTGGCTTTCCCTGGCTTGCCCTCCTACTCTCATCAGGCGCGACATGGTCAAAGTACTCTTCCGGCACCAAAGCATATCAAAAGGTCTCCAACTAGTCCAAGGTTGCACCTCATGTCCCGCACAACTTTTCTCACTTCAGCGAGGGCGCTTTGCTGGCGATCTCGACGCAGCTGGGGACGCTGGCGACGGAACGGCAACCAATTGCTGGAAGGCCTGTTGGAAGCGGCGGGTGAAGCGCTGGAAGCACGTCAAAGCTTGTCACAAGGACAACATGCTGCACATGCTCCCTTGAAGGTCATGTGTTCTCCTCGGCGCAAAGGCTCTTGGCTGTGCTGTTCCACTTTGGGATGTTCGCTTGTCGACGGGATCGCACGGGTGGACCCCAAAAGACGTCAACTCCAAAGACTCTAAGGTGTCCAAAGGCCATGAATTGCGAATTAGGCTCAAGTTTTGAAAGAGGAGCAAGGATTTCTTTTGTAAGGTCCCTTGCCTGGTTGAAGTCCAGATTCACCGCCTCGCAGGTCTTGTAGAGAAGCCGCAGCAAGGATCTGAGAGGCCACAGAGCCGAGCACACTTCCCCATCTCGCTTTTGAGGCTTTGTGAAGGCTTCAAGGTCTTGACAAGTTTTAAGTGGATAGGGCTTTGAGGCGACCTGTGAGGCCTACACGTCCAGAAAGATGGGATGGATAGACGGATGGATGATGATGGATGGATGGATGGATGCACGGATGGCGGCAGGGTGTCGGCATGGCTACCAAGCCCCAGCCTGGCGTGTGACAGAGACAGGTCCAGCCTGACGGCAGGAGTGATTTCTGTCCCCGCTAAACCGTCCTGTTACCTCCAGAACCCTCCTGGGAGCCCCGCTTGTAGTGCCCTGAAGGCTCGCTAGCTCGGTAGCCACAATGGCCCTCGGAGAAGCGGCTCTCATCGCTGGTACCTATGACGAAGCATTCCAGAATTCCAGACCCCGGCCGATATCACAATAGCAGCAAAACAACAACAAACCAGGATAGAAAACATCCACGGCCAATAGGCGGCTGTCACTTTTGGGGTGCATCTCGAGACTCGTTGGAAAAGACACTTTTTCATCATGAACAAGCCAATTGTTAAGGGCAAGGTGATCCGGGGCGATGTCTTGGTAGATCCTGGAGACGCATCAAACAAACCACGTGAAGGCAAAGTAGGCTTTGGACTTGCATTGGGGCTGGGGTGGAGGGCTTGGGGTCGTTCAGCGGTTTCGTGGAGGCCCTGCCCCCCCCCCCCCCCTGACACCTCCCCGTCCTGATGCACGTGGCATCATGTGGTTCACTTACGTATACCCGAGGTAACTATACCAACTTTAAACGAACATACGAGGAAACTGAGAGCCTCCTCTTCCACGAATGTGGTGAATGCTGTGCCTTGGCATCCCACGGCTTCCAGCATTCGAAGGCCGCAGCTGGGCTGTCCCAGCAAACGGAGCAGGCACCTGAGAAAGGAAGGGCGAAACAGAGACAAATTAACACAGGCTTTTAAAGAGGACCGCGATATTGCAGTACGTTCACCACTAATCGGCTCTCTCAACAACGATGCCTCAATCCATGCACGCCGAAGGGATTTTGCCCCACATACAGCTCCTGGAGAGCCAACATGTGCACAAGAAGAGGTATAGGCCCAGATATAGGCACAAAAGGAGGCTCGGGTCCTGCAGTTTGCTGTGCTTGGCCAGAGAGTCCTTTCAACGCTGGAGGCTCACGCTCAACGGTAAGCAATGCTCAGCGCTTCAGGGCTTCAGGACACCGCGAGGCCTCCAAAATGAGAGCACTTGTCGATGTGAGCCGATTCATGGAGAGGTCCAGCATGGTCAGGCTGCTGTTCCGTCCCAAACCTGTTCACGGCGAAGCGAAAGTGCATCAACCCTGCTTCTTGTAAGAAGGCTTGGAGGTTGTCTTGCGCTCGCCCGGGCCTTCGAGGAAAACGTGCATGGAAGGCTGGGATCCAATCAGCGCTCGGCAGTCACAATTCGGCAGGTGGAGCTCCCGTAGACGCTTGTGGCTGGCGAGCCTGATGTTGAGTCTGAGATTGAGTGTGAAACGTATCTATCTGCTGAAGAAAGCAAGCAGCTCCCGTTCAATATCCATTCTCCTGTGAACGGGAATGGGACTCCATAACAACTAAAGCCTGTTTGCATCACCAGTTTTCATGAGGAACGAGGGGCTTCCTCATAGGTTCAAGCAGAAGCATCCCGTTCCCTACGCTTTCTAAGCGGGATAGCCGAATAGCTGTTAGTTCTAACTCGTTCTGCTGCTTACCCGTCTCTCAGCCGGGCACTATACCTAAGCACTATACCTAAGCGCGGGCATGCTCGTGGCTGAGCTTCCACCGAGCAGCATGTCACCCAGCGACTGCAGGGCTTCCTCTGAGAAGCTGTTCCAACCGAGGCCCAGAACCTTCAGCCGCAAAATCCCGACGCAATGGCCACGAACGGCGCCCACCCACAACCCTGACTAACATTGACGAAAACCTTGCTTCAAAACGAGCACCAGCAAATACGCTCCTCTGCATCCGAAACGAGGCCTGTGTCATCCCTCGACACCAGAGAAACAAGGCCTCCAGCGATGGCGCATTGAGGACGTCCTCCCGGTCAAGGCACTCTCACTGGCCACTCGTAGCAAAAGCTATTGTTCGCCATATCCCTGCAATCAGGGCTTCAAGTGTGTGTACCGCGATGCTTGATTCGGGAGTCTCAAGTGTACCCAAGCTGGTGCAACGATGAACCCAAATTTGCCAACATATCCAACAAAGGCCTCTTATGGCCTCTTTTTAGGTGGCTTTTCGTGTGGAACCTGCAAGCAGCTGGCGGCCGCAGGATGATGGCCAAGACCGGTATCCTGAAGTCGGAGACCTTGGCACTCAGGACCCCTGAACTCGTGTGCAGAATTTGTGCTCACATAACATCACGTCATGCGAAACTCCCTGTAGATCTATCAGTGAATGGACGCAGTCAGGCTGCATCGAATGGCCGGATGCAAGTGCACAGCACTGCAGAGCGATGTCAAGGTGTTGCTCGAGATCTTGATGCCACTGATGTCCAGGTGTCTCCTCCAGGGCTCGGGCTGCTGGGGCTGCAACTGCACAACTCGTGAGTCGAACACAGGTCTCTTTTTAGATTCTTCACGCAACCGAGGATCAATTTGTAGAGGCCACGCGTTTCCTGAGTGATCGGCGGTCCAAGTGCAAACCCATCTTTCATCAGCTGCGCCCTCTGCAGCTTAGCAACGCACATCATTTGTACCGACTAGAGGCGCCTCCGGGGCAAATGCTGATGGGAATTCAAAAGGGTAGAGCGCATGTCCGCCAAGCTTCCACAAGCAAGCTCACAATGGTGGCCGTTGCCCTGGGACCTGGCGGCGGATGTGACGACCGGTCCCATCAGATACGTCTACTCAACATGTCGCTGGTCAGTGGCAGTGGCAATTGTACATGAGGTGCAGGAGGGGGGGCTATTTGTGACTGTGGCAGCGGACGGAAAAAGATGTTGCGACCATTTGCGACCTCTAGTGGAGAGGGCGATGGAAGCTATCACAGTATCTGCAGCACAGCAGCGCGGCAGTATAAGATCGTCGAAATCTTTCGGGCTGAAGCATGACTTTTGCAAAGCTTCGTCAGGTCAAGCGACTCAGCAGTTTTGCCAGGGAACAAAACACGAATCATTGTACTACCAGTGGCAGCAGTAGCCGATGTCCTCGTGGTCGTCGCAATAGAGAGGCTGTAGGGATGATGACCAGCGGTGGCAACAACAACCAGTAGCGGCAACTACAACTGGTGAGCAGCAACAGCAAGACCCACGTCGAAAGAAAGCCTCAACCGGCATCACAGCTGCTTGGAGTGTAGCTGCAAAAAAACACACAGCCGGAGTTTGAGTGAGAGATTCCGTGACAAAGAGACTTCTGAATACGGGTCATGGTTCTGCTGCCCTCTTGCAGCCCCTTTTCCCCCAACTCCACCTGCGCCACGGCAGCGCGCAAGGTCCAGCTTCTCCAAGGAATCCATTGCCTCGGCAGAGACATCGACAATCGTTGCCAGAGCACGATTACCTTGTATGAGGTATTCTCAAGGCTGGCGACTGGTCGACCAAACAGCTTCTGCAAGAAGGTGTACAAGACCGTGTCGCTCAGCCTGATACGCCCAGAAGCTTTGCAGCAGCGCTCTACGTGTGCGGGTTAGTTGGCTCGACATGGCGATCTCGCAGAGCCATGGATTGTTGGCCTATTACTAGAGAATCTTTGGCTTGTGTCTTGGCCGATGCTTCGCATTTCCCTGCCAGGACACTGGGTGCTTCCGGCCAGACAGACCTCTTTGATCCTGTCAAGATGACCTGAGGCGCGATGTGATTTGCGCAAGGCGCGGAATGCCATCATGACTGGGACAACTAGGGTTGGGGCGGATCATTGTGGACATCGCCAGCAGCCTCACATTCGTGAAGCTTCAAAGCTCCCTGAGTTCCTTAGACGCCTGGCGCACCGGCAATTTCTGCAGCCGGGCAGCTCGTCATCCAGCAAAAACTCACTTCCGCTGCTGATCGCATGGCTGCGAACCATGTCCTGTGACCGCACAGATGGGAACTTGCATCCAAGTCAGAGAAGAAGCAGGTACGCGCCAGATCTAGAGAAGTCCCATGGAACGGTCCAGCACAGCCGCGGTAGGGACCACGCCGGTCGCATTGCAAACCTGCGTAGCAGACTGAGGGAGAGGTGCCATCTTCAAGAACCTGTGAACAAGGCGAGCCTAAATCAAGCTCAAACGAATCCTCAATGCTGCCAGCATGCTCGGATGTAGTGCATGGTCGCAGAATCTTCTTCTGCTTCGGGTTCCCGCTTGCCGGTCTGCGTGCGAACCTGAGCCGAGCATTGAGCTGAGTGGCCTTGAGTCTGGAGACTCTGTGCCTGTGACTGTCTCACTGATTCTCCAGTCTGGTTTGTCTCCCGTCTTCGCGCATGCCGCACCGTGATGTCATAGTGATGTCATCGCCATGACTCACTCTGTAGACTGCTTGTACTGCTTGCACACAAGACTTGCAGTGATGCCTCCGACTGCCAAGGTTGCAAGAAGGGCTCTGCCACTGCCTTCCCAGACGCAAGCAAGCACGGCCTAGAATAGTGCGAACGGTGCGGCTATGATGCAGAAGATGATGAAAACAAAGAACAATAGAGTCACAATCCTGCAAAGAACACCGACAGATCTGGAAAGGAGGTTGAGTTCTCTTCCTCATCCCCATCGGCCTCCAGGGAGAAAGGCGGCATTCTCAGTGCCGGCTGGGCGAGATTGGGTAAAGACCTGCCAGGAACTCAAAGACGCCAAAAACCAGACATCACTTCAGCCCAGCCACTCCCCGGAACAACTGGTTCCGACCAGCAGAAGTGGTGACTTTGATGTCTTTCGAGTTGATTGGCGCTGGCGTACGTAAGTGAGATGTTGTCTGTTCTCGGGATGAAAATCTTCGTTTCAAAAGGCTGAATGTTGTGGTGACCAGGCAAAACACCAAGTGTTTTGCCTGATCTCCGCGTGCGTTAGAACCGTAATTTAATGAGTGCCTGTCTCGAAATTTACCTGCCTTAGTGGGTCTTCCCTGTTGGTTGTTAAGATATGTCCTAGAACCTTGCATCTCTGGAGCAGCCATGTATCCGAGAACTTTACTACCTGGACATAGTGAGACGCCTGTAGCATTTGGACTACGACTTCGGGCTCTGTCGTCACATGTAGGGGGAAGCGCCATATGCTATCCGAAAAAGCGTCCAATCCAGACAATACATTCCTCCGCAGAATCGAATGCAAAATTGTACTTTCCATTGGATAGGGTTGTCAGCGCGATTCCAATAGAGCTTTATAATTGATTGCAGGTTCTTGTAGCATCTGTTGTCCACACTATCGGTCATTAACGAGCCCAAGTAATTGGCGATGTCCTTCTGGAAACCTAGGTGTCGTGAATATGTTTGAGACTGGACTGTCTGCGAATTGTAGCTAGTTGTCTGCAGTACCTTGACTCCTTTTGAATGTCATGCAACAGCATGTTAAGATGCTTGCAAATCATACCTCGGTATGTCCAGGGCTCTAGGGTGCTCGTATTGCCCTGCCTGGAGATGCTCATGGAAGTCTCCTCGTCCTGTGCCGGCACAGGTTTAGGCGCTCCATGAGTGTCAGAGAAGGCGTCGTTGCTGCTCATCTCTTCTACAAGTTCATTTGCGTGGCATGTGCGGACTCCCGACACTGGTACTCCTCCGGCAAGGGCGTCATGACACGGCGCTGTGGTTTGGACTCTCCAGGATTCCACCAGCCGGAGCCCGATGAGGTCCTGGAGAGTCAGACATGCAAAGGCATGCAAAGACAGACTGACAGGAACAGGAACACATGTAGAGCACATCAATCAGGCGTCTGATGAATCTGATCACAAGCGAAAACTCTTTAAACGTCAATCTGGAACGATTGGACTGCCACCATGCGGTCAGGGATCGCTGAGCTCACGGTCTCGCTCATGCCTTTGGTGCCTTGCCTGGCGCGGCTCCCAATCCGTGGCTGCACTGCTAGGCACTGCTAGGCCCGAGAAGGAGCGGATGCGGAGCGGGAGGGATGCCTGCTGCGCTCGCGGCTTCCCAGCTGAGGCAGCATGGGCACCGATCGGCTGCCAGGTCGCGGGCCTACCCAAAGCCCCAATCACTGATGAGCAAGGCAGGCTCAAAATGCTCAAACTTGAATTGCAGGCGGAGCGAAGGCCGAGCGCCTCTAAGACGCTTCGACGCACGCCGCGAAGGTTCCAGAAATCGGCCCAGGTCGAAGTACCCCCGCTCCTTCAGATTCACAACTGTGGAACAGTGCAACAGCGCTTGGCAAGAAAAGGCGTGGTGCATGCACAATGCAAGGGCATGGAGAAGCAAGCGCTCAGCTTCTGGGACAGCAATTGACGTGAACAAATCAGGTGCAGCTCGCTGGCACACGCTCGAAGTCGACTCAGCGCTTCTGAAATTGAAACTGGGCTTGCCTGAACCCTAAAATGCCCTGACGCCTGCACTCCCCTGCTCAATGGTCTGAAGCCGACATTGAGCTGCCCTCACACACGTACAATGACATTCGGTGCCCAACATCCCTGGCCGACTCGGACGCCTAAAATGCTAGGTGCACATCTTTCACTTCTGGGTGATTGTGCCCTTTGCAGCTTGCGCGCGCATCTATGGCTACAACTTTTCCGAAAGTGCGTTGTTTCACCGCATGCCGCATGGTCTTCTGACACAGGTTCCTATTTCCAAGGCAGCCTACGTTGAAACCATGCCAGAAAGCAAGCCGCTGGAATCACGGTGAAGAACTATGCCACCATGAACTGGAAATCAAGCGAACATGCCATGCAACAGCAGGTGGGGATGACTGAAAACCCCATACCCACTTGTTTGTCCCTGAAGTACGTTATCGTTTTCTTATGTTTCCGTATGTTTCGGCTGGATAATCACTGATTTGAAATGCAGGCCCCATACTGGAATCGAAGTTTCCGGAGCTGGCTGGATTTTTCACTGATTTGTAGATCTTTGTGGTATAAGCTCAGTAGCGGAATCGGCGTTGCCATGAGCCGGCTGCGGTTTGATTTGTAGTACTTAAGCTTAATAGTGGAATCGAAGTCTCCATGAGCCTGACTAGTAATACAAGAGCAGTACTGGGATCAAGCACCGAGGCACGACGGCTTTGTCGTCATCATTTTTATGATGTCGTCTTCGGTAAAGAGATTTTGAACCCACTCCAAGCCGCAAATATCATTAGAATATGCTGGAGATTTTCAGCAGATTTTTAGCAGGCCTGGCGAGTCGCGGGGCGCGAATCGAGATCCACATCATCCGCCTGACATCAAGAGAAAAACTGCTCCAGGCAGGCTCTCTCTCTCTCTCTCTCAAGAGGATTCCGCCACAAATACTTTGATGCATGCGAATGAAGTTTTGAAAGTCATGGTCTGGCCTCTGGAATTTGTGCTCGAGGCTTGTGCGACACCTGTGCTTAAGGTCTCCCAAAAGAAGCGCGCTGTGCGACCTCCCAGCCTAAAAGCCGTTGCCTCGTTCACAATGGGGAGGCGCTTCTGGTTGATGTCCCGGCGATGCTGGATGACCTGCAAGCCCGATGCTGCAGAATGGGGCCAACGTGTGCAAGCCGCTCAGTCGCTTAGTCGCTCAGTCACCGACCTTTCGCGCTGCCTGCGAGCGCTTTGACTTCAGCGCACTGTGGCCGATGGTCGACTCGGACTCCTACAGTACAAGCCGAACACTTTACCGCATTCTTTGCCCGTGACTTCCAGTCTGCCCTATCCTGCGCTCCCACGTTGGTGACGAGCTTTGCATCCGGAAGCTGCCTGCGATGTTCAAGTTGCAACGATCACGGGGCGCCTGAACACAGCCCTTCTCGCCAGCGCCTGTTGTAGGCAGCCCTGTAGAGCTCGCTCTCTTCTTGCTGGCCCCTGAAGCCGAACTCAGACGCAGCAACACTAGACACAGCTATGCAGAGCCTACACGGATCCCTACACGGATCCCTACACGCATCCCTGCTTCCCAATTTCAAGCTCAGCGACGGCATTGAAGACGGTGCTGGGAGCATCCACTTGCTATCTTCCTCATTGCGCACGGCAGTCGAAGCAATTGCAAGTATGCAGTTGCAAGACATTTGCAAGACCTTACACGCAGCAGTGTAGACTTTAAAACATGCCCAAGCAGGTCCTAAACCCACCTCTGAATTCACCGCTTCGGGTCCTTGTGGTAGATGCTCCAGAAGGCGTGAGGCCCGTTTTCACCGGCCCGGAATTGTCGGTGCAGCTTCGTGGTCAGCGCGGCCTCAGCCTCTCCTTGGAGCCATTTCCATTTTTCGATGTGATCCCGACTGCTATGAGGCGCTTCGGCATCACTGCCAAGCAATTGGCGTTGTCGGAAACAAGGCTCTTCATGATGTCTCTTGCTTAACGATTTGATCCATCCCAGCAATGGTCAGCTAGCACCTTTAGGACCACCTTGGTGCCTCCTGGCGACGGCGGTCACGCAGCGCCCTGCGGAAGGCCAGAAGCTCGCACTGTCGATTCACCGCCTCGAGCCAGGACATGCACATCGAAGAACAGAGTGAGGGGTCTTGCAATGCCTTACCATGTGTGACAATGGGTGACTGGAGTCTTCGTGTGCTGCAAACAGACGGTCTGGATATGTCTGGATTGTCCGAGTGCCTCCTGCAGGCCCCGAAAGCGGCAAACGATCAGGAAAATCTCCTTGGCATGACCCCGCAGGCGGTGGCAGAGATAGGAAAAGGATGGGGGTCCTGAACTCTAATTTTGATGACCTTGTCCATCCGAACAACACTTCGTGCCGCTGGGTCGCTTTTGATACCATTCGCGCACGTTCGAGCCCGTCTAGCTTGTCCGCCAGCCGTTCCTCAACAAAGACTGCTGCTCGGCCCGTGTCAAGCACAACCTGCACTCGACCTTCACAAGATTTCACAATCTGGCTCCTTCCAGAAGGTGTTGACATGATTGCGAAGCCGCTCGCAGGTGTACTCGAAACAGGCGATCTGCCTCGACAAGCCGAAGCGAAAACAAAAACAGGAACACAGAAGGAGAACAGGAGCACTGAAGGAAGTGGGGATGTGATTGCGCTGCCCCCTTCGAGACTCGGACCTGGCGCGGCGCCAGAAGGAGCGGTCGGCGAAGATGCCCTGCCTCAAAGACGAAGAAACCAACAAACGAAGAGACTAAAGGACTCGCGAAAGAGAGGCCCTCTCCAATCTTTTACTTCCGTGATTCACGTGCAAGAAGAGCTCCTAGAGTGCCGACAGATGAAACCATGCCTGCGACCTTTCCGATCGCTCGGAGAGGCCGTTAGCGACGAATCCTCTGACAATCACAAGCTCACAACAGATGTCGAATCCAGTCTGCAGGCAACGGCCGATGCCTTCACCGCATCATCGTCACTTCCCGAGGAATCCTTAGCAGGTAACGACCGTGACCTCTGGATACCATTGATGTTTCCGGACAATGCCAGACACCGGTCGCATGGCGGCAGGTTTTAGGGTTCTAGCCGTTCTAGCCCCTCCCTAATAGAAGAAGCTATTGGCCGGACCACCTCAAGACTGGGTTGCCTTCAAATCACTGAGATAGTAGGGGGTGCACTTGAACACTTGCCAAGATCTCATTCTCAAACCAAAAACTTAGAAAGCTTCAAACAAAGTATCATATCATGTATCAAGCGAAAATCTGAAAACTGCCGCTGTCAGCCTCCTGGCTGCATCTCCCAAACCCGAAAACCGGAAACCTGACCGAAACCCATGCGTCTCACCCCCTTGCAGTCCGGGACACCGCTGCCTGGTCCCTTACACGGCTTAGACATACCCATTGCTCCGAGAGACAATGAGGCAGCGGTGGGCATCGTCGCCGAGCAGTCTGCCTCTGACACCGCATGCACTAGCACAGAAGGAAGTCATGCGGCACACCAAATGCCAGCGTCTTGGCACCTGCTTCCTCGTCTCTGCGCAAGAAGTCCTAGCGCGAAGCGGAGGCCCTTGGAGGTGAGTGTTTCAAAACTGCTCTCCAAGAGTTAAGCCTTCGTTCAAGGAGGCACCCGTATTTCTGAAGTACTTTTGTTTCACCTTCGGGGAACACAAAACTGCAAAGCGTCCTGAACCAAGCCTCCAGTCCTCACCTGGAAAATCGGCGCAAAAGAAGAACTCTGTGAAGTGGGGGCGCGCTTGTTCAGTCACAGCATCTGCAAGGCAAGTAAAAGCGGCACCTTCAGAGCTGTCTCTGTCCCACTGACAATCACCTTCCATGCAAACAAACACCGCTCAATCTCTTTCAATTCCGATGTCAGGAAAGAGGTTGTTGTAGGCCAGCTTGCCTGGCGCAGGGCCAAAGAAGCTCTCCGCCGAAACGCCACAGGAGGAGGAGCCGCTGGCTCTAAGCGGCCTGAGATGTGAGGGCAACGGTGTCAAGACCGCTTTTCTCGGCACAATGCAGCCAGGCTCAACACAAGCATACAACTTATACAACCTAAGAACACCTCCCAATCTTAGGAATCTGCGACTTGCTTGTTTGGCAAGAGCTTTCTTCTTCTTCTCTGCCTGCCCAGAAGCAAAGGCCATGAAAATGCTGCTCGTTCATCTGCCGGCTCTGTACATGTTACAGCAATGTTACAGCACTGCTGCTGAGACTTAGCGGCCTCGAGGCGTCGCTCGATGCGTTCTGCACTTCCCGGCGTCCGCGGCTTCATGCCCCCCACCAGGGGAAGATCGCGCACGTCACTGCATCACCATGAGCAAGGTCGCCCAGACAGTGCAGAAGGGACACAAAACGACAACCAGTGGGGAAGCGTCACTGTAACTGGCATGAGGGTCTGGCTATGAGGGTTAGCTATGAGTAGTCCATACTAGAAATTTCCGACAGGCTTGAAGTTTTGAATTGACTCTCTCCAACAATGATAGACAAAGACACAATGACTTACATCCAAAACCATCAAAGAAGAGACCACACATGCCCCGTGTCAGATGATGTGTCTTGCACAAATTTGATGTCTCCGGGGCTGCCATTCAAAGAAGCATCACACATCCCAAACCCGATTCAAGCGCAACTCTAGGTTCATCAAAGTGCTCGGAGCTCGGAGGCCATTTCTTCCTTCTTTGGTGTCTGACTGGGCTTGAACGTGAGACTCTTTTCACCCAACCCCGCAGCAAGAAGGTCTTCCTGTCTTGGACGGCAGACTCCTGGTGTCATTCTGCTTCTTGTCTTGAACTGAGTCAGGACGAGGTCGGCTTGATTGGTCAGGCCCATGTGATGCTTCGCCGCGGCCGTTGCAGACCAATACTTTTGCTGTACGCAGGGTGTCTCGAGCCACTCCTATCCACGGCCCAACCATAACCATCGAACTCAAAATAGTGCACTGAGTAAGTCCCTGTCTGTCCTTGACGATGACAAAAGGCAGGTGCTTGCTCTGCCTCCTCAATCCTCCCCCACACATGGAAGCACACGAAGTCAGCGACGAAGAAAAACTGAAGTCTTCCTGCAAATGGCTGAAGTATCTCTGGCATGGCACCAATTATCCAACAAGTTCGTGCAGAAACGCATCGCTGAGGGTCCGGCATTATTCACCGACTCGACCAAAAGCAGCAATGTGAGTAGACTTTACCTGCATTTCCATCAAGTGTGAGTACAGCTGGGCAAGCAAACTCCCAGCCTCTGCCAGCAATCTCAGCTCCGTCTCGAAGCCCTGTGCTTCCAAGAAGACAGCGACAGATACAGCTTGAAATTAGTTTACAGCCTTACAGCACGTGCATCAACATGAACAGCCCACATGAACAGCCCGCACGGTTTCGACGCTGCTGCCCTGACCCGCCTCCCGAACTGCTGCTTGCTCTGCCGGCCCAGCATGCTCCATGGCCACCCGCTGCCACCTCGAAACATCAGCTGAGACCATTGCTCTTGGCAGGAGCTTCCCAGTCTCACCTGCGAACCAGCTCCTTGCCGCACCGCATCGCATTTTGTATTTCACCGGTCAGCAGGTGGACCTCAGCACAGAATCCAACACATTCGAACTTCAAGATTCCTGACCGTCGCAAGCCTGGGCTTTCGGCACGGAGCTGCACGGTCGCACCGCTCAGCATGGTCCTCAGAGCCCCAGCAGGTGCTGGGCGAGGACGTTAAGTAGGCTCTCGTGATAGCCGAAACATCCCGAATGTCATGCGGCGTGCGCGTGAAGTCGCCCCGCCTGCGGAAAGTCGAACCACCGTCTGCGAAACTGCAACGCGAGGCTCTGTTGCCCGGAGCGCGGCGACACGAAGCACTCTGCGGATAAAGCACGCGAAGCCAGCGGCACTCAACGCGGGATTCTTCAAGGTCATGCTGCATTTCCGGAAGAGCAGAACGAGAAACATGATCCGTTTAACAACGACGAAGCACTGTGCAAAAATCACGCAAACCTGCTGAACACGGCTCTGCACGAGTCCAGCACGAAGTGTCCCCAGTGTCACACTATGGTGGCACTATGAGATCCCGGTACATGTCAGTACCTTCCAGGTCGATCCATCGCCTGGTGAATAATGCCATTTTGTGCAGACATCCATTGTCATACACACAGCGATACCTTTCCCGAGAATCAAGCCCCCCGGTCAAAGCGCGTTTCGGGTCCGCCCGACCGTGAACGGGGCTGTGCGTTTCAGGTCCGCCGTGCGTGGCCGCGGAGGTGCGTTTCAGGCTCTGCTGGATTGCGTTTCGTACAGGCCAAGGTGCGTTTCAGGTCCGGCACCACCAGAAAGCCACACTTTGTGCCGCCCTGAACTAAAACCTAAAACCTAAAACCTAAACCCTAAACCCTAAACCCTAAACCCTAAGCCCTGAACCCTAAACCCTAGACCCTGAACCGAAAACCCTGAACCGTAAACCCTAAACCCTACACTCAAAACCCTAAACCCTAAACCCGAAACCCTAAACCCGAAACCCTAAACCCTAAAACCTAAACCCCAAACCCTAAAGCCTAAACCCTAAACCCCCTAAACCTTACAACCTAAACCCTAAACCCTAAACCCTCAACCCTAAACCCTAAACCCTAAACCGTAAACCCTAAGCCCTAAACCCTAAACCGTAAACCCTAAACCGTAAACCCTAAACCCTAAACCCTAAACCCGAAACCCTAAACCCGAAACCCTAAACCCTAAAACCTAAACCCCAAACCCTAAAGCCTAAACCCTAAACCCCCTAAACCTTACAACCTAAACCCTAAACCCTAAACCCTAAACCCTAAGCCCTAAACCCTAAACCGTAAACCCTAAGCCCTAAACCCTAAACCGTAAACCCTAAACCGTAAACCCTAAACCCTAAACCCTAAACCCCAAACCCCAAACCCCAAACCCTAAACCCGAAACCCTACACCCTAAAACCTAATCCCCAAACCCCAAACCCTAAACCATAAGTAGTGCGCCTGAAATGCACCATGTGTGCGTCTGAAACGGTTCTGAATTGTCTCCCGTCTGGTTCCTGAGCACCGGACCTGAAATTGGTACCCGAAACGACCCTAGGTGCGTCAGAACCGTACAACACTCCAAGCCCCCCATGTCTGCATCCCCGATGTCACGCTGTTTGTCGGCACACCTTCCCAACCCTACACCGACGTTCACCTGGTACCCTCTCCTTCCTTCGGAAAAAAAGCCACTGCACAGCCAGTGCACAGCCACTCCCATCAGGATCGGGCATCATCGTCATCGTGGCACGCAGCTGGCTTGCCAGGTGCGTGGCGCAGCGGAACAAACCCAGGTGAACCTGACAGCTGAACAAACCCACACGATCAGCACGAAAGAGTACGGGCGGGGCCCCCTGGGACCAGGCTGCAGGACTCCAGAAAAGTAGCCGCAGGTTGGCCTCCGGACACTGTGGTGCGGCCACGCCCCGTCACTGCCCAACAAGCCCGGTCCTGACCCTCGGCTAAGACGCCCCAGTTGGACACGAAGGCCTGAGCTGAGACGGGAAGTGTGGAAAGGGTGGAAAGGGTGAAAGGACAACTAAATGCAACTCCTCGCCAAACCCTGCCAATCCCCAACCGCACCTCCTTGATCTCCGAGGCGAGCTCATCGGTGGGCGCAGCCTGAGAAAGGCCACCGCGAGGCAGGCGCCGACATCTCTGGGTCAAAGCAAACATCTCTGAGTCACCAAACCCGTGAAGGCTTGGATGCGTAGAGCACTTCGAAAAGCAGATACCTGCACACCAAGGCTTCATTGCCTCGTTTGAGAGGTTGAGATTCACACGCTCGTGACAGGTCTGAACTGGGGGCCACGTGCAACAACCCAGTGCACTTTGCATTCCACAACAGACCTCCTCTTCTGTGCGACCATGGCATCCGAAGCATGGCACGAAGGCACTAGCAACACATTACTCTGTGGCTCACAGCATTGAATTGGGGGCTGAACTTCGGGGAGCCTCTCAGTTGTCAAGGATGCCAAGGTCTAAGACTCTGAGGCTCTAAGTCGTTATCTTTAGCGGCAAAGTGTAGCAACGCCCCGGCGGATTGCGCCGAAAGATGCTGCAAGCAAGTCAGACTTTGCCAGCACAAGGTAGCAACGTAGCACAACCACTCACTGCTGCGACCGGCAGTGGCATACCAGCATACCGAGCAAAGCTGGACCAAGGCACCAAAGCGCTTCATGACGCAGTACACGGTCTCCGGAACATATTCCATGACCTGAGCGTCTCTCAACAACCCCAGCAGCGCGAGGTTTTCTAAAATGCCAGTATCTCCTCATTCTCCGCTTGTGCCCGGGGACCAGGCCATATTGAGGTAGAGCTCGTCTGGGGAATCCCCAGAGGTGTAGAACGCATGCTGCGGCAGCGGGGCAGCTTGGCGTGCTCTTCTTATGCCTACAGCCTATTGGGATCACAACGCGTGGATCAGCCTTGAGGGTGACGATGTTCGGATGGTGCATCTCACGCCAAACCTTTGAAAATCCGACGCTAGAATTGCTGGAAACTGCAGTCCGCAGAAAACGAGCGTTCCACCTGCAGCTCCCGATTCCGATATCGTCTGTCCACAAAGACCTGATGCATTCGAGAACGTTCGGCAACTCGATTTCATGACAGGTCCCATCTAGGCCTTTTTGATGGCAACAGTCTCGTTGGTTTCCACAATATGAGCTGAGTACCTGGTCACTGTCGCGCGTGTCGTGAGGGTCGTGGGTGTAGTCCCTCCCCTCCCCTGGAGCTTGAAACTTCGCAACTTCGCTTCTTCTCTAGGGAAAGGATCGGAGAGGTACACGATGCCAAAGGTCCCATTGCCAATGACGCGCTCCGCGTTGTAGGTGCACTGCCAGTGCACTGCAGGCTCCAAAGAGATGAGGATCACATGACATGAGTACATGACTCACGACGACGCTCTGCGCGGCACGGCGGCAGACAAGTGCACTTAGCACGTTTGTGTACTCAACCGCGAGTGAGCATGTCTACGACCGCGGAGCGCCATGCTTCAACGCTTCAACAAGCTGAGCTTGGGCCTGCTGTTCACCCTCATCAACATTTTCCTCTGGCCTCTAGAGGCATGCGTCCAGGGTTGTGGCGAGCATGGTGCGTCATTGCCCTGCTACGTGCTACCACTACCACTGTGCTACTACCACTGCGCTACTTCCACCACTCCTGTCGACTCGACTCCGGTAGGTTTGCTTCACGGCTTGGGAACCCGAGCCCGCTTGCCAAACGGTGTTGCTGAGGCTGGCGCGGAAACTGCGGAGACGACTTCTGCTGGGGTGGCTCCTGCGAGAAGAATGACCGACAAACGACTGCCACTTCGAGAACGCCCAACCCTCACCGCATAGTCATACTCTAAGCGTCGGCCTTTATGTTCTGTGAGAACGTTCGCCACGCAGTACACTCAGCAGTGGGGACAAGTTCTCACAGGTTCTCAGAGAACCTTTCCGGACTCACAATCACAACACACTTGCACCATCAAGCCAGTTTGCATCATGCACCAGCTGATTCGGTGCGCATCTGGTGTTGCGCATGACTAGTCTTGACAGCTTCCAAGGCAGGTGAAGGCTAGGCGTAGTGGATGTAGTGCATTTCATCATCAGCTACCTCTGTGAAGGCATGAGCGGAGGCCTATTGTTTAGAGCTTCCGGAGGGAGACATCGAATTGTGTGCCGTGGCAGGAGTGCAGCAACGGTCACGGAGCCATGCGGTGCACTTGTCACTGTTGCAGGGCTGGATGTAGACATGGACCTAGGAAAGTGCCACTTCTGCACGGCACGTGCAAAGATGGCCATGCCTACACACCAGAGGGCTGTTGCATACGTTTTATGTGAAAGGTATCAGAGAAGCCGCCAGCAGGCCGATCGAAAAACGGGGCAGAAAACGTGCACGGGCCCAAGACCGGGCAAGTCAGTCTCTTGCTGCTGTAGTCTGGGCAATGGGAGTCTCCGTAGTCGAGCAATGGCTCCGTTCTACTAAAATACTTGCTTCTTGCTTCATCTTGTGTATTACATGTGTACTACATGTGTTTACTCTGACTCTGCAGAGTCACCCAAGGGCTCGGTGGCATGGCGGTACGAGCCACCAACCACTCTTCTGACGAGCCACCAGTTTGGCCCTCCAGCTGAAAGCCTTCTGTAGGCTCGCAGTAGAAGGCACTGAAAGGACAGGGTTGCAGATTGAATTTGACATGACAGCTTGAACACAGACCCTGAATGCCGCTCGATCTAATATTGTACCTCTGGCGTGGATTGCATGCAACAAGATCACCCGACATTCATGCACCTTGCACGGTGTGATGTCTGCAAAACTAGATAGCAGACTTGGAGGACAAGACGGCTAACTGTCAAGACGACACTAAACCAAGAAGGGTCTGCAATTGGCAAAGCACAAGCTGCCGTACGATGCCATACGGCTGTACCAGCCTCAACAGTGGGAGTCTGAAATCGCTTCTTTCCCTGAGTCCAAGACTCCCTAGTACAGCCATGCTCGCCGGCAATTTCCACAGCATAGTGAATCTGGATGCTTCCCTACTTACCGCAGAGAGCTTCTTGCCGGAGCAGCGTCCTATACGACAAGCCTACATCCTTCAAAAGCCTAGGCAAAGCATTGCAGGAAGTGTCCCAGACTTGTGTCACAATCTGATTTATGAAGTAAAGCAGCTACCTGCAAGCTGCGCAACTTTTCATTGCAATTGTGAAACCTGAAAACTAGTCATGCGGCATTGTTGAATAGCCGCTTGCGAGCACCATAAGGAAAGGTTCCACTTCATGTCATCACAGAGGGTGCTAATGGGCCGATAAGTGCACTTCTCGAAGTATACTTCCTTGGATGAGCTCGCCATTGTTCCCCCGAGGTTCCCTGGAAATCGCTAGCCACCGCCACAGCCCGAAAACAGGCAGCAGCGTCGGCGCTGCACCACCTGCCAAAAACGAGCAAAGGTCGGCTTTGCCAACTTGAGGGATGCTTTGAGCCTCTTCGGCTTTAGGAGTTCCATGAACGAACTCAAGCCCATGCGCAACGCGTTTTGCCGTGTGTAGACCCACGTGGCAAGCCTGGCTCCCTGATGGTCCGGGCCTCGACCTCTTGTAGCTTTGAGCGGCGGTCGCGAATTCCGCGGGGCTCGTCCAAAGCTGCCTGCCAAATAGGCGTGAGAGTCAAGTGAAGCAAGCTAAAGCGAGCTAAAGCGAGCGCGAGACTTGAAACTTCAAGCAGCAAATATGTCCACCTCGTCGGCATTGCTGAGGCTGTCCTGTCCCAGAGCCCCCAGAGCACAACTTAGGACAGCACGCATGCAGCTAGACAACGAATGTCCCATAAAGCAGCACCACCGGCACGGCCAGCACTGCTATAATGCTAAATGTCATCATAATCACCACCATCATCATCGTCACAGTATCATCACCATCAACATGAGCAACAGCATCATTACTATCATTACCGTCATCATCAGCATCTTGATCCGGGCAGGCTGCCAACGAAAGAGGCCTCTCCAACCCCCAAAGCGAAAGTTTTTCTGGACATGCACGAGGCTTCGAGAGCACGCCCAAGCACAACTGAAGGGCCTAGGCAGTTTACCAGGTTTCGACCAAGCTGGCACCCAGAACCAACTGGGTTTCGCGACCACGCCAGCCCCGAAAACGAAAGGGCCCAGGAGGCGGGCAACGACAAGACTCGCGGCAGGCGGCAAGACTGTGTGTGTGTGGAAATTGGCATTGTGCTGTTCATAGCTTCGGTGCTGGCAACAACATGCCTACGACATAGAACTGAAGCGCTTTCGAAATAATGTGGGTCTTCGGAATCTGGAAGCGACAAAGCCTGCAAAGCAATTCTGCCACATCGTGTTAGGCAGGTTCCGAAAGCTTTGATGATTTCGCAGCAAGAACAACACCGATAACGCAGCGATAATCTGGCACAAGCACTGCCTTTCTGCGAACTGTCTAGAAGGCCTTGCACGATCTGACTGGACTGCTTTGAGCTCCCTAATAAACTCCAAACTCTCTCTCTGGTACGGTAGGACCATGGACATAGCCCCAAATTTTGTCCAGCGCGATGTGGTAGGACTTTTTTCTGGGGAAAAGACCCAGATTTCTTCTTCACATGAAATAGCATTGACTCAGAGGGGTTGGACCTCGCAACTGCATGTGGTCTCGAGCTCGTAAGTGCACGTGATGCCTGAGACCCCTAGAGAAACCGAAAGATGTGCACCCTCAACCTCAAAAAGGAAATGCGTCCTTGAACCCAACAGAAGATATAAGGAGATGTTGCGAGGCGAACCCTAAAAGGAGATGTTGGAGAACCCCCTGGGAGCCTGAGCCCTTCAGAGACACCGTGCTGAGCCCGTAGTAGTAACAACAAGATTTTGGAACTGCCGAAGACCCCAAATGCGCCAATTGGTTTCGACGCTGTCACTTTTGGGCGGACCCATCATCTATCGCCTTCGAACGAAAACCAGTTCGAAGACGACGACACGTAACCGGGTTGCCACTTTGTAAGTTCGACGAAACAAAAACAACGACAGAGTCGAGGCGACTGACTGTTGTCGCTTGCGAGGTTCGAAGGTGCGGAGCGCTGACAGCTTCAGCGGATGGCAGTTATCGAGGGTCACAGGATGAAAGTTGCGAGGATGAAAGTTACGAGGATGGCAAGCGCTCCTCCCACTGCCCGACTGTCCGGCGCAAACGCTAACAAAACTACAAAACTACAGGAATGAAGTCATCGGAAGCAGCGAGCATCATTAGCATCAGCCTTGCAGATAACGTATTTGGGCTTCCGACAATCAGGGGTCCCTATCTTAGGTTCCTAAGATCAGGCTTATGGTTCTAGGCGTACAGTACAGAATCACATGCGGCGCACCCTTTTTTGAAAAATTGCCATAGTCAACCTAGCTTCACAAGGTGACATGGATCATAGCCACTACTTGCGGACAGTGTTTAGAGGCGGTGAGCACAGGAGCTTCGAGCAAGTATGGACATTGCGCGGCGCTATCCAGAGCATTGCCAACATGAACAGTGCCAATCGAGAGGTCTTCGCAACAAGTACGAACCTGCATTTCATGCCTGTGCTGCACTCTTGGCTGCACTGTGGTGCACTACCTCGCGTCACCCCCAAGATCTTAAACCTCTGACGGATGCTCCCACTTCCTTGGTGCTTTCATCGGAGACCACCACAGCCTCGGAATGCGGGAGCTCCTGGCAAGACGGGTGAATAGAACTGATCTCTTCAAAAGCACTGCACTGCGAGTACGGCGGCTTAACCGGGAGCTTCCGCACATATCCACATACACGACATCATGGTAGCACATGCATGTAAGCTGAAGAATTCCATAAGGCCACCCAGGAAAGAGTCCGGTCTACAAGAAAGCCAAGTCCTCATCCATCGAATTCGTGATTAGCACCTCCCGTGGCGTGCGCACGTTGTGATCTGCTTCTGCGCCATCAAGGCCTTGGCATCAGGTGTCCGTCAGTTCAGCTCACCCCGGAACAAAACCTTCCAGCCAGCATACTTTGCACATACATTGCGTGTTCCACCATCGCACGCCGCATGTCGCATGTCGCAAGATGTCTCAACCTCGTTGACGTGGAGAGGCACTGTTTTTGAAACTTCGGATCACCCCGACCTTCGAAACACTGTGCGTACGAACACCCCTGAACACCTCACCCCGCCCCCGGACATGGACCGGCTGAGAATGGTATACGAAGTGTATACGAGCACCACAGGCCGCCGCCGGCATATCACCTCTACAGCATCGAAGGGGACGTCAGAAAACCATGTGGCAAACCACACAAAACCGCACAGAACCCCATCAGGCCGCCCACGAAGCGGCGTGTGCGGCGAAGTCGCAGCACTGTTCGCATTCACAGGCCGAAAGCGACGTCGCCGTGCCCGGGCATGATGAAACATGATCCCATGTTCAACCCCAACTTATCGGCAGGCGACGACGCGTCGGCACAGCACCCCGGAAAAAAATCGCTCGAAACACAAAACAGGCGACCCTTTGAATGACATTGCGCGCAGCAATCTGTGAGAACCTATGCCTAGGAAGCTCAAGCACACCAGCATTGACAACCTCACACAACCTCCCTTTGCGGACCTCTTGCCGATGTCGGCACTTTCGGGGCGATCTCTGCAGGTACCTCAGTGACCAGCTGCATGCAGCTCAGAGCTCGGTTATCGCAATAGAAGCGCATACACACACACACACATCTTCCAGCAGTTGCGAGTGACTAAGCGGCGAGCAGGCAAGCCACACTTGCGAAAAATGTCAGCCGCGCAGTCGGAGAAGTCCAACCTTCGCACGCCGGGGTCCGTTTTTCGTGACATGCCATACAAACCCGAGAGTCTCCCCTGAAGTCTGTTCTACTGCGACAGAAAAATGGACTTGCGCGCAACTTCACGATGCCATCAAAAATGACACTCCGCGGCCCGGAAGACGACCTAAAAAGCCGGAGCGGAACCCCACAGAACCCCATAGAACCACACAGAACCACACGGAACCACACTGAACCACACTGAACCCTTCCATCTCATCCTCTTGCATTTCGGCCTCTGGTTCTCTTCGGGCTTCTTTCGCCAGTTCCACAGCCGACCCTTGGAGCCCTCTGCTGTGAGCACTTTGTGGACTCCTTAGTCTCAAGCAAGAGAAGCTTTTTAACCTTATAAGAGAAGCTCCGGAGAAGTGGTGGCGGGTTCGGGACTGGGGCAGATAGTTGGGGGCAGAAGCTTCGCAAAACAGTCTTGCCATCTGCAGGCCCAGAATCCTGGGACAGCCTCGTTCAAACACCTCGGCAGGTCGTCACGATGCTGAACAAGGACGCGCATCCTAAAACGTCATGTCAATGTATAGGCACGGATGGCTGACTGACACCAAAATGGTTCGGGAGAAATCCGCCGGCTCCTGCCTTGACATGATCAGCAAAACTGCTGAAAGAGGGCTTTTGGATCTGTTCGGAATACTGTCAATCACAGGACCGGCGACCATCAACAACCGACCACAAGCTGCGACTTGGCTGGAAATCATCCTGTACTTTACGTACACATGGGCTTGCGTGCATGTTGACTGAAGGCAAGACTACTTGTGCTGCGGCCAGACTGAGTTTGCAATGTCCTTTCAAACAGCGCACGGGTAGCTGCAAAAGCGCGAAGTCCGGGCCAAACAGAGGATGAAGACAAGTCGTTGGAAACGCGAGCCCGTGCGTCCCTGTTTGGGAAAGGTTTCTCGCATTACTCGCAGTCAACCAGCCAGTCCCCGAGGGTGCCAGGGCATGTTCACACATCGTGCGACTACATGCAGCTGGCGATCAAGCATAAGCCAAAGAAGCTGACGAGTCGCAGATCGGCTTGTGCAGCTTGTGATGGGCAGCAGACCATGTGTAAGTCGTTCAAATTTCGGACTGTGGGCAAATCAACGGCTGATGAGCTGCGCGGTTGCGAAACCGAGCGTTGCGAGCACTACGACTTTCAGATGCGGTCGGCGATATCCATAGGCCGGAGGCTCCTGAAACGAAGCTTGATCAAGCAAACCGCTAAGGCACGAGCCGCGGCGAAGGAGGCGTATTGGGCTCAAAGGGACCAGGCAGAAGAGGAAACGGAAAGAAATCCTGAGAGTTCTGATCCACACAACGCACTGCTCACAAAACACTGCCAAAATACTGCAAACCAAACTCGACAGGGGCTTTGGAAGTAGAGAAATGGCTCCTAACCCGGCAAGCCGGGCCTTCAGCGGCGGCCGGGAACCACCGAGATCTTCCTCGATCTGCCTCCAGAAAGAGCCAGCTCACAAGTCGAGAAAAACGACCAAAACGAAGCGCTCTTCAAAAAGAGCCCCCCCCCTAAGACTCCCGTAGGTAGGTGTCGTGCTTGAGAAGCTGTTCTTCAAGAATTTGAGGCGCAGGCCTGTCTGCCATATCCCTCGTGATGTCCTCCGGCCTAACGAAACACAGCGATGGGCGAGTCTTTTCCCCATCGATTCTCAGTCCGAGCCTGCAAACAAAGACCAGCTTCTGCCGCTGACGCTCGGTGAGCACCTGCAAAGGATTGTAGGACGGCTTGCGGGGAAGCAGGGGCATGAGGGAGCGGCAACCCGATGCGTAATTCGACATGCATGAACCACCATCCAACTAGCCGCCTTCTTTGCCAGCGGGACCAGTGTTCCTAGGATTCGAGGCCTCAGCGACTTCGGAAACTTCAGAGCTTTACGAAAGGATCGAAACTCTTCAACATGTACCCTTTGCACCGTTTGCAAGTTCTATGCCCAAATGCGTTGTTGGGGCTAAGAGCCATGCATGTTGCAAATGTAGAATCGGAAAATGCGACCTGTGAAATGGGATGCCACGTAGAGGGGCAGAAGGAGGAGTGAGGAGGGCGAGGAAGAGGAAGAAAAGGAGCCGCAGGAAGAGTTTGGGCGAGAGAGAAGCATTGACGATGCAGCTGGCGCACCGACATAGTACATTCCCATGCTCCTGACATGTGCATCTGCATGTCTTCATGCAGCTTTCGTCGGTTGGGTCGCCAGGGTGTCCTGTGCACCTCCCGAAGCACACCGATAGGAATCTGCGAGAGGGTCAAGTCCTGGCTGCCACAAAGGCCAACCGGAAACACCGGCAACTGCTGTCAGCGGAAGCTCTGGAAGTACAGGAGTTTAGACCTTCTGAGCCCGATGAGAGTCTCAAGATGACCACAAAGCGGTGCTCCTTCAGATCTATGACCACATTGATGCTCTCGATTTTTCCAGGAACCTCATGTTCAGAAGACAGACCCCTTTCTACATCAATCAGCTGTCTGCGGATCTGTTAAGCCAGCGGCGGCCATGTACCGAAGGAAATACCTAGACTCCCAGTGCAGATGCTGGAAACCCAAGGCCAGGGAGACAGTGCTGCCAGTGCTACCTGGAACAGCCTCCTGGCTGTCTGCGCTCTAAGACCCCATCTCCATGCAAAAGACCAAAACCTTGGGGAGAGAGCACGAAGAAGCCACCGTTGTGGAGTGAGACTCGATTCTGAGCTCAAGGCTCTAATGACAAGGTCGTAGCGCCTCTCTCTATGCCTAGGCCCACCAGGTCGGCTTCTTTTGGGTCAAAGCCGCAGGCATCCGCAGGCAAACGTGTGCCGAGATCTCCACCATGCAGCTGGAATACGCGCGGCCCGGAACACGAGCACTGGACGCAGAGCCTGTGTGGCAGACAAAGCCGTGCAATGCCCTGTATCGCAGTGTCAAGCCCCCTGAACCACAGCTCGGCGATCTGACACAGAATGTGGTCGTCAAGAGTCTGGAGTGTCTCGAGGCCTTGTCCCGGCCCGTGAAGTATGCCAACCCTAGCTGGAGGTCCTGCACATGTCGAACAGACACAGGGCAAACGCACAAAAAACGGAAAGCACAGAGGACCTCGGCCATGTCTGCATCGGAGAGTGGCCTTACGAGCCCAAGTCATGCTGACGCTTTGACGCTCTCGTCATCTGTTGGACATTTGTTGTCCGTTTGGGTTGCTTTTGGATGTTGTTTGGATGTTGCTTGGGTGGCATGGCAAGCCCCGGCGGGCTGCACCTGGCAGCACCTGCGTCACGTGTCACCGGAAGCTGAGACCCAGGACCGAGTGAAGTAGGAGGTACGCCACTCCGCGGTAGTCTGCCAAGTAAGACAAGTAAGCAGATACCCTGTCCATGGAGAATCTCATCTCTGTCAAGGAATGGCTGTCTTGCCTCCATCATTTTCAAGGCCTTCTTGGGGTCCCCGTGAGAATGGCCTGCCCAGTCACTTCGATCCAAAAGCCGCAGCATTCTAAGGTTGCGCATGGCACAGTACTGAGGTGTTGACTGAGATACCGCGTAGCAGAGGCCTGAAAAGGAAATCACGGACGAAGCACCCTGCAGTATACCACTGAGAAGAGCATGCACTAAGAGAACTTACAGTTAACCTCGGTGCGGCGATAGGCTTGGCCACGTCACGTGTGTATGGAAGCGGAAAGCAAGCACACGCAATCTGTGCCCTCCAGACAACGACAGAGACCCTGCCATTCCGGTGCTGTGCTGATGGATACAAGACCGAGTTCCAAGCAGATATGGAAACCGGCAGTGCCACGTGTTGCGCGCGCGCCTCTTCCTGCCCAACTCACTACAATCAAGAAGCAAGCCATGGTGTGCGTCCGTGATTTAGCGCGAAAGTGCCCAAGTCAGGTCTCATTCTTGCCACTGCCGACTCACCAAAGGACCAAAGCCAACTAAACCTACACAACCTGACCCGCGCAGAACTCAGCTGCGATATGCATCATAATCTGTACTGCGAGTTCATGATGCGACATGATGCGACGCTTCGACTCAGAGAGTGGTGAAGGCATGAAGGCTGGAAGAATCGGGCCCATGCCGCGCCTGTAGCAGGCGCAGGGCCTGGAAGACATCGCTCACTTGCTGCTCGCTGAAACAGAAACTAAACAAGCCGCTCTGCCTCCAACTCCTCGTGGGTCAACTCAATGTTGCAGTGCAGTTTCCTGCACATGATTTGGGCTGGCGGTGCATTGTGCTACATCGACGCCTCGCAAGATATCACAGACATGCCTGCGAATCAACTTGATCCAACTTGCAAGAAACGGACTGAAACCTCCTGCTGGCGTCAACTGCTTTGCTTTGAGACCCCCTGTAATGCCCAAGCATGGATATGACCCCGGCGATAGACACGCTGAGTCAGCAAGACTTGAAAAAAACAACAGTTGCCTTATTGGCCCTATTTCCGAACAACCCACTGACCAAGGCATTCACAATGCTGAGAGCCTCTCACAATCGCCATTCACAAATCGTGCGAACACCGCTTGATCGTCTGGCTGGAAGGAGAGCACTTCCTGCAACGTGAACCAAACAGATCAAAAACATGCACGCTCCTTCAAGGAATCTGCTTCCGTGCCTGCGGAAGAGAGAAAGGCGCAACATTCTGCTCCTGTGCCACATCTCTCACATCTCACGAACGGGCACATGCATATCAGACAGACTTGTCTTCTGTGACTCTCAGACACTCAGACTCCAGGCCTCGATTTCGATCGAGCTGCTTTCAGGGAGCACGCGGATTCCATTCCTGAGTTCAGGACTTTCCGATTGCTTTACCTGGAGAGTTTGACCTTCCAAGATCGACTCCAATAGGACTCGCAGGCAAGTGTACGGATTACCTTAACCCTGACACTCCCTGGCACTGGCTCTCTTGTCCCGTTTCGAGCGGCGCAACGACAGCCGGCTCTGCAAAGAAGCCATCCCGAGAAGCCTGCCAACGATCACACGATCGTCGAGTCCAGCGTGGTCTTTTGCATTCTTTTTCCCAGCAAATTTGAACTAAGCTGCATCAAACTTTTCCCTTATGAACACCCGGTCTATCAGAGCCTGTTTGCATGACGGCTTGCAAGCTTCTTGGGTCCCAGCCTGTGCTCGGCTGTTGTGGCTGGATGTACTCGAAGGCCTTGGGTAGTCTTAAGCTTTTTTCTGATAGGTCATCGCACAGATGAGCCACTCCATGCCCGATGCGGTAGAGCATAGTAGAACCAAAGTCATATTGTCCAAGCGACCACGGGGGAAAATGGCGCATTGCTGCCGCAACAGCCATGTGAGGCCGCACGCAGCGTCTCTTCAGTATGGTAATCAATAACGACTGCCGTATGCTGAACGTGGCAGGCCCGAATCGAACTGATTTCAACTTGGCCTTGCTTCCTGGGCCTAGCTATCACTTGAGCCTGGAGGACATGCACACCAGTCTGGAAATCTGGCATATTTTTAACATTGCAACTTGAGATCTTACTGGTCTCTGAAGTCAGGTGCTATCCTGATTGATCTGATTTGTATGCTGCCTAGCCTGGACAGGTCCATGTGCCGGTTGCAACTCCTCGTCCACGACAGCTTGCATCGTGTTTATGGCAGTGGGAGCCTTGAGAACGCACAGTTGTGCTTGAAGACTAAACGGCTCTGAGTATTATATCCGCCCTCCTGCCGCATCCTGGGCCCAAAGCCACTGGTGCCGTCACCGATGACGTCAGCGGGATCTCAGGAGCATGGCATAGGCACAAACACCGTGCCCATGGTTCTCATCATATCCAAAATCTGTTTTCGGCGTAAGCACTGCTCGCTCGATTGTCATACTCACCAGACGTAAGATGAGATGCTCACTTGCTGGCCATACTCGGCTGGAACCTCTGGCACGGACGACCGCGACCGTCGCTGTTCACCAACATACCTGGCAGCTTGGGTTCTCCGAACTCTTTGCGCCGAAGCCGGTTTGTTGAACAAGGGGCAAGGAGATGCATCTGGGGGCCGGGCAAAGGGCCACTTGCCGGCCTGGCTCTGGAAGCTTACTATCCCCCCCCCCCTCCTGTCGTGTGGTTGGGGGCTGGTTAGGGTTTAGGGTTTAGGGTTTAGGGTTTAGGGTTTAGGGTTTAGGGTTTAGGGTTTAGGGTTTAGGGTTTAGGGTTTAGGGTTTAGGGTTTAGGGTTTAGGGTTTAGGGTTTAGGGTTTAGGGTTTAGGGTTTAGGTTTTATGGTTTAGGGTTTAGGGTTTAGGGTTTAGGGTTTTGGGTTTAGGGTTTAGGGTTTAGGGTTTAGGGTTTAGGGTTTAGGGTTTAGGGTTTAGGGTTTAGGGTTTAGGGTTTAGGGTTTAGGGTTTAGGGCTTCGGGCTTCGGGCTTCGGGTTTCGGGTTTAGGGTTTTGGGTTTTGGGTTTTGGGTTTGGGTTTAGGGTGTGTAGAAGGGAAGCTCGCTGGTGCTAAACGCACCCACGCCGCTCGCTTGCCTTAGCATGTGGTCCCACCCCAACCACCCAAACTATTCTCATTTAGGGTTTAGGGTTCACGCCCCAAACCCTCAAGGGGGGCTTTCTTGCTTTTTACTTCTTTCAGAGCTGTAAGAAAGGAATAAGAGCAAAGGAGGGGGTCCCAAAGGCCTCCTGGAGCCTTCTGGAGCCTGTCAGTGGCTCGCGGGCCTTCTTGGGGCTTTCGCGGAGTAAAATGGAGGGCCCCCACGCCCCCCCCTACCCCCCCCTCATCCCCCCACAGGAGAAAAAAAAACCAAAACCGACCAATTTTGTGTTTTCGCGGCGCCACCAAGCAGAAAGTGCGCGTTTTGCGTTGGCCTCACCCTCTCCCCCCACCCCCCAAGCCCCCCCCCACGGCTTCCCCACCCCCTTACCCCATCCTCTCACAGGAAAGAACCAAAAACAACCAGCTTTCGTAAAACAAAAAAAGCCATGCGGACACATGCGTATCCACAGCTTTTGCCATGCGGACACACGCGTATCCTTGGGAGTTTGTGGCGGGGTCCAGCAGAGGCCATGCGCAGATGTGGATGCCTTGATTTTCTGCTTGGCTTAGGGCTCGGGGTGACTGGTTTGAAGATGTTTGAAGGTTCAGGTTTCGGATGTTCACTTCAGTTTCGTTTTTCAACTTTCTCCTGGCCGGACTTGTCTCAAAACTACCGCTTGGCTCGCTTTGTGGAGCCTTGTTTTGTCTTCTTCTTCTTCTTCTTCTTCTTCTTCTTCTTCTTCTTCTTCTTCTTCTTCTTCTTCTTCTTCTTCTCTTGAACCTTGTTTATACATATAACCTATGGAAACTAGCTTAAACTTGTAAGAAAGCATTGTAGTTATTTCTCTTCAGTTTAAGGGCATTAAAAATGCGGACAAATATCATATGTTTAGTTAACTCTGGCTAAGTCCGGCTATCTTTTTGTGTTGATATACCTTCACTTCTTACAGTGAACTTGTAACTTTACCAGAAACTTGGGCATGCTTATAACAACAAGCTATGTATCTTTAGCGGAAGCGTTTTGCGCTGGCCCCCTCGCCCCCCACCCCCCCCTCTTCCCCATCCCCCGACAGATCAAGAACCAAAACAACCAGTTTTGTGTCAAGCGGACCCCAAGCCCCCCACGGCCTTCCCCCCCGCCACCCCATCCCCCCACAGCAAAAGAACCAAAACAAGGCAGCCACGACACGTTTTGCGTTGGCCTCCCCGGCCCCCCTACCCCACCTCCACAGGGAAAAAAACCCAAAACAACCAGTTTTGTGTCTTTGCAGTTGGATACATGAGCTCTAGGACCTGCGAGGCTTGAACATGCGGTTGAATGTCTTGCTTCCGATCTTGATCGACATGCCCCCACCCCCCGCCCCCTTTTCCGGGTTGAACGCCTCGAGTGCAGGCGGGCCCTAAGCCCCCTTACCTTGGGGGTCGGTGGCAGCGGGGCCAGCCTTCAAATCCGGGCACGGACCCGGTTGGGTTGCCAACATCCGGCTCCAAACGCGGCTTCCGAAGGGAATCCTTTTTTAGGTACATCTTTTCTGGGCCCCACCTAAATTGGGCTCCAGGTGTGCAAGCAAACCCTAATTCTGCCATCCAATGAGCAACCTTGTTTGCAACATCCAGGGAGCTTGTGGAAAGTCTTCTCTTCAAGGATCTCCTGTGCAACGACATGAAGACTCGCAGAATCTCTGTGCTCAACAATGATGCTGCCACACTCGCCGGTCTTCCATGTGTGCGCTACACCCCTCAACTTCAGTCTACTGAGCACCAGGCTCTGGCAACTCTGCAGCCAAGTGGCCTTCAAGAATTCCACGCTGGAGACTAGACCCTTGTTGGAGGAGCTCTTCAGGTCTCCAATGACTCTTGAGCCCACTTCACGGGGCACCGCTTCGGCGGAAGAAGCGAAACCCGTGAGGCGCAAGGGCGGTGCTAGAAAACGAAGTGACCAGTAGAGAGAGAGAGAGAGAGAGAGAGAGAGAGAGAGAGAGAGAGAGAGAGAGAGAGAGAGAGAGAGAGAGAGAGAGAGAGAGAGAGAGAGAGAGAGAGAGAGAGAGAGAGAGAGAGATCCTTCTCATTCCCTGACCAGTGAAGAACCTCCTAGCTTATGACTCCCCAGCCCCTCAGACCTCTGACCCTAAAACCAACAAAAGGCCCGAAACCGTAAGTCCGAAACCCTTCACCCCTACCCTAGACCCGAGTCCGTCTCCGAGTACTGAGGCAAAGGCTTCCCAAGCACCATCATTGCGCTGGGCCTTTCTATGATTTCGTGGTTTTTTTTTCAGGCTTCAGACATTTAGGTGCATTCCTGTCGTGTGGCAGCTGATGCATCCTTGGATTATTGTCATCAGGTTGCATACGTTTACAACGATATTACTCTGCTGTTTCTGCTGATGATGTCATGATCTGACGGGGCGGTGATAAAGACGATGGCGATGGTGGTGTCGCTGGGTGGCTTTGCTCGGAATCTTTGCTCTTTGTTGTTGTCGCGGTTCTGTTCTGCATGCACTCTCGCCACAGGAAGTGCTGCAAAGGCATGACCCACCTAACATCCCACTGCCTAATCAAACCTGGATCAGGAATTCGATTTCGGGCCTTGGGGTTCGAAAAAAACTTATAGAAAACTGAAGATTTTTCCGTTATTGTTTGACATTGAGTTCTCTACGTTACGGGTCTAATTAAAGTCTTGGCTCAATGTGCCGCATAGACACCCCGTCGGCGGCAGGTGGAGCCGGTGGAGCAATGACTGGGTCAAAAGCCTTCATCAGAAGGAACCACGAGAACAAACCGCGTTTTTGGGCTTAAAGAGGGAGCTGTCTTGTCTGTTCCAAAAAGAACAAGCCCAGCAGTGCATCACATAAGTGTGTGTGTGTGCGTGTGTGCGCGTGTGCGCGCATACGTGTGTGGAGACTTTCAGTTCAATCTGTCGCTGAGGATACAGGCTATATAGTGGCCTGCTTTCAATATATAAAAAAAGGGTACGTATCAATGCGTATACAAACAAAAACACAGATGCGTGTGTGTGTGTGTGTGTGTGTACATATATATATATGTACTGCTTACATCCTTTTGCAGATCTGTGCGTCGCCCAGCGGCTGTCGCTGTGTTGGTGTTGGACTGCTCCGCTTAGCGCAAACGACTCTGCAGAGGAGAGACAGCGAAACTACAAACCTCGATGTAGATCCCCGTGCAAACCCTCTCGAAAACCCGCAAAAACCTTCGTGAACCCTGCAAAGAAACAACATAAACCCAAGTAATTACAAGCCCTCAGCTGTGAAACCTAAACCCTAAACCCTAAGGCCCTCAGCCCCAAACTCCTAAACCCTCACACAACTCGAAAGGCCTTTGTCCTGGCGAGCTTGAACTTGGCGATGCCCAGAAGCAAAAGCAGAAGCCCAGCAAAGAGAAGAACCCTCCTCAGATAACCACCGACCCCCAAGGTAAGGGGGCTTAGGGCCCTCCTGAACCCGGGTGTGGAGGCGTGTCGATCAAGATCGGAAGCGTTACATTCAACCGCATGTTCAAGCCTCGCAGGTCCTAGAGCTCATTTATCCAACTGCAAAGACACAAAACTGGTTGTTCTGGGTTTTTCCCGAAAGCATCGCGAAGGGTTCTTCCGTGCGGAGCCCCCTGACACAACAACATAGACTGAAGTGCATAGAGTGAAGTGCATAGAGTGAAGTGCATAGAGTGAAGTGCATAGAGTGAAGTGCATAGAGTGAAGTGCATAGAGCGAAGTGCATAGAGCGAAGTGCATAGAGCGAAGTGCATAGAGTGAAGCGCATAGAGCAAAGTGCATAGAGTGAAGTGCATAGAGGCAAGTGCACA